TCAGCATTGATAGCTCATACTGGTATGACTGGGGATGGTACGGTGCCTACCCACAAATGAAGTACGAATCGTTCGGAGCTTCCTCGCCATGGACAAATGTTCTCAGAACCGATCCCAGATGCGATGATGGATATGTGTTCATTGGACCCCGAGGACTCGCCGTCACAGCTCCAGGACCCATCATCTTGGATCAGGATGGCAACCTGGTCTGGATGGAAACAAGATGGGGTCAAGCAATGGATTTGAAAGTCCAGTCGTATCAGGGAAATGATTACATCACCTTCTGGCATGGCAGCGACAACGGGACTTTTGGACAAGGGTATTATCTTATGGTAGGGTTACCGTTATTCATTCATCTGAAGATTTAGATAACTGACATTTCCCCATAGCTGGACTCTTCATACGAGGTATTTAAGAATATCACACCGGCGGGAGACTTCCAGGGCGATCTGCATGAGTTTCTCATCACCGATCAGGGCACAGCATTGATGACCATTTATGAGAAAATGCCTTACGATCTATCATCGTATGAAATCTCAAGCGGATGGATCATTGACAGTCTCTTCCAAGAGATTGACATTGCTACTGGCGAATTGATCTTTCAGTGGAGGGCGTCGGATCACTATGCCATCGAAGAAAGTCTCGCCCCAATCCGGTCATTCGGTAAATCTGAGAAAGAGGCTTTCGACTTTTTTCACATCAATAGCATCAGCAAAGACTCTGCTGGCGACTACCTCATCTCCTCAAGGTATATGTGTGCGATTGTTTGTGTCAACCATACGTCAGGCGAGCTCGTCTGGCAATTAGGGGGTGAAGGAAACGACTTCACAGACCTCTCAGACGGCGCAGCCACCAATTTTAGTTGGCAGCATCATGCATCGTGGCATGACGGTAACATCGTCACTCTTTTCGATAATGGTGCGTACGATAGGCTGGAAACTGCGGAGCATAGCCGTGGACTCGCTATAGCCATCGATCAATATGATATGACAGCGATGGTCCTTGAAGAACACATCTCGCCGCAACGATTCATAGCCGGATCTCAGGGATCTGTGCAACGTCTTCCATTTTCCAACACCGTACTCGTTGGATGGGGCCATATTCCTGCATATACTGAATTTTCCTCAGACGGTGAGGTTCTGTGCGATGTTCACATTGGAGCCACCCGTCTCGATTCTCTGGGGTGGTGTAAGAACTATCGGACTTTTAAATTCCCCTGGATTGGGTATCCTAAGTCGCTTCCAGATGTTGCGATGCGGCCGAGAGCGAAGAGCATCTACGTTAGTTGGAATGGCGCTACTGAGGTCGATCACTGGGTTCTTCAAAGCAATTCTGTGCTGGATAATGAGGGTTTCCAGAATCACTACTCTGTGACGAAACAGACTTTTGAGACAAAGATACAAGTCTCAGATGAAACGATGGAATACATTCGATTGGTTGCAGTCGCTAAGAACGGTACAATACTCGGCTACTCTGAAGCTGTATCGAAATATGAGACAACTAAGGCCAGCCTTATGTTGGCACCACCCCGTCAAACACTGGGCGACTATATAAGACTAATTTGTTTCGGAGTTGCTGTGGGAATTGGTTCCCTTTCTGTTTTGATCTACTTCAGAGCCGTACTTTGGCGAGGTTTGATTGGGCTGTGGCGTTGGGTCACATACAAGCACAAGTATGAAGCATTGCCGACCAGTTAGTGTGATAGCTGGCATTCATGTATTTTAAGTCGCATAGCATAAGAGATACCACTTGCAAAGCCATATGAAGTTTGCTCTATCATAATTCACCTTGATTGATGTCTATAGAATATCACTCTCTCCTCAAAGTGCGTAGAGAACTGGTCTATTCATAAGTGGATATCATGCCTGGTGTTCCACTTCTTCCTCCCCTTGAAGGTATATCTCATGGCCGTTGCCTTCGTAGATCCATATCGCAGAACAACACCCCAATATCGACATCACAGCCAAACCCCACCAGCCAGCCTCTACTTTCCCAATATCCAAGCCAAGGCCATACCACCAACCTCCTACCACCGGTCCAACAGTCCTAAAGCCAGCAGATACACTCTGCCCCAGCCCATGAACCGTACCTAGAACGCTAGGGTGCGGGCTGCAGTTATTGAGGAGAATGATGCTCGCCGGCAGCGTAAATGTCCTCGAGTTGACATGCAGGAGTAATAGAAGGATCACACCAATCCAAATGAAAGCCCCCGATGCCGGCTCCGGTGCAGGCGTAGAGGAGGGGAGCACGGCAAGATATGGCGCGAGGAAGTAGGCAATCGGAAAGCCAATGAGGAACCACTGAAAGGATCGTAGCGTTCCTAGACGAGCACTAATAGGTGGATAAAGAGTAACTTGCAAGAGCATACCAAGTATGCCTAGGAAAGAACTTGCCACGCCTACTTGCGAGGAAGGCATTCCGAGGCCGCCAGTCAGACCGAAGAGGACTGATCGAGTTTGCGTGTCCGATCCCACAGCTGGCCGTGGTGTTGACAGGAACAGGGCCCAGAGGTTTGCGAACGCCCCGAGGTGAAAGTCGTAAAAGGCTATTGTAACAAGTGTCATGATAACATTGCGAGTCCAAACACGTCGGAATGGTAGTTGTCGGATTGGTTTGTGGGATTTTGGTGGCTCAGGTGCAAGAGATGTTTTGCTCTCCATTTGTTCCATAACAACTTCTGTTCCGTCCCAAGTGCGAACTTCCGAGTACCCCTGAGACGCTGGACTCCTGCTTAAGATATGCTTGATCCGTGAAGTAAGATATAGGCCCAAATCGAATCTGTTCGTGCGAACCTTCGAAGTCTATCATTATCAGTCAGACATGATCTGAAATGAGTAGGATATAGAGAAGACTTACCTCTTCCAAGAAAAAGAACACTACAATTGTGGCAGTTGCCAAGCAGAGTGCATTGAGAAGACTTGGTAGCGCATATGGGTAGTCTTGAATCCACTTGAATCCGAATGGACTTTTCTTGTCGAAAAGTCCTGGTAAAGTCGCAGCAGGATCCGCGAGGAATCCCCCCATGACTTTAGAGAAGCTGTGTTAGTCGCAGTGTCCAACTGACAATATATGCCTGAGCGATCACTTACTCGGTCCAACGATGCCCGCCACATTGAAACTCATGGGTAGAATTAGGAACGCTCTTGATTGATATTTCTTCTCCTTTGTGATCTCTGAGATCATGGTGCGACTATGAAAGTCGACGTTAGCGACTCCCAGCCTTGGTATAACGGCAACCGTACTTACATGATGCCCACAGTACCATTAATACCTCCACCGACAGCACGCCAGAATGCAGCCCAAAAGAACGATGTTGCGAATCCATATCCGACACACGAGATAGCAGTGCCTCCGAGACCAATAAACAGCACCCATTTACGGCCACACCAGGTCGCATCTGCAGCCTTACCCCACAGGATTGCTGTCAAAACTTGTGCGCCAGTAAAGCATCCTTGGAGGAGCCCGGCTTGCGTCGAGATCTGGGCGTCGGACAAAGAAGAATTGATATATTTAAGTTGATAAAAGACATATGCTTGCAGTGATGCAACCTGAAGGAAGTCGACAAAGCGGCAAAGGAACAGAATGGCAAGCTGGTCCTTCCGGGGTAGGGACATCCAGGTCACCGGCCCGGGCTTGGCGATCGGTTTCGATTCCCGCGACTCAACATCTTTATCGTCGTGATCAATGTCAAATTGATCAGGTGAAGGGAGGCTATTGGTATTCGAAAATGCTGTTGTTTGGGTACCATGAGGACTTTTGGCTCGCAGTTGCGAGTTCAAGATGTCTGGCGCTGTCATGATTATTTCACTGTTCAGCAATGACTTTCGTGTAAGGGACGAGACACCCTGTACAAGCCATCTCAGAAGCAAGTCACGCCGTCTAAAATGGTAATCGATATCAGGGGAGACTCCCCACGGTGCCGGTCATCCAAATATGCAAAAGCCAAGCATTGTACATGTACAAACACGACATGGTCACTGGATCTACACTGACAAGGGCCGAATGGAGAAGCGTAGTAGGATCCACCAAGAAATCTCCCTCACAAAATCGCAAAAATGCAGCCCTTTGGTGAGGCTAACATTGAGAAGCCATTTGACATTTCGTCTTCCTGGTACCCTCCGGGCTGCCTCTCCGTGCTGCACAGTGGGGTGTCGGAACCGACAGCGGCCGATGGGTGGACGCGTCCTCCTGCTCCAGTTCTCGGCGCTCGGCACGTAGTTCGAAACTGGAATGACGGGCACTATGGCCGGGACGGTCTAGTTATCCCTCCTCTTGGCCCTGTCTAACGAGAAAGGGGAAAGGGAAGAGAATTGAGGCAGTGCATGCAGCCACTTGCATGCAACATTGCCGTGTGGTGTGTACGATTGATTGTCTTTGACGGCGCCTACCTGTCCCTCCTCCACTCAAGCGCCTTGTCATGCAGAAACCGACTTATCTCGACGATCACTTCAGAATGGGGTAGCAAACCCTGCTGAGTGATTTCGATTCGTAATTGCTGTTCAAAAATGATGGGTTTTGTGTATTCCCAGTGCTAGTATGAGAGCTTACGCGGCTACATCTGGGTCAGCCCCTTATTATGGAAATAGTCGTGACTCGCAAATGCCATTGATAAAAGTTCAGCGCTTCTTTATCTGAAGAGCGACAGAGCTACTACGTCATGATGACATGATCAGACAAACCAGTAGAATTACATCGTTTGAGACGGGTGAGGATCTAGTGCGCATGCACGGTAGCGGGCACTGTCCTTTGGAGGCGCAGGTACAGGTTGTCAGAAATATTTACACGTGTATTTGCAATTAAATCAAAATTAATAACGCCGGTGGGCGAAAGGGGCCAAGTCTATGTCCCCACACCCATATCAAGCTAATGCTAACATCAAGTGGTTTTTCCTTGGTCTACTTGCATACATGCTTTCCAATGCATGAGATAGACAAGAATACAAAAGACAATCCAAGGACTGGAAATACGGGGGCGACCAGGGCCCCATAACAAAACACCTTCTAGTTACCCAATAGAAACGCCCACGCAATGATAAGACATGCGCCGCCGAGCGCGGCTATCATAACGAACCGGAGCAGAACATTGAACATCTGCATGCGGTTTCGATACCGGGATCTCGACACGAAGATTCGGTTGTCGTTGATGTTGGGGAACGGTTGCCCCTTCGGCACTCGCTCGCCGAGAAATTTGCACAGGGGCTCCCACCCCTCAGCGACCTTGAATTCCAGGAGATTCTCTTTAGGGACTAGGCTTCGAACTTCGTCGTAATGTCGTAAGAAGACTTCCTTGCCTCGTCCAGGAAAGTCGCCCTTGAAAAAACCCTCAAAGAACTTCTGTATCATCGGGCTGTACATGGAGGCAGCCCAGCTGACATATGACAAGAGCCGCAGCTCTGGCTCCATCGCACGCCAGTAGAATGTCTTCATTGTAGAAGCGTGCCAGCTGTCGACGTCGCGGGTTGTGAGCACAACTTTGGCCTCGGGATATGCCTCAATGAGCTCCTTGGCGAATGCAACCGCAGGCCAATCACACACAGCCTGGCAATTGCCCAATAACTGGTCCCAATCTTCGCTTGTGAAAGGTTTGCCGACGCCATCGTACTTCGCTCTCAGTGCATCCATCCACATAAGTGCATCTGGAGGATTCTCGATAGAACAGCTCATCATATGATATGTGTCAACATATCCTAATTGGCGCATTGCCTCTCTCATAGCTGATATCCAACCATACAGTCAGTATTAGATCATGCTAGAAGCCATGTCAAAAGGAACAGGTAGAAATCTTGAGGGACGTGACGACCATCGTGTAGGAATGCAAAAGGAGATGCTCACAGGCTGTTCCTGTTCGACCCAGACCTAAAATCAAGACTCGCATAGGAACTGTTCGTCTACATGTTCGTCTGTTGATATCTGTGTCGTTTGTAAAGATGTCTGTTATAGGCTTTGATCTATACGTTGCAGAGGCAGCCATGGCGAGGAACTAATAACCGAAATGTTCAAAGTAATATCAAGAGAGTGTGGTGAGGGTGAGTACTTCAAAGAGTGACTTCAGTGAGTGATAGACAAACGTCGAGACGGAGACACCGTGCAACAGGTACTGAAATTCTTATCTACTCTGTGAGCTCTATAAAGGTCAAGGAAGGGCAACGCTAGGCCAGTGTTCCGATCTTCACCTTTCCCCAGTCTTGGACTGATGGGTACGACGACCCTCTCCTCACATTTGGTAGAGGCTGATGTACGTGTACATACATTTCACGCACAAAGCGCCTCATCTTAGCACAGCTCATTCAGGCGCCACCAGTAATGGCTCTTGACTCGTCCATGCTCCATGCAAGGATCTAAAACAGCTACCCGGTCAGGACGCGACGACATCCCCACTCGGCAACCCTCGAAGTGAAATCTTTCACGTTACTCCACGTCGGCCCAAATGGCATACTGTGCTGTACAATGAATGCACTGGGTAACGTCGAGGTGTCCACACCCGAAGCAGAGGGTCTTGCCCGAAAGGGGTGGACGGTTTCCGGTGTAGCTGCGCCCCGATGAAAACGACTCAGGCCGGCACGTAGGTAGCTGAACGGCGAATCGGAGCCGCGGTTTTGGGGCTGCCCAGCTTGGTAAAGACTTCGTCGCGCGCCGAAAAATACATGTCTTGCGTATAAGCGAATCTTAGCGGCTTGGCATTGCGCAGATTTCCGCTCTCATTCCAATTGCTCCCCTCATCTCATTTCCACTCTCCTGATTGCGGCGTGTGATGGCGAAACATGCATCGTAATCATCAAGCCAACAATCAATATTGTCAATGAGAGACCTCACGGTTTGAATGATTCCTGTAATTCACTCCTCGAGCCACATTGAGGGGATCAATATCAGCGCTGTACCATACATGAAGTTAGACGGAGGCTAACAATGCATTAGATTTTCATATGGATAGGTTGCTTACTTTTCACAATTATACAGGCAGTATCTTACATGACAGAAGAAGATATATGAAAATATAACCAACAAAAGTATAATGATATTGAGGCTCAACAGATGGTGTCCACTTTATACGAACATCAGGTGACATCTCAGGTGGCCGGTCCCTTTGTGTGAAATCCCGCTAAAGTTATATTTCGCAGGAGGTAAGTTACTTGGGACTGCGCCGGGATCTCTATGGACTTCTAAGGCAGTCTAACTCTAGATTCAATTGATGAATGACAAACTGCTTCTATTCATCAGACACAGTAGCCCAAGGCTTCATCAACATTCTGTCCACGTCAGGTAGTTGAATTAGGATACATAAATCAGAATATGGTCAAGAACCTTTGGGCCTTTAATATTTGGTCACATCGGTATCAGTCATTTGAGCAGATTTATCGACAAGTATAATGATACTATAATGATGATGCCGCAGGAAAGAATTGAGGCAATTACGCAGTTGAGTAGGAGTCCAGTCACAATTGAGAAAGCTCGTTCTATGCCTGTCTCAATTATCTCAACAATGGGGAGTTTTGAACATGGTTCAAATCCAACACAATTTCATAAAAGTATGCAGAAGGAGGTTCTCATTTCCCCCCTAAATACTACTGCGACTGTGGATTATTAGTATTGAAAGGCAATTTATCTTCCGTAAAAAGTATACTTTGCCACAGAATTTCGCTGCATGCCTATTTGAGTAAGGTAAAGAAAGCATGTTTCTAGTCTCAGAACAAAGCAGACAATCAGTCTTGATGCGCCATGAGCTATGCACCGTGTATCATGCAACATATGCCAATCTATTTAGAATAATGGAGTTCATGAAGTCCCAAGCTTCATCGCCCTGTTCCCGTTTCAAGTTTAACAAACCTCCAAGCAACTGCACCAATAGTGAAGCCAGCCTAGAGCATATTAGAAAACGCCGATGTTCTAAACAACGAGCGTACTCACCGCTGCAATGAAGAAAGGAAGGCCAGCCCAGAATCCTTTGTCATTTAGAGATATGGCGAAAAACCTTAGCAATAGAGGGTCGGCGCATATTCTTCCCACGATTTCAACGAGTTGGGCAATTGCGAATATACGCGCACGCACGTCTTCATTGGTCCAGATAGTCACAAGCGAGAGGACAGCGACCCGCGTGCCGTAGCCCGTTGCAAACACCAACACCGCTAATGAAGTTAGTAGGGTTGTTGCACGTGAGAACTATAACTTGCCTGCTGTGAGAAGATTGCCAGTTGGCGCGAGACCCATGAATAATGAACCAAATGCAAGTATAACTAAGCTTGCAAAGACAATCGTGTAGTCGATGAGCTCTGCTCGTATGTGCAAGTGAGAAGTCAAGTATGCAACGCATTGAGGGAGAATGAACAGAAAGAGGACAATATTCATCACAGCTATAGCTGACACTAGCATGGCTGTGCGTGAGAGATGCCATTCGAACCGCGCGGTAGCATACTGCAGCAAAACAGACACTGTGGCCTGTCTGAATGCCCCAACAAACAATACGACGAGTGCGAGAAGTAGGTTTCTTTTCCGTAATACCATGAAGATGTTCTCCTGGTCAGGGGCAATCGCATATTTCGGCGGCGTTGTGGAAGATCGCAACAAAGGTTCATTATCGCTTGTGGAATCCGTAGTGGCCGTCAGATCCTGCCGAGACTTTTTTGATCTCTCGTGACTTGGCTGATGAGTCTCTGGAATTGCCCAGAGAATTGGATAACACAAGGCTAGTGCACCCAGACCGATACCAAAGGGGATTAAAACGCTTCGGTCTATCGACATCGAGACAATCGCTGGTGCGAACAATTCACACACTAGAAATGTTGAGTAAACGTAGTAGAAATACCGGCTCCTTTGTGATGGTGGGCAGGAATCCGCTGCGACTGCATAAACAGTTGCATTGGCTGATGAAAGATTTCCCAAGAGGTAGAATGCAGAGGAAAACCAAATCAGCTTAATACTTCCCCCCGCGAACCCTCCCGCGCCTAGAGGCCTCGGTGAGTTTAGATGTTCTTGCAACTCTGCCAGTGTATGAAGACTTGAGCAATACGCACCAATCAAAAGCATCCAGCCAGTTGAAAGCAAGGGGCCAAGGATACTGGTTGCAAGAACTTTCTTTCGACCAAGCTTATCAGCAAGTGTTCCCATTGGGATAGCCATTATAAAGACTGATAGAGTTAGTACAGATTTACTTGATATACAGACTGCGGAAGACATACTTGCAATCCCATCAAACAAAGCCTTGTAGCCTCTAAAACTAGCTAATCGGCGTTGTACCGGCTTAATCTTGCACAGGTGCTCTGGAATCGAGCCTCCAGGGCTAATGACAGAGGGATTGTGGTTTGTATAATAGGAACGACATATTGAATGTTCAAACAAGGCAATCTCGGGAACGATTCGAATTTGATCATACAATTCTATCAAAAAATTGATCAAGATGACAGCCAGACGAACCCAGAGGGGCTGGTACACTTCTTGTCTGTCACTGATATCTTCAGATGACCGAGAATGACTAATATCTGCTTCAGGATCGTCCCAAAGCGGGCCATCTGGCTCATCTGTTGAAGCCATGCTAATACATGGATGGGGTAATTGTTGAAGTGTCGGTCAGGCTTAACAGAGGAATGACGTGTGGTTGGTTTTTAGCGGCAAATCATCACATGACCAATCAGGTGTGCCCCCTATGAGTCCTTTATTGCTTAACATCACTTTTAGGCTGAATGATACTATAAGTGAGGGAGAAGGATATAATCATTGTTCAGTTGAAGAAATAGGTTGGTCTGCCATCTAAAGTCGAAAAGGTGAACATCGTTTCTCTGTCTATCTAAAGGAGACTCTCGTGTGCCTTTGTCGAATTACCCACTCGACTATTATACTAACACATTTTCTTCCGCGCTAATAGTATGGTAACAGGAAACGTGATATGTAATAAGCCGCCTGTATCTGAAGCCGCAGCCTCCAGTTCTTTCCAGGCTGCGGAAGAAAATGTCGCTTCATCGAATGCGCTATGAAGAGAAATCATAGACTCTCTCAGCCAGTCTAGTGTACAATCCTCCATTTGCTAGTCATTCCAATTCTCTTCACATTTTCGAGTTTCATTACCACTCAAGAAGTCAACTTTGGACGCTGGCTTTGGCCCCAGTAGCTCGACAGTATGAGGCCAAGGCCAGACATTTCCATAGTCTTTGGTGTTGACATAGATCCTCCTTACATCTTCCCACTTATGCGGACTAAGGTCCATATAATCCAACCCGGTCGAAGCATGTAGATGTCCTTTCCGCCAATTATCGTCAAGAAGGTTTTCTTTCGCACAGCGAGAGTAATGCTCTTCCATCGCTTGCCTAAAAGCTTGCTCTGCGCGTGCGTTGTTTCGAATGGTCGGATAAACATGATAAAATACCGCGGCAAATGTTCCGCCTGGCCTTAAACTGTTCAGAATGTTCTTCGTTGCCACCGGCGCATCAGTCCAGTGCATTGACTCGCATGCGGTAACCATATCTATAGACGAAGGCTCTAGAAATTCGTCTTCGCCTTTAGCTTGCTGGAAGTTGAATATTGTGTCAGGATGAGTCAAATTGTTGAGAGCCTGAGCAGCAACATTCAGGTTTGTTGCCCCCGGGTCTGAAAGGTACACACGCTTGACCGGCTCACCGCGTGCTTCGGCAGCGGCCATTAGGCATTGGGCACCTATGCCACATCCTGTCCCGAGATCGTGTACGGAATCTAATGGCCCTTGGTGGAAGTCGAGCCAATCATGAAACATAGATTGTGGATAATGCGGGCGATATTTGAGATACTGGTCCCAGAATGCAGGTGACATGATGAATGGTAGTTGCTGTGAGCCCATGTTCGCGTAGTTGGATTAACTTCCTAATCCTGTTCAACTTGCTAGATACTTACCAAGATTTAAATTTCTTCAATGATACAGAATATCGATAATTCTCTAGTAAGCTTTCCCGACCTTTTATACTTCCCCGCCCCCTTGCACTACGTGAACTCTAAATAGTGTGACGAGCTTCTTCTAGATAGTCCGTCAATATTGACATTGCCATTCGACACCTTAACATGGACTTTTGGAATTCAGACTAGTATACATCTGCCGATAAAATTCGCAATGCAACCCAAAAACTGCATGGTGTCTTATGTTGGCCCTTACAACTTACGAGTGAGTTTTGTTATTGGCCTGCTGCTTGGATCACCGGACCAGTCAAGCCCACATGATTGGCCCTCACGTAAGCTATATGACGCCGGATATGCCAGCATTATGTTATCTGCGTTAGGTATATCAGCGGTATTTCTCGAAATACCCAGCACGATGTGAGAAGAAGTGAATCTCTAGATAGATTGGGCTTTCAAAAGCGTGCGAAAAGAATTTCACACTGGAATGAACAAACCCTTTAGCTATGCAAGCCTGTAGACCGTCTTGTCTTTAGTAAATGATAATCGTTACAACAAGGAGCATTAGATACCATTTCTTACTAGTTTATTACTGATTGTATGCCCTGGTCAGGCCGCTTTTCGTGGTGATTGAAACTAGTGCACAGCGCTTCTCAACGTAAACGTATCGCGTAATGTTAGCTAGCGTAAAAATCAGGCCACCCCTGTGATCTTCTCCGCCCCCTCAGCAGGAGAAGTTAATATTTCGAGTCTGGCTCGAGGCCATAGGGTAAATTTGTAGCCGAATTGTACAGAAATGTAGTCTACAGTCCACAACTTGAAATTTGGAGTGGCTCCGCTCTGTTGAGGTCTCTTAGCTTAAAATTTCGAGAAATCCCGAAGCACTAGTACATCTGTTCGGCGCGATTTTCGGTCCTGTGGCCTAATGGCTAAGGCGTTGCTTTCCGGTGGCAAAGACTCCAGGTTCGAGTCCTGGCAGGATCGTTTTTTTGGCTCTCTAAACGTCTTTCTAGCTTCGCAATGGCTCTCGTTTCCTGTCTGACCTGTGTCGGTCCTAGCTGCGCTGCCCCGCATTTATCTTTTTGGGTGTGAGGCATATTGTTAGTGCGCGAGCACACAAACCACTTCAGGTATTAGTGAAGTAATGAGAAAAAATATCTCTAGTCTATTTGACTGGATTGCGTCTCGAGAAAAGCACGTAAATTTCCCGAATCTGGATCAATTTCCTCCCATATATTGTTTGCTTTGTCTAGGGTTTCAATCTTCGCTATCCAGCAGGCCTAATCTCGCCCAGAGCGAAAGACCTTACTAGGAGACGTTTCGGCAAGCTAATTGCTACTTACTAGCATAGTAATAGAAAAAGAGAAGTAATCAAGGTAGTATTGGGGTGTCTGAAGCATTGGTCGCTCATCTGACTCGAAAACCTTGCGTGGGTGGATGAATGGCTAATACGAGTATTCTGGCTGTACGAATAGCTTCACATTTACCCGATTAGACAATTTGATCAGTCTTCAGTAGGTACTGGTATGTGATAGGCTTAAATCTATCAATAGACTAGTATATAACCCACTTGGTAGTGAAGTAAGGAGAAAAACATTTAATGTAGATTGAGAGCTATCTTTTATGTTATAATTACACTGTAGGGATCAACAGGGGTCCTTGTAGATATCGAAAAGTAGTGATATGGTGGCGATTCAACAGTATGTGGACCGTGGAAGCCCACACCTTGTGTCGATAGATGGGCACGGAAGTCACTATCGTAGCAGAGAAGTAAGGAGAACAAGCGCCTGACGGTCCAAAGTCGTCACTGTAGATTAAGATCTATCTCATATGTAATAATTACACTGCAGGGATCAATAGGGGTTCTTAAAGAGGTTGAAAGGTAGTAATCCTGGCGGCGCTGTAGTAGTCGGTGGGCCCTGGAAGTCCACTACACCTTGACACACATAATCGTGGTCAAAACTATCATAAATGGCGAAACATACATATTTAAGACGACGGAAATAATCAATAGATAGCGTTGTATTTTAGAATAATAGGGAAACGAGAAACATAAGATGTCGAAATCTATGTGGCCGACAGAAATGATTCGATAGTTAAACGTCACAAGGCTCAACTTCCATATCAACTCCAACCTTTTTCAGCCTTTCGATAAAGGTCATCCCCAGTCTGGACGGGGTCAGCAAGCCGCTCCTTGGGGTCAGGCCGTATGTACTCTCAGTCAAGCCTATGATGCTTGCAGCAGCTTCGGCGCCGAGAATCGCAGCAATGTCAACGAGTGCCCCTTTGTATATAAATCTTGAGGCCACTAGCGGCTTCGAATTGCCAGATGCGTAACCAACAGCCCGCCACTCTAGGCTTTCGCCTTTCCTGCTTACGTCTCGGTCTGGACCTGTGCCTGGCTCGAAAGATTTGCCACGAATGAATGTTCTGAACCATGGAACAGCAAGAAGAAGTGTGCCGAGCTTCGTTACGAGGTACAACAAAATAGCTGACAAGAAGCTATCTGTAGGAACGTATTCCCTAAAGAAGAAGTTGCCGCCGTATGTCTTGGGATCGAGACCTGCTGAACGATGAACGACTGACTCGTTCCCACTTGCTGTAAAAGAATAAGCCAGCTTTCCAAGCACCGGATCGTTTCTGTATCCAAATAGAGACCCTTTCGAGGCTCTTTGCGGTTTGGGTTGCGAAGACATTCCCCACGAGTCGCCCTTGAGCCATCCTGAAACGCCATAGTTCTCTGCAACATCAAGAACAGTGTGAAGGGATGTCCCCTGCATTCCAATCATGTTTAGTTTTCCCGAGCAGATAACGTCATCGAGGTTCGAAAGCCCATGGTGTTTTGCATAAGACGCAATCAACCATGCAGAAAGATCAGACGGTGAACTCGATCCGGAGATAGCTGGAATGATGATGGCTTCTGACTCTTCGGCGGCACGGTTGTAGGTTTTGATCATGTCAATAATCCAGGCCGTCTCTGTGCTGAAGTCGACGTAGTGCGTACCATTCTTAGCACATGCCGCCACCACAGGGGTACCAAAGAGGTGATATGGCCCTATGCCATTGATTATAACTTTACTTCGTACAACCAATGGTTCCAGGGCTAATTCGTCTAGCTGAGGTACAACATAAATGTCCGGTTGAAGTCTATCAGAGTTGATGGACCTGAGCCTCTCTTGAAGAGCCTGAAGCTTAGCTTCCGATCGTCCTGCGATACACCATTTTTTTGTCGTGGGAAAGGTTTTAGTGATATGCTCGGCACATATTGTTGCTGTCCAGCCCGTAGCACCGAGAATGGTGATATCGTATTTCCTACTTTCAGCCATCTTGACGTAAGCCCAACCTGGATCGCAGCGAGTCAAAAAGTCTGCGAGAAATCTCCCATGTCTTATATATTTTATTGGTTCACACCAAGGACAATAGCTGACACTATTGGACTTCAAAAATGCAAGAAATCTTCGCGTTTTCACGTGAACTCGCGTTAGATTCTATCCGGCCGGAGATTCGGATGCGTACATGCAATCGTCGTCAGTTTTTTTGGTTGAGACAGGATTAGCAATAAAGCCGTGTAGCTCCGGAACCTAAAGGTTCAGGCGGCGTTCCGTGGAGGTGGCCGGAGTAAGTTGTCTTCATGAGTCAGGTTTCCAAAGAAACTCTTAATATGTGGTATCTTTATCGCATCTGGAAACTTTGAACAAGACATTTGGGTCCAAGTCATGCCATACTATGACTTCATATATGTGATGGTGCACGCTCCCTATGGGCACCGAAACTCTTACATGGATTGCAACTCACTTATGCATGTTCGAATGCCAATCTAGCCGTTGCGATCTTGGCACAGGAAATCAATCATTGAGGATATACTGAGTGCTCTTGAGAGTGATGAGGTGCCTGGACATATTCAGTCTACAGCTTCTAAACAAACGCTGTGAGTTGTTCCAACGGTAGTCTCCAAATGGATGTTAATTATGCTTCATCTCAAAAGGTGAATTAGATGACTAAGACGCAGACCACAAGTGTAGTAGGGAGATTGAATATCCATTCTACCCTCGTTTCTCTGCTTTCTTTTATGTGCTAATATTTCGTGAGGGGATTGTATTTATTGAAGCATGCCGTAAATAATCGCGAGTCCATATGCTCGATGATGCTAGAGCGTGTAGGTAGGTAGCAAATCATTTTTGGGGCCGGCAGAACCCACGGCGCATTGCGCCGGCTGTCAGGCGGGGTGCGGCCCGCGCTATCGGAGGGGAAAATATCACTTCAAGAGCTCATCATTCTTGCAAAACTTACCCGCCTGCATGAATCACCGAGTCCTCCTGCAAAATCGAAGCCAATATCGAGGCTTTTGTATCAGTCATTGACCATGAGTTCGGCGGGCCAGGACTTCAGTCTTCGAGATCGCGCAAAGGCTCTAGACAGTGAAGATGCGCTACCATCCCTTCACCACGAGTTTGTCATCCCGACAAAAGCCGACATAGCGAGTAAACGGCTCGCAAGGGAAGGTGAGTGCAGAACGAGACGCTTTGTATACCTCATAGCCTCACGACACTTACCGATACTGTGTGTATAGAGACGATCTCAGTTGAAGGGCCAGGGCAAGATAAATGTACCTACCTCTGTGGCAACTCTTTGGGTTTGCAGCCCAAGCGGACAACTACACGAATTCAACAATACTTGAGTACGTGGGGCACTCAAGGGGTCCAAGGTCACTTCAAACCCTTGGAGGATTCACCTCTGCCGACATGGCTGGACGCGGACGAGAAGGCTGCACAGATGATTGCACCGATCGTTGGCGCCGAGTCGTCAGAGGTCGCTGTGATGCAGACGCTTACGGGCAATCTACATCTCCTACTCTCATCGTTCTACCATCCGGATCCGAAGGGCAAGCACAAGATCATCCTCGAAAGCAAGGCTTTTCCGAGTGATCATTTTGCCGTAGAGACACAGATCCGCCATCATGGCCTGTCTACAGCAACATCTATGGTGCTTGTAGAATCGCCATTCTCTACTGACAATGTGTTTAGCACCTATGACATCCAGTCCCTCATTTCGAAACATGCAAACGACACTGCGCTCATCCTCCTCCCTGGGATACAGTACTACACTGGCCAGCTGCTGGACATTCCTACCATCACAGCGTACGCTCACAAACACGAAATCTTTGTCATCTGGGACCTCGCACACGCCGTCGGCAATGTGCCATTGTCTCTTCATGACTGGGATGTTGATGCGGCGGCTTGGTGTAGCTACAAGTACCTGAACGGCGGCCCAGGTTGCATCGGAGGCATGTTTGTGCATACCCGCAACAGCCAGGTCACAAAGGCAATCACAGAAGAAAAGGCCGAGGAAGGTTACACTAATCGCTTCGCTGGGTGGTGGGGAAATGACAAGTCGACGCGGTTCGTGATGGCAACGAAGTTTCATCCTGTGAAGGGCGCTGCCGGCTTCCAGTTGAGCAACCCAAGCATCCTCGATATTACGAGCTTGTGTGCTTCCCTTGAAGTCTTCGAACTGGCTGGTGGAGTGCTGGCATTGCGACAGAAATCAGTTCGACTGACGCAATACCTCGAGGATTTGCTTAAAGATATGTCAGAGCAGTCAAAAGCGCTGTTCAGGATTATAACGCCAACGGATCCGACTCAAAGAGGTGCTCAGCTCAGTTTGCTCCTATCCGACGGCTTGTTGGATGGTGTGATGAAAGAACTTGAAGCACGAGCTGTCATTGTCGACGAACGTAAGCCGAATGTCATTCGGGTAGCTCCTGCTCCACTGTACAATACTTTTGGGGATTGCCTTGACTTCGTCGAGGCCTTTGAAGTTGCTCTGCAGGCTGCGAATAAAGCAAAATAGTGAGCAACGTGATACAGTGTATAGACGAGAGGAGTAAATCATGCAGCGTTGAATAGATCCAATCAGGTCACTGTAATGATATGTTATCAAGAGCAAATATGTGGTAGTGGTGTATGTTACTTGACTATCAGCAGAAGTTGAGTCTGACTCTCTGGAATTTCGGTCACCACCTCAGGACCATCCATGAATTTCTCATTGCACTTTAAATAGGTGCATTTTCAAATATCTCTATCGTTATTTAGCATCGAGATGATCTTCATCAAGTGCCAGTCTCATTCTTGGTCCATGAAACGTCGTATTAGGTCTTGCATGTTGGTGGGGGTTAGGACAAGCAAACAGGGGTTTTCCAGTGCAACCGTAGGCCATGTGGAGCGCTGTGTTCCCCGCAATCAACCACTCCTCCTCACGCAAGACACAATAGGCCCCCAGCAATCCCTCATAGCTTTCGGACCGGCATCGATTGGAGAGCGGAGTATTGTGATGCCATGCGGGTTTCTGTCAGACTGCGACCTCAGCATGCAAGATCGGCGCGTTTGCTTGATTAAATGATGTTGGCCACTTGCCGCTTCGGTCCATGGGGCCCTCATCCTGCCTTCTTAATACTTTTCCTTCTGAATCTATATGAGGTAGTCCTCGCGCTGGATCGCGGGATGAACTTCCAAGACTATCACTACTGTAAGTTCCTGTCTGGCTTAAATAGGGCGAACCATGGCAAATAAGTTCCTCTGTCCGTCTTTGAGCAGTCTCGTTCTGCTTTTCCTATTGCCCTTAGTGACAACAACACCAGCACCACAGCAGGACCTGTCAAGCAAATACGAAAGCTCCTGGCAAAAGTATGTCCGAGCGCCTCCTAGCAAGGCGGTATTGCCATTACGAGTTCTCGACCAATACACAACGGGCAATGTCAAGAATCCTGATGGTTTAGTTGCAGGAAATGGCTTGACTGTGCTTACCCGTCAAGATCAGGATGATGATATACCGACAATTGTCATAGATTTTGGCCAAAATTATGCGGGCCTCCTGTCAATTGAGTTCGAAGGCGCAGAGGCATACGAAAGTGATGATAATTCGACCGATGGACTTCCAGGCATAACCCTGGCTTTCTCAGAGACTCTCGAAGGCCTCACCGATAGATCCGATTTCACTCGATCTGACAATGCTGGTGGCGTTAGTGATCCCACAGATGGAACTCCAGACACAGATCATTGCTAATCCAATAACAGGCTGAAAAGATCACTCAGGGCACTGATCAAGTGAGTTTTGTGGCTGTTATACATGCCATATCCGTGCCGCTGATGGTGTATGGGTAGATTGCGGTGAAGCTGAAACCATATACCTGGATCGCTCAGCACGGGTGTGAACACGGCACGCAAGTCTGTGTCGACGGCTTGCACGGGTTCCGCTACCTCAAACTTAGACTAGATGCGATTACTTCTGATGCCCCGTATACTGTCTCTTACGGTTCTGTTTCCATCAAAGCTCTGAGTCTCGAATATTCCGGCTTCCTGGGCACTCCCGACACTTTCACTGGATGGTTTGAGTGTTCTGATGAGAATATCACTCAATGGTGGTATGATGCGGTATACACCAATGACCTCTGCACTGACATCTTTCGTGCCAATGACACAGAGCCAAGACGAGCAACAAGCCCGACTCTCCTCGGCAAATTAGTCCTTCATGATGGAGCTAAGAGAGACAGAGATCCGTATGTTGGTGATCTTGCTGTGGCGGCGTTGACATCCTATGTCTCGCATGACGTGCCGTCGGCCTCTCGTAATGTACTCGAGGACTTGGGTTTCCACCAGCGATCAGACGGCTGGATTCCACCAGCTAGCATGTGAATCTCCCTCATATACTTTGATATCCTTAGTACGAGTCTGACTGTTATCAAGTAACGACTACACTCTTCCGCTGTTTGATTATCCTCTATGGTGGGTTGTCTGTAGTAGTGATCATGTCTTATACACTGGGAACATGACCTATCTCGAGACATTTTACCCACACATCGTCAAAGTTCTTGACACTTTCTACCCGTCCATGACTAACTCCACGACGGGTCTGATTGAGCGGCCAGACGGATATGGCGATTACGCCTTTCTGCCACGGAACGGCCCCATCACCTACTACAACGCTCTCTATATCCTGGCACTCAAGCGTGCCGCAGATCTGTCGGAGATGTTAGCTAGTGCTTATGAGACCGATGCATCAAGATGGCGCTCAAGGGCAGACGGAGTTGTGAATGCTCTCATAGAGGAGAATTATGATGATGAGCTTGGGGTCTTCGTGGACGGTGGCTTCTGCGATGGAGCCAAGTGCGACGCACACCCTCAAGATGGCAACAGCATCGCAATCCTGAGCGGCGCGGTGGATACTACGGCAATGTCTGAATCCATCCTGTTATTTTTGGCGTCCGCGCTCGCCAGGCCGTATGGTAACGCCTTCTATGATACCAGCGCGATCAGCCCGTCGGATCAATTTGACCAACGTGTATATGCCTTTATCAGTTATTTCGAGCTGGCAGCTCGATTCACTACTTCAAACGCTACAATTGAGTCAGCATATGAGGAGCTTCGCAGACTATACGGTTGGATGAGCTCGCACGACCCTTATAGCACTTTCTGGGAGGGGATTGGAACCGGAGGTGGGCTATATGAAGGTGGGTTCACAAGCATGGCACATGGCTGGTCGACCGGCATCGTGCCCCTGATGATCAATTATGTGCTTGGCGTGACACCGACGGGCCCAGGATTCACTACGTGGAGCATTAAGCCGCTTCTGAATAGCGATGATCTCTCCTGGGCCAGGGGTAGAGTACCGACTCCTCATGGCCCGATCGAGGTATCTTGGGAGAAAACAGGAAGCGGACTGTCTCTGCAGGTAAAAACGCCAGAGGGAACAGCGGGTGATGTCAGCGTCCCATTCATTGAGGAGAATTCGAAGTTGTTGCAAGATGGCAAGACAGTATATAGCAGGAGCAATGGAAACCTGCAAAGAGCAAGAGTCGAGGATGGCAGGGTTGTTGTCCGGCTCGATACTAGTGGCAGTCACCTCTTTCAAGTAGAATAGCGATTCTGTTGAATCAACGAGCACCCGAAACACGATTCCACTCCATGCCCATCAAAAACATGAATCACATTGTGTGAATTGAGAGGATAAAGCGAGCTGCTCCCATATTCGGACGAAAACACTTGTTCTCTGTTGAAATCGTGATTGCCTGATCACCTGGTAAGGAGTAAACGGGCATTATCTTGAGGATGGGCAGAGAAATGAGGTCATTATAAGTGCAGACTGGATCAGGCTGTATTAGTATGGAATACCCATTCTATTACCAATTACAGCAAACGATGCACCATCTTAGCATCGAGGCAGGGGCTGATCAAATCGCCCACTCGCTCATTTTTGAGAACTTGGCCACGAACTCCAGGGTAGAAAGCGGTAAGGAGGCCGTTGAAATTGTGTCACATGGTCGTCAAACATCGCCAAAAAGCGCCCGAGAGGCTTTCACGACCAAGCTGCGTTCAATTCATCTAGCATCCATTGATATGCCGACTTTTCCGCAGACAAAAAGCAATACCGTGCCCATGCAGCCGCCTGAAATGAGAACCGAGAACCATTTACACCTCCGTCGTGACCTTCGCCTTCGGGTTTGTGACCTTGACTCCTAGTTGCTTCGCGCGCGCAATGATATCGATTCTCTTTCGCGAGGAGACGTTGTGTGCGATCCTAATAATCTTGTCAGCCTTGTTTCTTACATGTCCGTTACCCAGCCAGGGTCCACAATGCCAGTGGTGAAAACATACTCTGCGGCGAAGGTCTTGTTGTGCATGAGCAGCAGCTCAACGTCGTTGGTGTTGCTGACGAGGAAGGCCTTGTGGCCGGAGGGGGTCATGTGGCGGGTCTTCTTGTTGGAGCCGAAACCGATCTGAAAGAGGATACCCCATGTTAGCCAATATATTCCGCCTTGTATTGTATCTTAAACTTCGTCTCGTGTCTCGAGCAGCGGGAAGCTGAATAAAAACGTACCGAGGGCATGACCTGGTTACCCTTGAATCGTCTTCGGACACGGTTGTCGATACCTGCAAGGTTTATCGTCAGCATTCACTGCCAAGATGGCGACAATCCGTCGCACAGGTGTGTCGATCGATTGCAACTAACCCTTGGGCTTGCGCCATTTGGACGACAGACACTTGAACCGGTCACTCTGGTGACGGCTGAAGGTCTTGGTGCCTGTTAACCAAGAGATTGTCAGCAATTTATTCCATCAATACCCCAGTATATCGTCCGTGAGGTGACTTCGTGGTCGGCAATCAAGGCTGGGAAGATTTTCGAGGTCGAATCAAACATACGCTTCTTCACGATAGGGACGTGCTTCTTTGCGGAAACCATCTGTGACCAGTCAGAATACTTTCTGCAATACGGGAATATAGTTGTCGTCGTCTGCGTACCTTGGCGGATTGATCCTGTCGTGATGGCTGGATTTGTTGTCGACGCTGTCTCTTCCCACGTCGGGTCCGCTTGTAGACTTTTCGATGCCCGCCGCTCAATTGTGCACTAAGGGCTTATTGGTAGGCGCGACCGAAAAAAAAACCCTAATCGGGAGCGGATTAAGTGGTACCCCGATATGAAAATATTGAAGCCCCCACCCCAGCCAGTCACGTGGATATTATCTCGAGAGAGTGGAGCTACAATAAAGTTTTGCCTTCCAATCCTGGGTAGGTCCAATCCTGGGTAGGTTCCATTGCCCAAACTATCAGGATCATCACTTACAGGTGCAACACACTTGAAGGATATCCAATTGTTAGATGGATGTCACTCAATTATTGTGGACTTTATTCTGGTGGCTAGAGATGGGTGTCCTTTGAACATTTTCTACTCTAAACATCGTGAGCCTGAAGAGGGAGCGGCATCACGAGGATCAGCATGAGCGCCGTCATACGCAACTAGATCCAACATTGAAAAACAGATGCCATCGTGTAACCACCTGGCGGAATATGTATGAGCATAAGGATGCTCACTCAGTGCTAACTACCTACCTTCACCACGTGGAGAAGGTTCCTGAAGCATTCATTCTGCTCCCCCTGTGCCTTGCTATTTTGATAGCGGCATGGCAGCAGCATGTGGAAGAGATAAATGGTCGTAAATCATCTTGTATGGGCTCTTGGGCCCAGCGGTCTATGCTATCCCCAATATGCCCATAATCCGTGTCTACTGTGTAGCGCATTGCGGTGCTCCGTCTTCTTCATCGACATCTTCCCAATCATTTCCGAATCTCGGGTCACCGGAGTGAGCACCCATCTAAAAAATTGAGTTAGTCATCGTATTGAGCGTTTTCTAGAGGAGTCGCGCCAGTTACATACCTCTTCAATGTCAACGTCCTCCTCATATTCCACCTCGTCGATCTCTTCCGCCGCGATAGCAGGAGCTGGTGGTGGAAGGAGCTTCTGCAATGCCTCGTAAGATTTGTCGTCTGACATCCAGCCATCCTCTGGGAACTCGATCTTGGCAATCAGGTAAAGATCGCCCTTCATCTCGCCCCTCTTCAGAGGCATTCCCTCACCAGGAACCTTGAGGACTTCATTTGGTCGAAGGATTTTGCCTCGGGGGAACTCAATGTGAATGCCACGGCCATCTAAATGCTTCAGAACCACTCGGGAAAAGCCACTCAGAGCTTCAGCCAGGGTAACGTTTAGATCGGCCGACAGATCGTTGCCGATGCGAGTGAAGACATCGTGCGGCTTCTCCACAAGAGTGAAAATGATATCTCCAGGTAGCTGCTCGGGGTGTTGATCCGCCTCGCCTTCCAGGACTATCCGCTCGCCCTGCATAGAGCCTCGCGGGATGTAGATCTCAAGAGCCTTGGTCTCCTCTACCGTCCGCTTCCCCTTGCACTTCTTACACCGGTCCTTCTCCTTGTAATACATTCCAGAGCCTCCGCAATGATCGCAGGGTATGACCTCCTTACGGACCAAACCCGGGCCGATCTGGCGAAAAGCCTCTTGGATGCCGGCGCCTTTGCAGCGGTCGCACTGCTGCGGCTTGACGTTCTCCTTGGCTCCTGAGCCCTTGCACTTGTCGCAGACAACCTGCTTATTGGCAGCGAACTTGACAGTCTTTCCCTTGTACAGTTCCTCGAGTGAGACCTCGTATTGCTGCTCTTCATCGTGTCCTCGTCTCGGTCGCTTCGGCACGGCTCCTCCGCCCATGCCCATACCAAACATCTGCGCCAGGATATCATTCAGATCAACCTCCGCTCCGCCAGGGCCAGCTCTGGATGGATCGAAGGCGGCCATGCCATGGGTATCATAAAGGTGTCGCTTCTCCTCATCGCGAAGGATTTCGTAAGCCTGCGTGACGGCTTTGAATGTCGCCTCGGACTCTGCTCTTCTCTCCTCGGGGACCTTATCTGGATGGTGTTGCAAAGCAGCCTAGAGAGAATCTCTATCAGCATCTAACAAGCAGGACCAATCAGGGCACAATTATCACCAACCTTTCTGTAAGCCTTCTTAATATCGGCTTGGCTTGCTGACTTGTCGATGCCGAGAAGCGCTGGGTTTGTTAGCTTGTGATCCTGATCCAATCTGCGCGCGACGGGTGCAGATGACAGCAAGAAGGGCAACCTACCATACAGATCAACATCGTCGGCATCCATGGGCCCCATACTAGGTCCACCGCTGTCCATTTTCGACTCGATCGTAAAGCTGCTGGGAATATGAAGCAATCAAGAATTTCGCGGGGTGGTTGGTGACGATGGGTGATTCTAGCGGGGCAGCCCTACGGCTTTGATGGGGCCTGTGGATTTATGCTTACGAAGGGTCGTTCGGAGGCAAATATCCAGAATCTTCAAGAAGCTCCAAGCAGGCGATTTACGTCCTGTTTGAGTAGAGTCACAGGAAGATTCTGCGATCCTCAACAGCAGTTGCAGGTTCTGCAACGAAGGCTTTGAGTGCAAGGCAAAGACTCTGTTACTAAGCTACCGGTAGCTAGGCGCCTTTAATGCAAGAGGAACAAAACGGCGAAGCAACCAACGTCAGTGCATTGGCGCCTGCAGATAAGATTTCCAGTGGGAGCACAGCCTGAAAGTCGGTGTGAAAGTATTTCCCTTCCTATGGATAATGGACTAGGATGCTCTAAAGAGAAGGATGCTATTCATGTAGGCAGGCACCTAATCTGACACCAGTGACGGCCAATTATCAGAGGAGTAAAATATACAGGCAGGCAATAACAGGCCCCATTCGGCAGTGGTTCTAGATGCAACAGAGGTCATCATCAGACGTAAGAATCCTTACCTGGGTACCTAGTGTATTGCTGCACTGTACTTCTCACCCACGATTATGGTAGGGCTGACCTATGAGTTACTGCAGCGGCTAGAATGTGCCATATAGCATATAGGAACAGACAATAACGTCAGCAATACGCCATCTCCTCTCTCTAAAGTCGTAGCTTATCGACCCGTAGGCCTTTCCTGCAGTCACGGTCTACCCACAGCGATAGCTTCCTGGGACTCCATATCTAAACAGTGAAAGTACCTAGGTAGTACCCAATGGCTACCGACAACATGTCACTCTAGACACATTTACATGCATACAGTCAAGAGACACGATGCACATCAGGAAATGACTCCGTCGAAATATCCTGCTAATCTGAGAAGCAGTTAGGTAGTATCGTGAGAGCTTTCAGCCTAGGGGCCGGGTCAGAAAGCCTCCAGCCGTTGTTAGTGGACGACAGGCCTAAGCCACACGTGAAGCTAGCGAGATTTGGGTGGCTAACCATTCGCCGTGGCTCAACTCGTACTATCAAATTTGAAGCTTTGAACATATCTCAGGGCATACCAGGGACTACGGAGCCTTTGCATGCACTCGCAATTCTGAAGGATGGGAGGCCTGAGAGGCTTGAGAGAGCTGCGACTTATCTGGCGGCCGATCTGCGCAGACTGTCGGGCTCGTCAAGCACAACAAATTCGACATCATGCTACATCGATAATTCGCAAGCCATCAGGTCAAGGTCTTGCCGACCGGTTCCAGCTTCCAAGCACACCCGCTCGAACCCGTTTCGCCCCTTCACCGACGGGGTATTTGCATTTGGGATCATTACGGACCGCTCTGTACAATTATTTGCTTGCAAAGGCGACCGGGGGCCAGTTCATCATTCGAGTGGAAGATACAGATCAGGTGGCTTTGCCCAGCTCCAGGCTCAGTTTTCTTCGAGAAAATATACTAACTTCATAAAGACGAGACTTGTTGCAGATGCTGAACAGCGTCTGTATGACGACTTGAGATGGGCTGGCCTCACATGGGACGAAGGTCCGGAGATTGGAGGGCAATATGGTCCCTACAAGCAGGTAGATTGCATGCCCCAAATGACCTTCTGCAGAAGCTAAACACTATGCAGTCTGAACGACTGGGCCTCTATCGAAAGTATGCAGACTTCCTCCTTCAGCAAGATCGGGCGTTCCGGTGTTTCTGTTCGAGAGAAGCGCTGGAATTCCAACAGCGGACAAATGATTCTGCTGGCGCAGCGTCTGCTTATCCGGGGACCTGTCTTCATGTCTCGAGAGCAGAATCCGATGAACGCGCGGCGAAAGGCGAGCCCTACACCATCAGATTCAAGAGTGCGGCAAAGCCAATTGAAGCGCCTGATCTGGTTTATGGCAAGTATAAGAAGGCACATCGAGAGGACGATTTTATTATTATTAAAAGCGATGGGTACCCTACTTACCATTTTGCCAATGTCGTTGATGATCATTTCATGGAGATCACTCATGTCATTCGGGGTGCTGTGAGTCCCAAGACGGCCCCCGTCTTCACATATTCCTCGAGGCTAATGCATCTAGGAATGGCTTATCTCAACGCCAAAACACGTTGAATTGTATAATGCGCTAGGCTGGGAACCTCCTAAATTTGCACATGTTGGATTGCTCGTTGACAAGGAACGACATAAACTGAGCAAGAGGGACTTGGCGAATATCGGGATCTCCGCATATCGAGATCAAGGGACCCTCCCGCCTGCTCTTCTAAATTTCTCAGCCCTGCTGGGCTGGAATCCCAACTCTACAGGAAAGTCTAACAAACAAGGCTTCATGACTCTGGAGGAAATGGTCGACAATGTATGTGCTCTTCCATCTCGCTATGCTGCTCGATGTACTGACCGATCTAGTTCTCACTAAGATTTACTCGTGGCGATATTGTCGTGGATCAAGGCAAACTACCATTCTTCCAGAAGAAGCACTACACCCATCTTCTTCAAGACAAAAGCACGTCATCCCCAGTGCTCACCAAGTATGTACTTGAACCTATGGAGAGAGCTTTGCATCACTACGAAGATGCACGGCAAAATACTAGCAAAGCGCGAGGTTCTGAAGATCTCGAGCGAATTAAAACACTCGGCGACCCCTTACCCCTTGAAAGGGTCTTGAGCGACCAGCTGAATTTACACGACTATATCCTCAAAGCTCTAAACATATCCCGAGTATCCTACGAGAACCCTTCGAATTCTCTCGAATCAGCTAAGTATATGTTTTGGAGGATACCCGACCGCGCCTTGCAGCAATCGCTCGATGTTCTCTGGAACGAGATCACCTCCGTCACTCACGAGGGCAATACCCAGTCTTTCGAAAAGGTTCTAACACTACTCATTGAAGACTTGTCTAGCGTCAAGGAATCAGATTGGAACGAGAACTATCTACCAAGGCACGTAACGAGCCTGGCCAACTCCATCGTTGTCCACGAGAAAAGTGGAAAGACGATGGATGTTGGAGGCGGCTACAAATTCCTCCGCTGGGCCCTGCTCAACTCAATGCACGGGGCACAGATCGTTCCATTGATGGTTCTGCTTGGCAAGCAGGAGACCATTGAACGGCTGAGTGTCGCCAAAACGCTTGCCGCGTCTGCTTTGAGCGAGCGTGAATTATCCTCGGATAACCCAAATGAAGCCACAGCTCCTGGGACTGCTTCGCCGTTAGTTGAAGCAATCACACTTCTGGTCGGTGGTAGATAGGCCATGGAAATGTTTTTCGTTTCTTCAGGTTGGTCATACGCTTTCAGACCTCCAAGTTCACCTGCCATATACGTGGCGCTCGCCATCAGAGGATTAATGCTGCAGGGCAATATTTCGATGTGATTCTCAATCTCATGAAATTTGAGACGCGACACCACTCTTACTATTGTCAGCTTGCAAGAGCACAGGCGTAATTGTAGATCTACGTGTAATAGTCCTGTACAAACACAGAATGAAAAGGCATGATTGGGCCTAACCTTGACTCTCTAAACGCCATCTATGCTATCCGTTGGCTAAGCGAAAATATGCTGCCGTTCATGAATCCGATCATTGGTCTTTCGTCTTCTTTGGACATGAGAGCTGGTTCTCCAGCGTAATGTGATGCGGCGCTTGGGACTTCTTCACGAAGTCGAGCTACCTGAGCCATTGAAAATCTTTCCCTTGACTTCCACTGCCATCAAGCCTGCTCTCTCCTTGGCGGCAATTTGTTTGCTGTCACGCATGACCTTCTCCAGGGCCTGGTCGAGAGCCTTACTGCCGCCAGCCGGACTGCCACTGCCAAAAGCCAAGCCAAGTCCCATCTGTCCACCTCCCCGGCCGTGTCTCTGCACAGATCCCGTCACTTCCTTGATCTTCTGGCCCAGGTCGAGCATTTGTTTATTACCGTAGTCGCGATTCGTGAAGAGCGGGCTTTGACTCAATGTCTGTACCCAGTACTTGTTCCACAAGAGCTCCAATAGCTGCCCATCCAAGCTGCTCTTGAAGTGCTCGATATCCAGGCTGTAGTAACGACTCGCATGCGCACCAAAGTCCTCCGCCTTAGCAAGCGGTACCGTCTGGTATCCGTCAGATGTCACACCGCCACTGCTACCGGCCGGCTTGTAGTCCTCGGGGTATGTGCGGAAGGCACCAATCTCGACCTTGCCCGCGCTGATAGTGCGGTCAGGGTCCACGACGACTGCCACGAAGGGATCCTCAAACATCTGCCACTGGTGCTGCGTGCCGACATCAATACCGCTCAGCCAACAGCCGTAGCCTGGGTGACTGTGGTACCATCCGATCAGGTTCTCCAGGCGGCCCTGCTCACGGCTCAATCGGGGGTACTCGACCATGTACTCGTTGGCCTCCTCCTGAGCGTTGACACGAGTCTCTGTGCCTTCGACTGGAAGACGGAAAGCATCGGTGATGACGAGCGCAGTGCCGTCTACGAATCCCTGCATCAGGCCCATCACCTCGATGCTGCCGCCTGACCGCGCATGCATAACCATCTTGATGAGCGCAACGGCGCTGATGCGCACCGTGCGGAAGTAGTTCGGATCAGTTCGCCATGGCTTCTTCGCTCGGATGTCTTTTTGAGATTCGGGGTCGTAGCCGTAGAGAGAGTCGCGGGTGGGATCAACTAGCTTGACGTTGTTCTCGAGCTCTGGAAGGGGTCAGCTGTTGAATTTCTGGAGTTCACAGGGACAGGCATGGGACGAAGCGCGTATCTGGCATCGGATTTACTCACCCCAAGACTTCTGTGCCTCGACATCCATCTTGGCTGCTTGGGCGAGGTGGTGATGGATGTGAGAGGGTACAGCTTTCGGGTGTTGATGTATTTATTGCACTTAGGTAGGGGCCGAAGGTGACTCGTGCCAGTTGTACCTATAACAGCAGCCTGGGGTAATTTCGCAAGCGATAACGATAAGCCAGCCTTCCACGAAAGTACCCCGCCATAAATCGAGCCCCGCCTTGCAAGGTACAATTTAGGGCGTCACTCTTCAATCGACTCACTCTCGGCCTCCATAACTTGCAGCTATTTATCTAGGTAAATATTATGACTCGCCGGATGCACAGTAACGGAGATCACCACTCTCACTGGGGGCATTTGAATATGGAACATGAGGAACAAGAGAGAAATTCATAAACAATTGATTCCATTAAGCTCTAAGGTCGATTGCCATCGACTGGGTATCACAAAACATACAGAAACTCCATACATAAATAGCAGGTACTCGAGCATCAATTCGCCTTGCATGCTGCCAGTAACTCTTCTTCCAGAAACCTTACAAGCCAGCCAACAAGCTGTGAGGACAGTGTGGACGAGGGAATTATTTGAGCTCACAAGACTACATGGCCAAGTTTTTGAGAGCAATGGATAACTAGAGTAGCGTAAGAATATGCAAGAGCAAGAAGAAATACGCAGTGACGAACCTCCCCAGCCATGTGAGCATCTAGTGTTTTATTCAGTGTTGCTAACAACAAGTCTTGCTTGGCGTTCTGAATCTTGATGATAGCCTCTAAAACAGCAATTCTCACGTCTTGGGCCTTGTATTTGTCCTCAAGCTCCTCGAGTCGAACACGGTGGTCGCAGATCCGCTCATAAGTGCGTTCATTGGTCTTTGTAGCAGTATCATAAGCCAGCTTGGACGTCTCGGCACAAGCCTCGTGGAGAAACACTGAGTGTGATTGCTGTCATTCGATGTCAGTGACCTCGGGTGTGGACAGGGAGATGTGGTTCGCTCACCTGGGCTTCCAAGCTGTTAACCTGGTTTTTAATGTCGCGGGTTCGGTCGTCCACATTTCTGATTGCCATGTAGCTGTAGGCGATCGCATCTCTTGGTCTGTCGGCATCAATTGCGGCAAGGAAGCGATCAGAAGGATGCATGATACGCAGAACATCAAGACTGCCACGACCATCGTCTCGGATCCAGTCTGATGACGGATGAAGGCTGTCGAAGGACATGCTGGCGAGCTGCGAGCCAGTCTCCGGATCAGGGGTAAAGAAGCGCTGCGGTGTCTGTAAAAGTCAGCAGGGGAAACCCTACTGGTAAGTCCTCATCCCGGCGGCACTTCTGCATCTCAAACACCATTCCCTCCCGACGAGGCGACGTCCCGAGAGACTGCCACCCCGCCCAGGCGGAATGCAGTACCCAGACCACAAGAGCTAGTTAGGCATCTCATGATCCAGCTGGCCGAAGGCAGTGCGAGAACCTATGTCACCACAACCACGGGGACGTGGTTTGGAGAACCGACGATACCAGTGGGTTGCCTCCGTCGGCCAGTAGGCGATGATGATCCATACTGAAGACAGAAGATACCGATGAACGGTGATCATTCAGCAACCCACCTATACAAAAAGCCGGTCCCGTATAGGGGTGGCAGACATGTGCAAAGTGGGAGTTTGGGTCGGAAAGACGTGGTTTGGTGATGGCGGTTTGAATGTATTGAGGTGTGATTGGAAGGAGAGTGAGCTAATGCAAAGGTATGAGAATCAGACTTACTGGAGTGGCATTGTCGAGAATCTGCCGCATCTCGTCATTGAGCTCAGGGTCATCAAGCTTAGCTAAAGCTTCAGGTAAGATTTCGTCGAGGAAATCAGGGCTTGTGAAGGGCTCGCTCGTGTGCTCAGCAGTATTCAGGATGTCTGACAGCTCCTATCACTCAGATGTCAGAGTGTGGTTGACATGAAGCCACACAGGAAAAGTGGGGATGAGAGGATGGCCTCCAAAGAACACAAGCATTACTCACCAGATCGTCAGATTTGGTTGTGAAGCCATCAATCGACATGTCATCTCGAACACCAACGCCGTGAGGATGCTTACGTTTGCGCGTCTCTGGCGCCATCTGGAAAAAATGAGCTTGCTGTACAAATAAATTGAGTCAAGGTGCGGTGTCTCTCACGAGCGGAAATAGGTAGAGCTGGATTGGTGAAACTTGTGGGGAAATAAGGGCAAGGAAGCTAGAAAGAGACCCATCGAGATGAGTGCGTTCAGGAGCTTGAAGGATAGGGGATTCAGAAGCTTTCAGCGAGGACTGACCTTGATGATAGTATGTGATGCCCCTGATGATGTATTGCTGCCGAGTTATGTGCTGATGGAGGAAGGTGGGTTGGAAGGAGAAGGTACGTCTGGAGGAGGTAAGGTGAAGGTAAGTGGGAGGAAAGTTAGGAGGTAAGCTGGGAGGAAGCGAGCTGGGATGGGGTGGGCTGGGAGGAGGTGAGCTCGGAGGAGATGGATTGGAAGAAGGCAGGTTGGGAGGAGACAAGATGGTAAGTAGGCAGGCGGGAGAAGAAGTTGGGAGAAGTTGTTTGGGAGAAGGAGAAGGAGAAGGGAGGGGACAGCAAGGACCTTTATATACCCCAACCACAACAAGGCGGTCAAAAAAGTTTACAAAAGTTTACACGCAGAGCGGCAGAAATAATTTGAATAAGGTTGAAAGCTGTCGTGAGTACCTCTCATGTTGGTCGATGCAGTTTGGCCCGTAAGAAAAGCATCCGAGCTACTTAGGACGTTTCGACAGCTGAGGAAGCAACGGGCTGCTGCCTGAGGATTGCCCCCATCTTGAGGAGAATATTCCCCCCCTGCCTCGTAACACTTCGTTTCCTTTTCATCAAACAGTCGGCATATTCGATCCTTGGTAAATCACATCACAACTTTTACCATGGTGCGCCTGAACAAAGCGAGGCGTCAGGTCGCTCGTTTGGCGGAGTATGGAAATAGATGCGAGGGGTATGTGTCCGAGGTCTCTGAAGCTCAACAAAAGGCATTCCAGGCAGCGGAAACCGCCCAGAAAGCAGCAGAGATAGCCCAGGAAGCAGAAGTTGGCGCCTTTCAGTCTGCTATCCGTGCCGAAGCAGTTGCAAAGCTCAAGTTCTCCACCATGTTTTCCGGAACTCAGCCTAAACCGGCAGGCTCATCTGCGATGAGGCTTCTCGAGCTCGACGCGGAGAATCGCGAGTTGAAAGCAATACTCAAGGTGCTCACTCAGGAGCTTGGACTTGATTATAACAAGGTACGGTTTTCGCATTAATTTTTCGTCTTCCTAAGCTAAGTGGCGAATAGCTCGCGCAGAAAGCTGCAATTCGAAAAGCTTGATTGCATTATATCTGCACATAAGCTCACCAAGATCGCGAAGAGGGAGGCAGTGGCACTTTTCGGACAGGAACATCACCATGAAATCACTCACCAGGCTGGCGGATTTTGCGCTTGAATTTTGGGCAGGGTGGTCTTCAGTCCTTCCGGGCAAGCTCTTAACTGTCATCCTACACAACTAAATTGACTATCGCCTTTCCGCACATTGCAATGTAAACATGTGACTTCATTCCATTTCCTTTCTCCTACGTAGTATAAAAGTGCTGTCGCTTGAACAGGAGGGATTTCCACACTCTCAAATATAACGAACGCTGCATAATTTGTGAGTAGAGAGGAAAGGCGACGAGCCGTCCGTTGAATGAAGCCATAAATGATCTTCACGTGATTGATACCAAACCTTTGCAGTCCGTTCTTATCAACATCTCGATCCGGCGAAGGAAGGGACCGTTTACCGTCAATCAAACGTGAAAAGTGCCTGGAATGAAATGATCACGTTATAGGAATCTCTCATTCATTGTCTTTGCAAGATTGCCAAGTTTGTTCATGAAGCAAGCGCCATTAGTGCTTTTGGCAACTCAAGTTCCCTGATAGCATGATCTTGGCCGCTTTTGTAAGGGCCAATGTCTCTGCAGCGAGCGCGGGCTCTTTGCCTTCTTTGCTAGCTATGGCTGGCAAAGCTGCAACGATCTTCTCTGCCACGGTGTTTGTTTCTGGTGGGAACGCGAGCATCTCTGAGTGAAGAACTCTGTGCTCTGCTATAGGACTCCCAAAGAGTCAGCGAAACTTCCTGAGAGAGCACTTCCTCAAAGGTTGGCAGAGAATTAAGCTTGTCTTGGAAAATCCCCGGCGGGGATCTCAAGGACGCGGCCCGCAACGGCGGCCGCTAAGACTCTCGGCGTGGACTTAAGACCCGGAGTCGTCCTCCGTAACTCCAAAATGGTGGGGCCGTAGGAGATTGAATACTAATCCCATGAAACTGGCAACCAATCAATGACGTCAAAAACGGGTCTATACTCTTTTAACTAAAACAAAACAGACTCATGGCAACAAGTATAATTTGTAAGCGATTCCAGCAGATGGAAATAAGAGCATCGACCGAACAACACACGCACGTAGTACTCAACAGGGACTGGGATATTTATTTCGAGGGATTACCTGTCGTTTCCTCCCTCAAGAAAACAAAAGAATACAACAATTGTCGGGATTTACCTTCAACATGTCCCCATCAGTACTGGTTGTCGGAGCTGGTGAACTGGGAACAGCAGTCTTAGAGGCTCTTTCAAAGCATCCGAATCGCCAAGGAGGCAGACTAGCAGTACTCAGGAGACAAGAGACGATCGAATCTCATGATGCATCAAAGCAAAAGGCTGTGCAGTACGTGAAAGCCTTGGGGGCCGAACTAGAGGCCGGAGATTTCGTCAATGACCCCATCCCGGAACTTGTTGCGATTTTTAAGAAGTACGACGTTGTGGTTCAATGCGGCGGCTACGGTATGGCACCTGGAACTCAGATTAAAGTCACCCAGGCTGCTCTTGAAGCTGGTGTTCCCCGGTACTTTCCCTGGCAGTTTGGCGTGGACTACGAAGTCATTGGCAAAGGAAGTTCTCAGGAGATGTTCGATGAAATGCTGGAGGTACGGAAAATGCTGCGGGCGCAGCACAAAACCAATTGGACGATCATATCGACCGGACTGTTCATGAGTTTTCTATTCCTCCCTGACTTTGGTGTGTTCGACTTCAAGAATCGAACTATCAGAGCTCTTGGGGGCTGGGACACCTGCATAACAGTAACGCTACCGAAGGACATTGGCACGATGGTAGCAGAAATGGTGTATCGCCCCGAAAACACAGACAACCGAGTTGTTTACATCGGCGGCGACACCATCACCTACGAGCAATTCGCTGACATCGCTGATGCCGCTTATGACACCAAGTTCGAAAGGCAGGTTTTAGATATTCTTTATTTGAGGAATAAGTTGAAGAATGAGCCACAAACCCTTTGGCTGAAATACCAAATTATCTTTGGCGAAGGGACGGGCTGTACGTGGCCAATGGAAAAGACTCTAAACCAACAACGAGGCATCAAATTAACAGGAGTGGACGCATTTGTCAAGGCAAACAAAGATAATCTGATCTCAGGAGTGTGAGCTAATTTAGATAGCAAAATCCAACACAAGGACAGGGTATTCCATTGGGAGAGTTCTGCATATTTTGCCAAGCGTTCCCGTTCGAATCTTCTGCAAATAATTTAGCATCTTGGAATGAACTTCAGACCATGTCTTAGCTAGTAGCGGTGGCCGCTTTTAGTGTCTCTTTGCCATCCATGTTGTTGTTGTTTCATGGGGGCTCATCAATAAGTCGCAACTTGGCGGCGATTTCATCTAAAGGACGAATATTGGTGTGCCGACAGAGTTATCCTAATATGAAGTAGTTCAGGCACTGGGTCGTAATCGTAATCGTAATTATATGTATACAGACTTATTGTTCCACAGTTTCACCCTATTCGTTGAAAGCGATGCTGAACTCTCTCTTTTGAGGCTTCCAGTTCATGCCTAGGTAGTATCTTGTCTCAGGCATTCTTAAAAGCTGTAGCTCGACATATTGCCTTGTGCTCATTGAAGTGAGCGACTTGACACGTCCGGCCGCAATACCTAATCGCCTTGCACCTCCCACATAACATCAACGGCACAGAGCCCTTTCTGCAATTCGCGCATTGCGCCGGTGTCAACAACGAATCCGTACTAACCCCTTTTCCTCCTTCTACTGCTGCTAACAAATCCCCCACTCTCTTTCTTGCCGATCTCAACACCCGCTGTTCGCCCAAGCTAACGTACGCCGCAGCCCACGCGTTTCCCCCGGGTGAATAGACACCCTCTGCGAGTTGTTCTTGTAGCTTTTCTAGATGCGTTCCAAAACCAGCTAGAAGACTATCGAGCGATTCCATTAGAAACCGTAAGACTTCCATTTCGTTCGAATCACTAATTTTCTCCGCAGCATCGATTTGCTGAAGGGCTATGGCAGCGAGTTGCGATGCATCCGATCGCTGGATACGGAGGTATCGAAGAACATCTTTGGGTAGCGGATCGGTAAGAGTGAGAGAGATCGTAGGGGTTGAATCGAGCCCAGCCGATAGCCAGAGCTTATGCTTTTGATCGAAAAATGGCGCTCCAGGGTACGTTGCAAGAACGAGATCGTAATTATCGCTTGGATTGTCAGGTATAACAAAGCCGTAAAGGCGTAAGAGACGACTGTTCGGAATACGTCCATAAAATATAAACGCCTGATAAGGAATATAACCCATATAAGCGTACATATCAGTGTTATTACAGAATACGAACATACCTGATCTCCAGCCTCGTAGTCTTTCCCCGCAAGGACGGAGAGACTTTTAGAGGCAGGATCATAAATGTGACACTGCTTTACCTCAGACGAATGGTTCAACATATCCGCAAATGGTGCCAAAAGTCGAATCGAATTTCCATCGGGTAGTGTAAAATCCATCGCACGACTCCAGACAGTGCAGAGAGCCCACTTATACTAAAAAGAAGGGATAAGAAGCATTAGTGCTTGTTGATCAGCAATGTCTATCACACGCGTGGAACGCCTACATCGTCGATAGTGAATTTGTCGAGCGGGAAAAGATCCCGATACTGTGTAAGCAGCCTTGTAACCAATTCCTTATAATCGTCCTCGATCCGTTGCTTCAGCTGCTTCGTGATGGTATAGAGCGACGTGCCAGCGCAAACTTCCAACTCATCCTCCAAAAAGAAGATACTTGAAGAGTAGCTTGTAGGCAACGCCGCCACATGGCTCTGCAAGCCACTGTATCCCGAACCGCGCGATCGGATGAAGAGTAGATACATGGCCAGGATGTCTTCAACAGACAGGGACGGCTGAGCAGAGCGAAGGACTGGGCCTAGAAGGGAATCTGCATATGCATGTTCGACTGTCCAGAGACTGCCATATGAAATGGTGAGAATCTTTTCCCCTTCTTTGAAACGCCGCAATGTTCTGAGGCCGCGCCCGGTAATAGGAAAATCAGCAAGCTCCAGGTCGTCCAAGCCTACCGCTCCGTTTGCCTTCAGCCAAGTCTCCATCTTTCCATGAAATCGAGTCAGAAAAAAAAGCACGTGAAGAATACTATTTGCTATAATCCTTAGCCCGTTCGTTTGAGTAGTTTAAGCCTTTTTCGTTTGTGCTTTCATAGTTGGAGCTGTTTGCCCTCTTTCTTTTTCGTTTGAGAGATATGATAGAATTCGTTCCATAGACAAGGCAAAGAGAAAGGGCGTTTGCCGTGCGCTCGGAATCGGAATATCGGATTAGGCCGAGAGATCGCCTAACCTTGGAAAAGCTGGGAACATAATCTAGAACTTTCAACAAAATATTTGACTCAGCCCGTCGAGCCCCCACACAGAACCCCAGAATCGTTATGTAGAGCCAGAAATGTCCTTTAAGCGGACCGAAACCACAGTACACTTCACTAGCGCCCGAGACCATCTGCCGTCTCTGGCACCCAATCAACCCAATCAATCACCATGTCAGTTTCGGATCTTCCAGGGTTGTCTCAGAGTGAGCTTCCTTATTATGTCAGGGCTAGAACTCAAGGACCGGCTTGACTTGCTCGACTAAGCTCCCGGAGACCTTCAACTACTCAACGCCAAACTTATGCTTTTGTTGAAGGTGTTTGAGGATCCCGTGAATATGGCCATTTTCAAGACCTAGGAGTTTATACATATCCTGGATGTCCTATACAGCATCATTCACAGTACACATCGTCTTTCCACTATCTGACCTCTCTAGCTCCCCACTCTTCAGCCTACTCTCGACACCCTACACGAGGGTTACATAAAGCCTCAGGACGATTTCAACCTCCTACACGACTCCTCCTTTTCCAACATACTTAGAATATTAGTTCTTGAAAACATATGCTGCAGCACACTTGTCGGATGTGAAAGAGCATTTGTAGATCTGCCCCTCCCGACGGGAGTCGAATATCTTTCTTATCATATTGGCTGGATATCTGGTTAAATCGTTGCTATTCTAACACCCAATAAACCTAAAATCATTAAGGAAGAAGAGATCATAAAATAAAACAGCGACACCCTCTTCACTCACATCAGCGATACTAATCCAGACGTTCAAGTCTACGTACGCTACCTTCAGACAGGTCAAATCGAGCGCAAGAGCCTCTCGAAGCAAGTTCGTCCAGTCAGGGCATTTCTAACGCTGCTGCATTGTCTATCCGGCATGCGCTGGAGTCAGGTGGTCATGCCTGGAGCTACGACCTTCATATCACCGAGTTCAAGGCAAGTTACGGCGGACAGTACATTATTACGACGGGGCGTAGGTTCGACTGCTACCGTAGTTTCCGCGAGGCCGCTCAAGAAATTCTTTGACAATATGTTACGTGATGACGAGATCTCCTCAGGTTCTAGCATACCGGAGTTTGACTATATGCTTCTGGGGCCGTCGAAGCTAACAGGACGCGCCTGCTATCCCTTTTCAATTTAAGCCGACCTTGGGTACAATCATCTACTCCATACGATAGAGTTCCACGAGATCACTCAAATGTGGGAAAAGCCGACTGCCATATTACCAAGGTATTCATGTGACGCGAGGCTCGTCACACTACCCAGCTACCCAACACCTGGGGCATAGGCTTACTTTCTATCACTGCCGTACATATCCTCTGAGTTACTCTTTGTCTGAGGCCAAGTCTTGGGCCTTTGTAATGTGGGAATCCGAGGCCAAAATCAGGGCCATAGATTAGATCATGGGTCGACATTGATAGGGACATAATATCCCAAAATTTGGTCTCCCTGGGGGAGCTTAGCCCATTTTTTGCCATCCCAACTTAGTTGAGATCCTAAAGTGCCCAGTCTAAGCCGAGAGCCAGCTCACTTTAGGACGGCGAGAACTCACCTCTACAGACGGAAATAGATTTTGTTACACTTGAGTTTCGTCTCCGAGTATTGTGACATCTTTGGTGATTTGCTGATTGGTAGGGAGGAAATGGCTGGGCGACCAATGGGGGCTAAAGCATATTCCCGGAATGCAACAACGCAGCTCAGGAGACAATATGATCAATTTGATCAAGGTGAGGACACCTGATACTAGTCGATAGTATGGTTTGATAAGCAAGTTTCAGTGTCTCAGTTGTCTTCTAGAAGCCTGGCCATAAAGTTACCGTGCCAGGCTTCAAGCCATCATATCTGGCAGCTGAGCATGCCATGGGGGACATCGGTATTGACCCAAGGAATTTGAGCTGAGTTAACGTTACCTGGTAGCAATGTTATTAATAGCTTATTTCCCCAGTTTTGATGACTAGCGAAGCCGCCCTGCCCGCTGTAGCCTGGTATTACCGTAATACCGCCCTATATTGCCAGATCGACACACTTTAAACTTTTAGATGATCGACACCCACCATACCCCATACAACCCAGGTGCACGAAGACGAAAGAGCAATACACCTCCGGCAGTGAATAGGATGCGGGGGTTGGCGTGAGCCTCATGTTCAGCGCGCAAAGGACCCTGACTTATACGACGCAGGACTCCCCGCAATGAATACGGGCGCTTGGCACTGGGCTGACTGCCGATCATTTATGGAGGCTTCGTCACTGCGCCAGTACACGTACACATGACCACGGCTGCCGAAGCATCCATTTGTGGGGCAGCTTCTGTGGACTGCTCCTTTCAATGCACCAAATGGATATAGTATATCCTGACAGTAAGCTCGTATAGCCTTTTACTATGAGGTAAGAGTTGCTACGCCTCCAGACTGGGAGAGGTATGCTCCAAGAAATGACTCGGGACAAGCCTCAACTAACTTCAGATCGTCAATATGGATGAGGTCAATCGCTTCCTATGTAGGATCCCGTGACTGCTGGGCTTCGTGAAGTCCTTGCCGACCATCCGAATATCATGGACAAGATGATGGGGGTCAATAGGTATATAAAGGTTGGAGATCTCGAGGGATGTCATGAATATCTCGAAGAATCATCACCATCAAGCAACTTCATCGCATTTCGCAAGCAATCCAACAACTTCAAAACAGTATCTCAGTCGAGAACCTTTACCAAACACAAACAAAATGTACAGCAAGCTCAGCATCATCGCCGTCGCCGCTGGCCTTGCCCAGCTCGCCACTGCTGTTGGCAGCGCTCGAGTTGTCAACAAGTGCTCCAACTCCGTGACACTCTGGTCCGTCGGCAGTGACGTTGCGGGGCCATACACCTTGGGCACCAACGGCGCCTACAGTGAGCAGTTTGTCGTGGACCCAACCACCGGCGGCAAAGCTCTCAAGATTACCACGACGTCTGATGGCCTGTACACCGGCGCTCCTCAGACGATCTTCTCGTACAGCCTGGACGGTGACAGCGTCTGGTACGACCTGAGCGACGTCTTCGGCGATGCGTTCTCCGGCCACAAGGTTGTTGAGGCCAGTGCGGATACCTCCTGCCCAGCCATTACTTGGGACAATGGCACTCCGCCAGCTGGTAGTCAAGTCAAGAAGTGTGGCAGCGGCTCGGATGTCACTCTTACACTCTGCGCATAAGCTGGACACAGCAACAGGGGATCAACATTGCATATTGGGACGGAGTGGCGTTTGAGGCGATGAACATGCATGGATCTGGAGTATATGACTAGTCATCCGAGAAACTAGGTTTAAATTAGACTGTCAGATATATCATTAATTGTCTCGATTACAACGCACCGAATGTTCGAAAACGTTTTTGGTAGAAAACAGACGTATATGTTTCATTGCTTATCTAATCGTATCCTAACTATTGATGTCTCTTTGCTAGACTTCGGCATCACAAGCCACAGTCTATCAGAGATTCATAGGGAGGAGCATTGAAGATGGTCGAAGACGGGTATCAACAGAATGACAAAGATAACGGGTAGTATCTAATGCGAGAAGTTCTAGCAAGTAAGTCAGACTGACGAATTCAGCGCCGTTTCTTGTTTCGTTGCCTTCTTTTCCGAAGGCGCAAAATGTGACGTCGTTGAACGAAGGCCTTCAGATACTCATAGATCTGATCTTTCATGAGAACAAGTATCGTAGCGAATATCATAGGTGCAGCAATTTTCCAGCTACGCGCAATTGTTAGTCTACTGATGAAGATAATGAGACGGCAGTGCTCACAAGTAGGTGATCCCTTTATCCAAATCATGGAATGGCTGAAAGTTCTGCCCGAAGTATCCAGTCAAGAAGGTCAATGGCAAGAACAGGATTGTGGCCAGCGTCAGCTGCTTCATTGACTCATTCTGGTAGGCTGAGATGGTATTGAAAATCAGAGCAATCAGACCGTCTGCGTTGTCCTTGAGCTGGTTCAAAGATTCCGAAATCAGAACGCAATGATCTAGAACATCACCCAGATATGTGTACGTCATGGGAGTTATGATTACACCATGATCGGGGTTCTGTAATTCCTTAGTGGCATGCTCCTGCGATAACCCTGTCTTGTGGTCCCGGAGGGCGTTGATGAGATTGGTTATTGGGTTGATGAAACTGAGTAGCTTGTTCACCTCACAAATGATGATATATAAGTTTCTGGTATGCTTGATGCTGGGATGGGTGAGAATCTCCAATTCTTCATCGCCAATCACGTCACTATAGCAGGTCGCGACAGGGATTGCCAAGTCAATGATTGCATCAATGATGGCTTGGCCAATCATGGAGGCGTCACAAGACTGCCGAAGAATGGTGTCTCCAGTAAATAATCGCGTGAGTATTGGCTTCTCGATGTCGTCGGCGGACAACTCGAAAAATGATATGATAGTGTTGTCGTGAGTGATGAAGACCGAGACTTGTTCCGCAGTGACTGCTAGGCCACGGGATGCAAGGGCAGAATGTCTTTCCATAAATTCAGTCCGAGCTTCGTTCGGAGACGCGTTGTAACGATGTAAAGTTCGGAACAATATCTGCTCTGTGCCAACTGTAGGGCCAGTGGCCGCGTTTCCACTGAGAATATCAATAGGATGCTTGCCGTTCTCAAGTGTCTTTTCCATTGTCTCTCCGGGCGTCTTCGGTCCTGAAAACATGCTCTTGAGCTTCTTGGACAATCGTTGAGAAGACTTTGCGCTTCGCCCGCTCGTCCAACTAGCTGTGTCATTGTCTGAAATGTCATCGTCATCGTCCTCGTCCATCAAGTGGACCAGCTTCTGAAGAGTGAGGACAAAAAATGCATGATTCGCATACCAATCCGCCTTTGTTCTGTTTCTTGTGCCCATTATATCCTCAATAGCCAATCTGTGGAGCTTCTTGTATTGACCGAGAGCCTGAATAACATCCCAACTCAACCCATTGACATTGATCCAACGACATTTGGACCACTCCGGTTCTGGCTGTTTTAGAAAAGGCATCAACGAGTCGTTATCATAACTAGCCACGTGGATATCGGTCTGAGAAAAGTCCACAACAGTAATTTCGCAGGGCGCTTGGAGCACAGGCATAGACGCGTGCCCGCCATCCGTTTTGTAGACATCAACTCCCGGCTCGGCACCCGGGTGCCAGCCTGGTCGTTCCTCAAACTCGTCGAAGTTCTGGATCGTCTTGAAAGTAGCAGCGCGGGTATTGCGACGTCGCAGGATCGGTGAGACGCCACCAGGCTTTGAGAGTTCAGTATCGGAGCGTGTCACGCCATGAGTAACGGGATCTGGAGGTGCTAATCCCTGAGCAGCCTCGGTGTCAATGTTCAACGCGTAATGAACATGTGGTGTTTGCCGTGGCGCGACCGGAGTTGTGCCAGGATCGGGTGCGCTAGGGACCGTTGCGAAGTCTCGAGTCTCCTGGGAAGAGGAAGGCGGCGCATCTTCATTCGACGGGTCCATTTTGTCGTGTAAACTAGTCGCGTTCTATCGGAGATCAGGGCGCATGTGAGGCCCTTGATTGCGGTATTCAATGGACGAAAGACATGCAATCGATGGGTGAATGCAGAGCCTTTTCACGGTATCAGCTGGTCAGCCATCACAGCGCCACAGCTGAGGTTGCTGAGCTTAGGTGGAGGAGAAAAAGAAAGGGGGCAGAGAGTTTCATCAGCACTAACCGAGTATAACCAAAGGCCAACAGCGGCCGCCGCAAAAGGGAATGATTCAATAGCTCTTCAGAGCCCTATCAGGTATCCCAAGAGAACCTCGTTGTCTTTCGTGCCTTCCCAGCAGAAGAGAGTGTTGCGAGTGCTTTCCAGGTTGGAATGATAAAATGACGTAAGGCTCCGTCTCCAGCGGTAGCGTTAGTACCGTGGAGCTGGAGACGGTGCCACCCGAAAGTGGATAAACTTATCGGCACATTGGCGGCAGTACGCTTCGATAGGGGGAAAGACAGGGCAACCTACAATATGGCATTTCACTTCGCGATGATTTCCAAGTGCCTCAAAAGGGGAAGTTATGTAGGATCTCAATGACAGTGAATTTACATTTGCGGTTCCTTCCGGCAGGATTTCCCGCAGTGAAAACATCATCCCGTTATGCGAATCACCCCTCCCACACACATTCCCCCGGTATTGAGCACCACTTAGAGCACCAATTCTCCCTACCTCTGGACGAATGCTCGACAGTTCAAGGAATGCAGAGATGGGTACTTTACAGTATGCGCAAGACATATGCTTTTTATTATATTATTATTATTTCTTTATACATGAGATGCCAATGAATTTTCCCAAAATATACGAGCTGCTCTGAAAATGCGCAGTTCCCCTCCCCATTCTCGATTGCAATGTTGAATAGCCCACACAGCACTGCTTTGACATTAATAACAGGCATAGGTCAGGCGGACACCACAAGACACCTTCAGAGCATAGTTTTAAAAGCCCCAATAGGAAGCTACAGTAGGATAGTCTCGGGCCATTCCGAACTCATACGAATTCGCTCATGCACTGTCCGTATCGTACTAAATGGGTAAGCAACGCCAGTAGGTTGAGGTAGTCAACGAGAGGACATGGGTGCCTATTGACCAGCTCCTGCTCAAGGAGAGTAATATGGCGCAGTCCTATGCCTGTCTACATCGTGAAACGTGAGAGGAGGGCTCACCCTTTTCAGCAAGCATGCGTAGTAGAAAACTAGGCCATCTATAAGATCCCCAAGAATTTAAGCTTGTTTCAACATGGTCGTGACATCGGATGGCCATTTGGTCTGCCCAATCATTGGATTTAGCGATTGACCAACGGCACAATGAAAGGCACCGAGAGACAGCGTCCGATTGAGCGGTGGTGCGGAACTCGGCAGGTGATCCTCGGCGACACGATGGGGACCATGAGCTATCAATTCGAGCTTGTTCAGTGGAGGATCGATCAGTGATCCTCTGATCCTCGCCAGGGGTTGTGCAGCGGGGCCGCCTTTCCCTTTTTTCGACAGCATATCGGGGGTTTTCGTCTCAAGTCAGCGGCGCACAGGGTCCAATACTCCGCTAGAGCCTCCGACCTGCGACTCCAGCAGTTTCAAGAACCCGGCCTGATCTCCCTAGGCCGGGGTTACCGCCCTTTCTCAGCACATCAGGCCAAGCATCAACTGTTCCCATCCGAGACTTTACGCCATCCAAACACTGCATTCCCCAGGTTGTCTGTTCTTGCAGGCCAGAAACGGGCCGCTTCTGTTTAAACCTGCCGTCTGCATAATGGTGAAGAGAGCGCAAAAGCCTCAGCGCATCCCCGACCGCTGCAGGTGGTCTGCATTCCTTCTGCCAGCGTCTGTCGGACCAAAAGGACGGCCAAAACGAAACAGTAAGGCAGGGGGAGCGATCGTGGGACTCTGGTGAGCAGCCATGAAACCAGACCAGAAACCTCACGATAAATTTTAAGGAGTGAGCCAGCAAGAGGTAAGCGCCCAGGGCTCGACGCAGCTAAACTCTATCGACTCCCTTGTCAAGCTGCTAGTGCAGCGAGCCGTGCCTCAATGAAGCAATTGCCATAAGTCATTTATAGGGTGGTGATGTCCTCCATCTCTTGGCTTCGTATGTTCGCCATCGCAACTGCACTGTCGGTGGCGTCTCTCCGGATCTCGTTCATTTCTTCCCTTCTCTTTCTCATGTTCTTGCAATAGCTTTGACTTCATTCCCTTTCCGTCGGGCTTCTTGACATTTCTCCCGCTGAGCGGATAGTTCCATTCATTACACATCGTTGACGATCTTCTATTCTTCGTCAGTTCCCTCTTTGAACTTCGCACCTTCCAGAAATTAGTCATAGCAAACATGATCATTACACTCTCTTCTATCCTGGCTTATGCCGCACTCGTTTCGGCTGGCCCAGTGCTCAGACCGCGTGTGGTCCAGGAACTCAATGAGGAAGCTTTTGAGGAAGCTCAACAGCGGGATGATACAGCTACGCGCGCTTTCAGTGGCGTGCAAATCAAGGTAGACATTGTTCACAAAAACGTATCGACCCCGGCTCTAACTTTTAAATAAGACATCCGGGTCCAAGTGCCTGAGCGTCGATAAGCTCTCAGGAGACTTTAGGGCAAACTTGACTCCGATTCAGGTTGTTGACTGCGGGTCTACCGACGGTGAAGGTTGGGATATCATAACGGCCGGGAAACACATCGACCAGAGTAACGCCATGCTTGTCGTGAGCACCCTCACTCAAGCATGCTTCAACTTCGACCCACGTCGGGCAGCAGGAAACCAGGTGCTTCTCTTTTCTTGTGGAGGCAGAGCCGATGGTGGTTCGTAAAACAACTCCTTATTCGTTTGTGACACTTACTAAAATTGACCTCAGGTGGTATCGCAACAACATCCCAGGAATTTAACTTCGATGGCGGATCAGGACCACTTTCCTTCGAGCCATTGAATCAAGCGGGGTCATGTTTCACTGTGAAGGGCAATGTGCTTGATGTTGCCAACTGCGATGATAATGATGCCAACCAAAAGTTCACCTTTGGTGACGCGGCCACCGGTGGAAATGGGAATGACAACAATAACAGCGGCGATTCAGACGCAAACACGACCTCCGCCGCCGAGGTAGAGACCACTGCTGCTGCACAAACCTCCTCTGAAGCTGTTGAAACTACTGCTGAGGCTGTGGAGACTACAGCTGTGGCAGAGACGACCGCCGCTGAGACTGCTATTGAGACTGCGGCCGCCACCACGTCTACCAGCTGTACTCGGCGCACTCGCACAGTCAAAGCTACTGCGGAAGCCTCCCAAGTTACGGATGAGCCGGTGACAACCTCGGCCGCGGCATCCACGGCTCCTGACGATGACTTCCCCGTAGCGGGCAATCCTGCCGTAGTTACAGACACAGCGACCAATGGAGGGCAAGGAATACCGAACCCAACCGAGGCTGTACCTGTCTCTCGAGCGGGCGGGACGCTAAATCCTACTGCTGTCGCCGAGTCTCAACAACGTGACGATACTGCCACCCGCGCCTTTGAAAGCGTCGAAATCCGCGCCCCGAACGGCCAGTGCCTCTTTGTAGACCCTACTGCTGGAGATTTCAGAGAGAACTTGATCCCTGTTGCGTTGGTTGACTGTGGCGGCACGCCAAATGAGAAATGGGACGTTATCACGGCCGGCAAGCACAACAACGCAGCCGATAGCGCCATCATCGTCAGCAGTCTGATGCAGGGCTGCATCAGCTTCGACGGAAGACGAGCAGAAGGAGACACAGTCACCATGTTCTCATGTGGAGGGCGTGCCGCTGGGGAAGGGGAGACAAATTCTGGTCAGCTAATGCCTTTTATAGGGGAGCTTAGCTTTGCCTTCGCACCGGTCAGTGAAGGTAACAAGACTTGTATTCTACCTGACGAGGCTTCAGAGAGGCTGGTTTCTGGTCCGTGCCCAACGGACGGTGCCCAGCTGTTTTCAATCTTCCCTTGAAACGCTGGCATCGATGTCTAGGTGTGAAGGACCGAGGCGCCCAATACCAATGTACCATACATGCAAATCTCTGGAAGGAATGACGTTCTTGTACTGTATTATAACATTTTTAGAATAAAGCAACATATCATGATCCGTCCGTGCGCTCATTGCCAAGCTTGTAGGTGCGGTCACTGAAGGGGACCTCGACAGGGCTGTCCGGGACGTACACGGCGCGGGCTTGAGATCAAAAGTGGGGCCGGTCCGGCAGCCCACTATGGCCACCCATGGTCCGATCACCTTCCCGGGCATGCCGTACTGACAGAACCATAAGCCTCCAATAGTGATTTGCACAGAAATACACAATCAATCCTTTCTTTAGTATAATATACCTATATGTCCTCTTTTTCAAGTGCTCAATCTGAGAACTGCAATGTCTTCTGACACAATCAACTGAAGGCAAGTGTAGACATCTCCCATCAGACGCAAAGCATTGTATTGAATATACCAGTCCATCTAATTCATTGATGTCTTGAGCCACAATACAAACTGCTACTCCCGTATACGTCGATGCAGAGTTGGTGCTAGTCTAGTTTCTTTGCTCGGAGGTACCAACTTCGCCCTCCTCTGCCTCCGTCTTCCCGTTGGTCGAGGGTTGAACAACCCCCGTCTCAGCATCCACAACTCGCTGATGATGATGCGCTGCCTCAATAAGATCAGGCTGTTCTTCTTTCAGCCGAGCAAATTCCCGCTCAGCATCCCATACCCATGGCGTCTTCGCGGCGAAAAGAAGGTCCAATTCTTCGAGAGTTCTATTGGCTGTCTCGGGGTATAATGCCCACACCATAGGGACAGCCAGAACGTTGCAGGCCCCAAAAATGTATAACGTCTTTTCAGAAATGGCAGAGAACATAACAGGGCATAAAAGTGTCAGCCATCCATTCCCGATGGACCATCCGAATACACCCCAAGCATTGCCCTTGGCTCTGACTTGAAGCGGGAAAATCTCGGCCGGATATAGCCAAGGGACCGTCAACCAGGTGGCACCGAAGACAGACGTGAAGATGAAAACAAAGGAAGCGGCGGCTGCGCCATATGCGCTGGCCTTTGAGTCGTTTCCAGCGGCGGAAGCGTCTTGGCCAAGGCGCGAAAAGGCGCCAGCCAGGAACATGGCGATGCCTTGGCCCACAGCACCCCAATAAAGAGTCCACCGGCGGCCAATTCTATCCAGTGTGAACACACAGATCAAAGTAGCGAACATATAGAAGATATTATTGAGCCCGCTGATCCATTGGCTCTTCTCACTGCTGAATCCCGCGATTCTGAAAATTGTGGGTGCATAGACTGTCACGCCAGCGATGCCAACCCACTCCTGGACAATCTGCAGCCAGATCACCAATTGTACACGACGACCGGTGTGGAGCTCTCCAGATCCAATACCGAACAGCATGTGGAGATAAGAGTTCTTTTGAGACTCCTTGGCTTCTAATGCGACAATGTTGCGAATATCATGGTATTCGGCGTCTGCCTGTACGGCATCCTCACCAGTCGATCCGCGAAGTCTGTGAAGGATATAGCGCGCTTCCTCATCACGGCCCACCTTAACAAGCCAACGGGGTGACTCAGGAAAGAACCAGACAATCCCCAGGAGTACCAGGAGTGGGATGATCTGGAAAGCGATGGGAAACCGCCATCGGATCGCAGAGGCGCCGCCGTCGATGAACGACAGCCCAAACTCCAGCCAATAAGCCACCACGACACCGAAAATGTTGAGAGTGAATTCGATAGCGATAAATTGGCCACGAGAAGTGTGTTCTGCAGTCTCGGTTGCCCAGACTGGGACGATGGCGTTCAGGATACCGGTTCCGATGCCGTTAACAGCACGAGCTAAGAATCCATGAGCTTCAATCCTCATATCAAGAACAGGGGTATCTCTGAAAGCTCCTGCACATACCGCAAATCATCCAATTATGGTTTTGAGCTGAGCACTGAAGACTTGCTCCGATGATGGCCCAGACAGCACCCAAGGCAATCGTCTTGATACGGCCAACCTTGTCGCCAACCCAGCCACCAAGCAAACATCCGAATAACGTGCCCAGGTAATAAACGCTGACAATACCGCCTTGAAGCAGGCTGTCGGTGACTACTACGTCTCCATCGTCGTTCACATAGCCAAATTTCATCAAGTCCACGTAATCCCTGGAAGGTATTAGTCGGTAATCAACGGCTGAACTCCAATGTAGCTGCACTTACTTAGCATTGTTCACGCCTCCCATCATACCTTGGTCATAACCGAAGAAAAAAATTGACAGAGCGGCAACACAATTTATAGCAATGAGAAGCTGTCGCTTCTCAAAATGATTGGCGACATTGAAGCCCTTGAGCCTCTGTAGTTCGCCCATTTTGAAGTATTCCTTGTCTTCTTCTAGTCAAATTGAGTAACGCCTTGGGGTCTGACTCTCAACCTTAACATGAAGTCATCGTGGGTACACGCTCCTTATATACCTGTTCCCCAGAGTCGCCCCAGACCCCAGGAGTATGAGCGTTGTCATGTTCCATTCGAGCGCGACCTCCTCGGTTATGTCGATCCTCCCCCTGACTCATGAAAGCTCCATGGGGAATAAGTGGGCTCACAAACGAAGCTTCCAATGACCGTTGACAGCGCCGACCCGGAGGTGGCCAGGTGATAGCGAAGTATGGCCAAGCGGCCGAGAAAGCCTTTCAAACCCACTCCGTAGGGTATTTACTGCGCATCCGTGCCGGTTCATCGGCGGGAGTGTTACAGGCGCACCAATGAGCTGGGCGAAACAACAGCGCTGCATGGTCGGAGAGCGGAGCCGCATGAGCAGCCGCAGCGCCGCTGACGTCCCAATTCAACTAAAATCGACATTCCAGGCATGGTTTACAATGCTTATATGCACTGAAAAGCCCCCACGCGACAGCAGGGCCTGAAGTCCCGAGTCCAACTCCACACCAGGATCCTCCGACTGACGGAGATGTCCCGGGAATTGGGCTCGGCAACAACGTCTCCAACCAAAAACAGCTCGAATCCGCGATGTTACCACACCGGTGAGATGTTTGCATCTAGCAACATGCAGCTGTGAGCCATCAGAATCGCGGGGAAGTTATTATCATTAGTCAGTATGGTACCAGACCCATAACAACAATGTTGTAGCTCAAGTACATTCCTCGATGTTCGTGCCTCACTCCGGCATCAACATGGATACGCTAAGATGGCATAATTTGCACGTTAGGCAACTTTCAGTAACCCGAGCCCTTCATCCACCATTAGTTGCAATGCAGCGTTTCAAGTCCGGAATATCGCGAAACAAATGGTCCACTACACGATATGTCCCGACTAGTAATCATCCTTGTTTTTAACCAACCATATCACAGCCTTCTCCCAGTGCCTCGTGCCAGAATGCTGTTTTCATTTTCAAAATCGCTTGGACAAGGTTGAAGTCACAATGCGATCCTCATAGTAGAATGCACGTCAAATGAAAAATTCATATTACCAACGCCATGTCCATGCTTGTCACAAAAAGTACGTCGTTCATGGTCTTGTCTGAATGTAAATCAGATCACCATGCAGTGTAGGTCTGCTCAAACAATATAATGCGGTCGTCTCTGCCTTGCTTGCAGCCATCGTAGGCCCACATTTCCTCCCAAATACTCCTCAAGAGAACCACCTCATGTTATAAGCGCTCCGCCCCACACTTCGGGGACAGTTGTACTTCATGATAGAAGTCGTCGGCGCCAGCCGGGCTATTCCAGCCCGTGATCAGATCTTTTTCTTAGCCGCCATGCACCCAATGCTGGTTCGATGCATGACTTCAGGTCGCTGTGATAGCGCTGGCGGGCAGAAGACACACGCCATGCTACTGTAACCTGCTCCTCGGATCGGCCGAGGCGTACAATGTCAGGATGACATCGTCTCCCAGGTTTAAGCCGCTGTCTCCTTGCTCGCCTCCAGAGCCGGAACTTCTGTTGCCTTGGCAGCCTTCAGCTTCGGGGCCTCAAGCTCGTAGCCGATCTCTTCCAACTTCTTTGCCCGAGCTTGGCGACGCTTCTCCTCTTTTGATACTCTGTTGGTCCATGTGGACTCGGAAGCTGGCCGCTCAAGCTGCTTCCCAGCAATCTTATTCCATGCCACCTTCTTGAATCGCCTGTTTGCTCCCTCCCATAACCTCTCGTGAACCTGGGATGGTGGCACCACCTTCACGCGCAAGTTGTGGCCGAAGAGCATATAGTTGTCCATGCTCTTGGCTACGGTCTCAGCTGTGCTGGCCTCGGCGAACTCGATGAAAGCGTAGTGTTTCGCAGCACCGGTTTTCTATTAAGCATAAGCGATCGTGCATTTCTCCCACGGGACTTGCTCGCCAACGCACCTTATTCCTCGACACTCGGAGCTTGTTGATAGGTCCGAATTGGGAGAAGTATTGCCGCATTTCCTGCTCGTAGAACCCATGAGGTCTTTCCAAATAAATCGTCAGCATATTTGAGGCATAGAAGAAGCAGTCAACCTACATGTGACCAATGTAAACCACACCTGGCTCCTCCTGGGAAGTTTCGGCTTCCTCCTTGAGAACCTTTGTCTTGCCCATGATGTCGATAGGCAGTGGGTTCCTTAGGTTTTATTGTTGGTAGACTGGTCGAAGAAAGTTCCTCGTTCCTGCTATTCGATTTTCTCTGCCTGCTTAGGGAGATCGCGACTTCTCGAGGATGGAAGGCAGTACTGAGGTTTGGCAAATGGTGCATGAGGGGTCCACCGAGAGTGCGGAATCCCTAGAAAATTTTGGCGGCAGCAAAAATTGTCAGTCGAGATAAGAACGAGTGGCAGGCTTGGCCCCATATATTTTCACAATCAGAGCAGTATTATTGGCTACTATGAATTTAGCCCGGCAGCAACCCCTGCAAATGTGCTTGTAGAGAATATCGCCGCCTTTCACCGCCGGTAGAATGCGCCTTCGACCGCTCTTACCCAATGGCCCAAGGCTGTTCATTGCAACAGCTTGATGCCTTGCGAATTGACACACATATTGCATCTTCAGGAGGAGAAGGGCACGGTCATATTCATTCCAACGCATATCGCAGCAGATTGGTAGTTCATTCCTAGCCTGTGGCAATCACAGCGATGGCGAATTAGCGAGACACCGCCATCAAGTGGGGTTCACTATACTCGAGGTTGTAGGATCACGCGGGGGCAAATCCTGGGAGAGGTGGGCAGTATAACGAACCCTCTTTCGGAAACGTCGTCGTCGGACCTCTCAAAGCTGAGATCTTCTCTTTAGGGAGAAAGCTCCGTTATACGGACTTCCTTCGGAAGACCACGGAGTGTCAGACACGGCAGAAAGTTGCCTTGAAACTCAACTCGAGCTACTTTCAAGGCTATCTATAGCCTAAAGCTTCAGTGAAGATAATGAGATACCCACCACAGATAACTAAAGATATAAAACGCTGGTCGAGTGCCTACGTCCATATGGATCACCATCCAAATGTCTCTTGCCATGAAGCATCAACGCTTGGCGCTCGGATCTCCTATTGTGCGGCTAGTGTTATCTCTTCGCATTTGACGTCTAAGGGCTAACATGCTCTGTCGAGATTATAGAAACAAGGTCACGAAGGTCCTATCAGGTCTAAGTATCGAATTGGGATGATACATGGGTTGTTTTGCGTAAGTTTGGATTGCACCACTCGGAATTCTCTCAAATTGACATGTTACTCGCGATTAAATTTGTCTACAACCGTTGAATATGTATCCTTTCACAAGGATTAGAAGAAAACAACGAAGAAATAAATGATGCAAACAACTGGTTCGTGTAGTGCTTGATTCGAGCACTCTTTTGCTATGAGACACTTTCTTCCTTTCCAATGAACCCTCCCGTTGATGGATGAAAGGTGCAAACACGATGATGTACTCTTATCTGATCCAGAATCAAACTTGTTAAGGTATACTATGCTTTGAATGTTTCCCGTAGTGTTCAAATTACATCAGTAGCTCAAAGTCTTGTTTTAAAACTTCATCCACGGGGTTGAGGACATAAGACTTGACACTATGATCTGACTCATGTCAGTACGTGTCATCGGCATAGCCGCTTGAGTTGTTCGCCGATAATTCTTATTCCTTCTTCAAATCATGGGTGATGTCGCCTGATCCAGTCGCTCACAACTGCCAATGAAAACCTTCTGATTCAGCCATGATGACGGGGACTGTGCTAGGTTTATCGTATAAGCCTTTGAACAGAGCTGCTGACTGCGGGGCATCAGCTCTTCATATTTTTCTATCCTCGCTGATATAATATAGTAAAAATCTCGTCCCTGATGCCCGGTGTCCGGCATGGGTTGTCATTATCATCCACAGATTCTGACTGACCTAATATCATACTCTGTGTTGAGCTTGAATATCTTGTACACCCCTTGCTGTTGCTCTTCGCAGGATCAGAGTCTTGAATGCTGGTATGGAATTTCTGACAAATCTTAGCGACGTTCTAACAGGGCATTGGGCACTGCTGGAGCTAGTGTACATAGTTACACTCTATGCGGCCACACTCAAAGGGGTTGTTCGCCGATTCAAGCTGCGCCAGCGTGGGAAAATAAAGAAACTGCCTGTCAATCTCCTCGCAGTTCACACCGCGATTAGCATTATCGAAGTGCTCCGCTACCATATAATTGCCCTTCGATATGAGCCGCAACCGGATCTCTTCGACTGCATACTAGGAGTCATGTTTGCTGTCACCTCGATCCAAATGCAGAATACTATTTCTACCGGGAATACAATTCTTGTGCGGTCTAGTTACCAAGCAACAGCACTGCAGATGTTTGTCGGCGCAGTGGGCTCATATGCATACGGTGGTGCTCGGTTGCACAGAGCGGTTATAAAGAATTACAACCAATTCGTCTATATACGTCAAATTATTGGTCAAAACCAGAGATTAAGACTGTTTACAAACTTCCACGATGCATATACTTTGGCTGTCGTCACCGTAAACTATCTGGCACTGTGGGAAGGCGGATTTCCTCTTGGCATTCCCACTCACTTTCTTCTCATTGGAGGCTTTGCATTGTTCGATCAGTGGGTTACAACAGAGATTGATAAAAGGTAGACGGTCACAATCCAAACTCACTGAGAATTGAGCTGATACTGTGCTTTCCAGGTCCTCACATCATTGGTTTATCTTGGATGCTATTGCTAAAATGGGCTTCTGTCAAATTGATACCTTCAGGTCCCTTCACGGTCAACCTGCTGCTCCAGGCTATAAAGGCCACCCAGAGAATGTCGTTCAAAAGACGACATGAATGATTGCACAATTTCTGGCTGCTGCGAAGAGATATCAACCTTGAAGCAACGGTCTTATGTTGTAATCAAGGTTGTGATTTTTCTAAGTGGTTGTTGATCATAATTTATAGCTCAGAGCTTGAGACATGAATGTGACTAGCACGGTGGAGTATAACTACTAGGTTGAAAGACATCAACTTTTGCGTGTTGCACATGTCTACATTTGTGCCTTCCTAATATCTTCGTAGACTTTTGGAAGTCAAATTCGACCCAAGAAACAGAAGTAGAAACGCTACGAGATATGAAAGCAAGTTACTATTAATGAGGTCCTAGGGTATTAATAAAGCTGTTCGGAAAGCATGGCCATCTCAGTCATATTCTACCAGAGTGAGAAAAAACCTACGATAGAAAAGAGGACAAAATTCAGATTGAGGTATACTGATAATTCTTATTTACTATCTTATATAACGCCGAGGTCCATGGTGGGGGAACGCCGCCGCCTCCAATGCATTAATTCGCCTTCTTCTCAGCATAAACCTCCAACCCCTCCTGGACGACGAAAAATGTTGCATGGGCTTGAAGCTCTCGGTCCGGATGAACTAGCTCGAAGCGATAATCTCTCAGGAGTCTGGGGCAGACCTTGTTGATCTCTAAGAGAGCCAAGTTCCTCCCGATACAGAGATGACTTCCTCCACCAAACTATACTGTTAGCCCGAAAACACGAAATTGTTATTCTGGTATTGATTTACCTGGAACATATATCTCTCCATTCTCTTCGCCTCCTCCGGATCTTGAAGCCATCTCTCTGGGCGATACACGTCTGCGTCATTTCCAAAAGTTGGGCGATCCCGATGAAGCACCCAACCATTAACCGCAATGCTCACGCCTCCCGGGAAGAACTGGCCATCAACTTCGGCGCCCTCAGGAGGCACGCGTCGGGTGATGTTCAGGCCGACTGCAGGCCGCACGCGCATGGCCTCCTTAAGGCATGCCTGGAAGTATGGCAACTGCTGCGATTCATTCCATGAGATATTCCCCGTGGGAGGGATCGTTCCCGATTTGACGGCGGACTGGATCTCATCTTGAAGGGAAGCATACACGCGAGCATCGGCAAGAACGTGCCAGAAGAAGGACTGCATCGTTGAGGCTGTTGAGTCGGATCCGGCAAAGCTGGAAAAGCATGTCAGCTGACACATCCTTTTGAGATGCAGCTCGCAAAGCTCATATCAAACAGGCAACTCGAAAACTTACATAGCTCCATGGGCTACAGCAAAAACGTCACCCTCGCGGAACCGCTCGGGGTCTTTTAGATGACCCTTGATTAAACTGGCCAGCAGATCTTGCCTGCCGTCCCCACCCCTCCACTTGCCCTCGCTTTCCTTATCAAATGGCTTTCTCCGCCCCAGCTCCTCGAGTGCCATACGCGTGATGAGGGCATTCTTGGTGTCTAGGCTAGGAATCAACTTCCACAAAGGATTCCTCCGCAAAAGGTGATCCATAAACGGAACCTGTCCAACAATACCATTGTATCGCTGAGAGTCGTCGATCGTCTTGATTGCATTGTCGACATCCCGCCCCTGATCCAAAAAGCCAAAGCTCCGGCTAAATGCGACCTCACCAAGCACATCGAACGCAAACCAGTGCAGCCAGTTACCAAGGTCGAGAACGGGGCCTTTGGCAAAATCTTGAATACCTTGGCTTGCATTCGCAATCCCATCAAGCTTGTGCATCAGAACCTCAATGGTGTCATCGATAAAAGGCGACAGCTGCTGCATGGCAGCCATGCTGTAGGGGACATTGGCGACTTTCTTCTTTTGCGCATGCACATCCTCGCGAACCTCTGTGAAGATGTCCGGGTTCTCAGGCGGAGGGAAGACTCCATAAAAGTCGGTCTTATAAAAACGCTTGCCCGCACTCAGCAGCAGTCGAGCGGCCTCAGGCGACGAAACAGATACTTCGTCGGGGGCAATTCGCACAATTGGGCCATACTTCTTATGCAACGCGATGTGATCTAGGTGCGTTCGAGTTGAGGCCGTCGACAAAACCTTCCAGAGCCGCGACACCGAAGCCAACCATGGTCCCGGGTATTTTCGAAGAGGTGAAGCATATCGCTTGTACAACAAGCGAGTAGCGAATAGAGCTGGTAAGATAACAGCCCAGTAGGACAAAAGGAGAGTCACACAGCCGTTGATCAGCGCACGTGTGGGTGAGATAGTACCACTATCTGTCTCAAGTTGTACAGCCATCTTGTTAGTGAGGAGGGATAGGGCTGAGACTCGAGTATAAAATTCGCGTAACCTCACATACAACTCTTGCAGTTAGAGCAGAACGGTCAAGCAAAACCATCCGGGCCCAGTAGGGCTGCTTTGGGGAGCGGCACGACCTCCTTTTTGAAGGGTGTCGGCCCCCAAAAGCTGTAGTCGAAACCCCTACAGCTCATGACCTTGGTTCCGGCCTAGCTGGAACCAGGCTCCCCAATTCTCAATCATCAGATCGTAATATAGTTCAATCTTTCGGGTCAAGTTCATGCATGTTTCATAGAGCAGCCACGGCCGGACGATCTCACTGCACGGTACCTCCAGGGCCTGGCTTGGAGAAAGTACACGCTGGACCAACCAGAGAACTGCCGATTCGACAACAGGCACGGTCCTAGGAGGCAGGGGGTTGATCTAAAATGCGGAGGGAATGCGGAGAAGGCCTCGAGACTAACGCCGCGACTGTGTGGCGGCGAACAAGACCCGTCTTGGCGCCGGTTCCAGCGGTCACTCGTTGAGCTGTCTAATATATTACCAAGCTCTGTAGCTTCATCACCATCGGTATCACTCAATGCAAAGAGTTCCGACATAGAATACTTGAGCCATTGTTACTTAACTCCACCACAACATCAAAGACAAAGCCACGTCGCGTCATGATGGGTTGATTAATGTTGTGGCCGACTTAACTCGTATGATCGTAGATATCCAATATATCGGCTCGTTCCTCAGAACTAAGAATGACTGTAACCAGAGACGAACCATGTTAGCGTCTGTGTCACTGACTGCAGTACACAAGGTTCTATCCGCCCGTTTCATGCCGTGGAGGGGAATGGTTCCTCCGCATGGATTAAAAGTGGATGGTCAAGAACAAAGGTAAGCATAGGCATTTTCCCGAACGGGCTTCAGATCTGTTGCCGGTTCCGAAGCGCCAGGAGTTTCAGCGGGCTATCGCTTACTTCATCGTGACCATGGCGAGTGTCTAGTGAAGATCGCAACAAGTCAGGCAAATGGTCAAATGAAAGCAACATTACGCGCGTGCTCAACAACAGCTATTTCGGATTACAAGGGTACAGGTGGAGGGATTGAACAGTATGGTGAGACAATCTGAGTGAATATGGGAAGTGAATACCACATGACTCCGCACGTGCTCCCGTGTCCGGTAGCCGATTACCGAGCGGCAATTGACATCATCCGTGGCCGGCGTAATTTTTGCTTAGAAACCCATTGGTTGTAAAGCAAACATCAACATCTTCACGGGGAAAAGGCTGTCCTATAACCCACATAGAGTCACGATGCATCCCTTGAGCTGCACGCACTCGCAGTCGGCAGCGAAGGTCTTTGTCCAGCTTTCAACTCGACGATGCATAGCTTCTACGTCAAATCCGGCGCCAATACTTGATATCCTCCTACCGCCGAGGACCTCCCGGCCTGTTCCGCCACGCCTTCCGAAAGCCAGTTACCAGGCTTTCAGCAAGCCGCGAGCCAAGAAACCGAGTGTGAGGATACCAGAGCTTCAACATGTGAGGGTTAGTGGTATTCAGAGACGAATGTTCTCTGCGACAAGTACGCGCGGAGCTACTCATGCCGTCTTCAATCCTCAAAAGGACGAAGATGGCAAGGAGATGATGCTCGAGATCACACCTCGAGCAGCGAAGGTGAGCATTTCCCATCAACGGCTTCTATTATGGAACATTTGTTAACAATTTGAGAAGCGTCTCTCTGAGATAATGATTAAGGACTCGAACCCGAACCTCGCGCTTCGCATACAAGTCGAGAGTGGTGGCTGCCACGGCTTCCAATACTTGATGAGCCTCGTTACACTACCCCCAGATCTGCCGACTGCACCAGCTGAGCCATCAACTTCTCCCGAAGAAGGTGCAGACTCGGGCAAAATACGCGAGGACGATACTATATTCACTTATTCCAAGGAAGAACAGTCCGGCGCGGATTTGACAGCCCCGAAGATTATACTAGATCAGCCTTCGCTGGAATTGCTCAAGGGGAGCAAGGTTGATTTCACCATGGAGCTGATAGGGTCGCAGTTCAAAATTGTGGACAATCCTTTAGCGACGAGTAGTTGTGGCTGTGGCACAAGCTTCGATATCAAAGTATAGCTTTCCAGGAAGGGAAAATGTAAGTCATAGCCTCAAAAACCGACAACTGGGTCCTTTGTGTGATATCTCAACGGCTCAATAGAAAGTAATGTATCATAGAGGGGAAATCCCCACACAGCCAGTGTTGGCTATGCGCAGGTGAAGCTTATGATTAGAGGTGCTGGGTCACGACGCCGTGGACGGTCGTAAGTGTCATAACAATCTTACATTCATATATCGGTAATAAATGGTAGTCTTACCTAATGAACGGGGATAAACAAATCACGTCCAATCACACGTTGGTAATAATCGATGGTAGTAAACGGGCGTAAGCAAATCATCAATTCCCTGAGACTAGTGCTCGTGCTTTTGTTGAACGCCATGCATCCATGCAGAGTATCATTCCGAAACTACAACCAGCCAATTCCACTACCCTAGTTCATCTGGCGGATCAGAGCGTTGATGTTCTCCTCGCGGTTACCCAGGTCACCACCCTCGATGAAGTGCTTGAACTTCCTGGTGTGGAAGCCACCAGTGGGGTTGCTGAGCTTGAAGGGCCACAGGAAGTTGGAGGCCTGCTTGAAGTTGGGGCCGACCGTGTAGATCTCGTGGATGAGATCCTCAATGCAGACGATACCGTACTTGCCGAGGTTCTCCTCAATGATGGAGTTGTCGGTGAGGGCAATGCGCTGCTTGTTGATCTTTCCGTATCCGCGCTTGTAGATGAGCTCCTTGACGCTCTTCAGGTTGGGGTAACCGTAAGCGACCCACGGCTCGATGACCTTGATCATCTCGGTGGTAGCCTTGGTGACACGGATGAAGACACCGTTGTTGATCTGCAGGAGACGGAGCAACTGGAGGATCTTGCGGGGCTTAGGGGCGATCTTGTTGATACCCTTGATGCGGACAACGAAGATCAACTTGGCCTCAGCAGGAACGTAAAACTCGCCGCTCTGCTTGGCAACGCGAGTAAGGCGGACCTTTTCACGCTCCGCCTCGCGGTACTCCTGAACGTACTTCTCAGCACGCTTGAAGATGACCTGGCGCTTCTCCTTGTTGGCCTACAGAAGTACTGTTAGCTCGAGGTTCTTATCACACATATGAATCCAAGCAAGCAAATGTCCGTAAGTTGAATCAGACCCGAAAGATGGTATAAGTACGACAGCATCGACAAGGTCTAGTCGAATGTGGTGTGTTGTGCATCATGTCGTAATTTGAAAGGGGAAAAGGAGTACAACTAACCGTCTTCTTCTTCTCGATCTCGGCGGAGCGCTCAGCGCGAGCCTTCTCCTGGCTCTTACGCTTCTTCAGGAGGGTCTCGGGGACGAGGACCTGGTCCTTGGTGGGAACGGAACTATATCAACTTAGGTCAGTACGTAGTCCACAGCATACCGCGGTATGGATGGAGAGCGCCGGTGGAGAATTGTTGCTGAAGCGCGACATTCTCTGCATTGGCTAACTCGAGTAAGATGAATTTAATCGGTGAGTGCCTTGTCGGTAGTGCGAGAGCGCATTGCGCAAAAGCAATTGACCAGACGCAGCTCTCATCCGACAACACCTCGGACATGGAGCCCAAGAATAATGCTCGCATCTTACATCAATGCTTGAGATAGGTGAGCCCTCGATCTCGTAGCAGTTGAAAAGCGGCAATATATTTAAGGGAGAAGGGCAGAACACCTTCAACCCCAACACCCCGTGCAACATCTCTTAGTCTGCAAGTTGTGTTTCAAACCTGCGAGAAAAAGGGAGAGGCACTGGAAAGATCGAGCTGGCTGCGTTGCTGCCCATCATCACGACGGCGAGCAATGCGTTCCAGCGAGAGGACCACGACAACCCGCAAAACCCTCCAACATCCGGACAGGGACAAGAAACAAATTGGGAATCTCCATCGCCATCATCTTCAATCAAGGGGGGTGAACATACGTCGAAGCAGCCATTGTGTCGGTGGTTGTTGTCGACGTGAGAAGGGTCGTCGGTGGTCGGTTTGCTGGGTGCTTGAGGAAGCAAAATTCTGGTCGGAGGGGGGAGAATACTGAAAATAAGGTCGGCTCGGCGAAAAAGGTGGGTCCACTTAGGGTTTGAACGTGAAATTTCCCAACGCTAGGCCGTTTTCGCCGGACCTCACCGCCTAATTCGTTAGGGCAGAAGTGGAAACCACAGCAATTTCTGCGATTTGGGCGACCTGGATCTGCGTTCAGTGCCTCGACAACCCACGATAGTAACGAGTCCCCCAGATCAACCATCAAGATGCCTCCCAAGAAGACTGTGCGCCCTGCGCAAGAAAACATCTCCCTGGGCCCTCAGGTCCGTGAGGGTAAGTTTTCCCTCATTTGCACGTTGGTGCTGCAAAAGAAAATCAAGAAGACCTTTGGACTGACGAAACCCCGCCATGTACAGGTGAGCTCGTCTTCGGCGTCGCTCGTATCTTCGCCTCGTTCAACGATACCTTCGTCCATGTCACCGATCTCAGGTTGGTTTGCCCGTGAAATCCCATCGATGCAACCCGGTTGGAAGGGATCAGGAGGCATTTCTGGTCTTGGAACAATCGGGAGCTGCTTTTGCTTGACATTGTGGTTCTGAGGCTAACATTCTGGGTGATTCCAGTGGCCGCGAGACCATTTGCCGAGTTACCGGCGGTATGAAGGTCAAGGCCGACCGTGACGAGTCCTCCCCGTACGCTGCCATGTTGGCTGCTCAGGACGTCGCAGCCCGCTGCAAGGAGCTCGGCATCAATGCTCTGCACATCAAGATCCGTGCCACTGGTGGTATGTTGACACACGAATATCTGAACCAAATGGAAACGAAACTAATGACATTGTAGGCAACGGCACCAAGACTCCCGGCCCCGGTGCTCAGTCTGCTCTCCGTGCTCTGGCCCGTTCTGGCATGAAGATTGGCCGTATCGAGGACGTTACCCCCACTCCCTCTGACTCTACCCGCAGAAAGGGTGGTCGCCGTGGTCGTCGTCTCTGAGTACGAGGCTTCGGTGTTGTTGTGCAGTGGAAGAGCGGATCATGGAATTCTGGGATGGACACATGGTACTGCATATGGGTTTCTCTGTGGCGTTGACACCTACGAGGAGAACGGCTTTTGCCTGGTCTCCATTGCTCTGCCTTGTCACATGATGCTTATGGCACAGCTACAGCAGAAGAGAAATGATAAAAAAAGTCCCTGCCTTTAAGGCGAAGAATTAGTGAAAAACACAGGTTCCGTCTTGATTTGTGCATGCCATGGGGGTCATTCAAAACCTCTCGTTCTAGAATGTTGCCCTGCAATAGCCATAATGTCCTAAGATAACTGCACAGTTGTGCTCCCGGGGCTAATGTAGCTGAAGTAGTCAAAGCAAGCCGGACCAAATAGGCTACATGATCTTCAGCTTATCTTTCTCCGCCAGGGTATAAACGTTAATTGTTGAAGGGTAAAAACCTCCAGTGTTAAAAGTCGTACTACTCATTAGGACCTCCAAGGTTCTTTTTATTACTATGAGTTCAACAAATTCTACCAAGATAGTAATTACTTGTCGAGGAGGTAATGCTACCCTTGTCGACCTAGCGATTGTTACCCTGGCGGAGGAGCAAACATTCTATCATCAATTGGACATGACCAATGACAAGTTCAAGGAGGAGTCAGCGAAGGCATCATAGCATCACTAGGAACAATAGCCTGAACACCTTCAATGGCACTATCAGGAACTTACACGGACATGAATCAGCAATATCGGAACCAGTTATGAAAAGTTGATCATGTCACATTAGTCTATTTTGTTGAACTCGCTCTAGATGTTTGAGTCCGTAACAGAACTCAAACCTACTTGAAGGCGGGTTTCAAGGCCCAAATAGCTCTCATACTAGACCCACGTTGCTCCATCTTTGCAACCTTGTCTAATGCAGCCTTGAACTCCTTAGCCTCCTGAGTCCCAGTACAATATTGATTGAAATGGTCGACGAGCAGTTTCGACGGCACCTGCCCACCATGACGCCGGATGAAGTTGGGTATCATTTTCTCAAAATCTTTCGCTGTTATGCTCCTGTTTGTAGGGACGGGTGTTCCAGATCGAGAGCTGCCAGGGCTGCGGCCGCTTTGAAGACCTTGACGGTCAGCGATACCAGCGAGGACGCTCGCCGAACTGGGACCCCCCCTGCCGCGACGCACATTCGTTGGACGGCCGGCTTCGCCAAACTCTCCTGTCCAAGTGACAGTACCAATGGGAACTCGGCGAGCCTCTTCCCCTGAGCGTCGAAGATGCGCTGCCGCTTGTGCTGCTACGCGGTTTGCTTCCCGCTGTAGCATACCTCGATCGGCTTGAACGGGCTTTTTGCCGTTAACGATCTCATCATGCTCAAGAGCACTCTGAACCCCAGATCTCGCAAAGATCCCTTCCATCAATCGATCCTCTTCCTCTGGCGGTGCCTCCTTTTCGTTCTTGTACTCTTCCATACCTGCGATACCAGCGATACCATGAAGGTCAACGTCATCGCCAGCTTGATCTGCTTCATTTTGTGCCATGAGTGCATGTTGATCCTCGGGCATACGAGTTGTTGCACCAATGCCTGGGGCAATAATAGACTTGGGTTGAACCGCAGCCTTGAAGTTGACCTCGCTGCCTTGGAAAAGCTGACCTGTTTCAGTGGTACCATCCTCGTAAGATCCCAGGGTGAATAAGTCATGAAGATCGCTAAGGTTGAAAGTCGTTCGCTGCTTGGGGTCCTTCAGCACCTTGTTTGTGAGGAACTGTTTAAAGATCTGTCGATGATAAATTTTCTCCTCGATCGTACCAGCAGTCATCAAGCGGTAAATTGTAACCTCTTTCTTTTGTCCCAGACGCCACGCCCTCTCACGGGCCTGAACGTCAGTTGAAGGGTTCCAGTCTGGATCAAAAATTATCACACGATTCGCTCCTGTAAGATTGACACCTAGACCACCCACTTTCGTCGTCAGTAAAAAGACGTCCAATTCCGGATCGTTGTTGAATCGGTCAACAAGGGTCTGTCTCTCTTTGATGGGTGTTTTGCCATCCATTCGAAGATAGTGAATACCGTCCTGGCGCCTGACAAACTCCTCGATGATATCCAACATTTGAACGCCTTGGCAGAACAGCAGTGTCTTGTGACTCATGCGCTTCCACATATGCAAGAGGGCTTTAACAACCTGCATCTTGCCTGATTTGCTCGCCGCGCCCCATTTGTATCCTATCTTCGTCTTCAAGCGAGGATCAAGGAGATCTGGATGATTGCAGATCTTCCTCAAAATATCAATACCATAAAGGGATTGACGAGTCCTGTTCAGAATCGCATTCATCTCTTCTGATTTCAAGAAAAGTTCGTATGCATCCCGTTGCTGCTTCGACAGCTTGCAAAATAAGACTTGCTCGCTCTTCTTCGGTAAGTCTGCAGCCACATCGACCTTGAGACGTTGTAGCAAATAAGGACTGATTGTCTCTTTGAGAGTTTCTGCACACTTCTGCGCAGTCATTATCTGAAGATTGGTGGCATTGGCATAACCGCCTAATTTGATAGGTATCTCGAACTGGTTTCGAAAATTGACCAGTGTTCCAAGTCGCATCGGATATATGAAATCGAACAACGACCAAAGCTCAGTCAGATTGTTTTGCATTGGCGTACCAGAAAGAATAACACGATTCGCAGTTCGCAACTCTTTGCAATAGATAGTAATGGCCGTATTCGGGTTGCGAATCTTATGGCCCTCGTCTAATACTGCATAGTCCCAGTCGACAGGGATGAGGACGTCCCCATATGTCTGTAAACCCGCGTAAGTCGTAACTAAGACATGACCCTGTTTGACTACACGGTCGACAATCTTTTTGGCCGCCTTGCTGGACTTTGTCTGCTTCTGCCTGTTTTCCCAGGAGTACTCGACATCTTCAATGCGACCCTCGTTGCCCACATTGAGCATACCGCTTCCAGAAGAATGCAAAATTGAGACACGAAGAGGTGGCCACCATCGGTGAAATTCATTGACCCATTGCCTAAGCACAGTGGCCGGGGCGACAATAATGACGGGTTTTGTCAGCATCTTGCTATAGTGCAACGCTGCAACGAACGAGATGACTTGGACTGTCTTTCCGAGTCCCATCTCATCCCCAACAATGCCTCCAACCTTCTGTGCATAAAGTTCAGCGAGCCATTGAACGCCGGTCTTCTGGTAGTCAAAGAGAGATGGGAAAATATCGCCAGGTAGTTTGAGACCATTCTCAAAGACGTGGTCGGGTTGATCTGGAGAGGGCTTGAACCATTCCTCAGTGGCGTCAGAGGCATCGTCGCGAATCTCGCCAAGTCGATCTTGCCGCCGTTGTCGAGCTCGACTGCGTCTCTCGACCCAATCCGCAAGACGTTTCTGGTACAAAGATTCATCGCCATCATCGATTCTGCTAAAGTCGACTTTCTCATCAATGTCAGTCGTGGCCTTGGCTGGTTTCTTCCTCGGAGTGACCCGGGTCAGATCCGTCATGTCTTCGTCAGTATCCTCAGCAAACGCTCTCGAGTCTAAGCTCTCTGCCTCAGATGCGTGCGTAGGTTCGAACTCGTCAGATGAAGCGGCTGCATCTCGAACCTTCCGCTTCTTTCTGGGCCGCAAGGAAAACTCGCTCTCGACTACAGTCCCTGTGTAATCTGACTCTTCTGCAAAACCAGGCAAGCGAAGGTTCTGGTGCGATCGAGGCTGATCGGCAGACTCTTGCTCCTCCAACTCCTCGGCAACAGCTTCATCCTCAGCTTCGATGATAGCATTCGCAAGCTCCCCATCTACGCCCTCTGGTCGAGGTCCGCCAAACTTGGCAAATGGTGTGATCTTTCCTGTGCGTATGAGAAACTCTCTTTGCGTCTCGTTTGGTAGTCTCTTGTTGCCTGCAGCGGCGGCCGACTCTTCCTCTGCGCCATCTTGATGTCGCTGCTCAATACGAGTATTGAAATCGGCTATATCTTTATCAATCAACTCAATCTCCGCATCAATCCGAGCAATTTCTTGTTGTATACGAAGCTTGAGAGTTGTGTTGCCCCATGCGCCGCGTAGCTTCTGTTGTTGTGATTTCTTCTGATTCTCCAATTTCAGCTTATTCGCTCCTGCTTTCTCAATGCGCTTCTGATCCTTCTTGTCTTCAGCGTCGATGAGAGCCAGATTTGCTTGAAAGGTGATATCGCGCTCGAGATCATCTTGGTCGCGGACGTTGGCTGTCAGGTTCCTGAGCGCAGACTCTTCGTCGAGATTGTCCATATCGTCCGCAATGGAGTCGTTGGGTGAGGAGGCAGCCGGTTGAGGGTCGGCAAAAGTGACTGTCTTTGACTCGGAGTCATTGTTCGATGCGCCGCCTTGTGACTCGCCGGTAACGTTGCCAGCTTCATCTAAAGCCATGTTTATAGATGTACTATGATGCAGCCATGAAACATCTCGCATGCGAAACACCAAACCACCTAGACTTGAGCGTAGCGGGGTTGTCAAGAGTCAAAGAAGAAATGCGCCTGGGGAGGAAAAGAACGGAATGCTTGAAATTGTAGAGATTAAAGATTGTCAGCTCCTAAAGCGAGCTCCGGCGAGGAAATTATCGTGTACTGGGAGGAGGGTGGCGGAAAAGGGAGAGTCGAGTGTTTTAAGACTTAGTAATTGCCGGGTGAGGTTCTGGGGATTTTCCAATGCTGGGTGCAGTAACTCTGGTGGCTAAATGCGATGACGCATAGAAGGAAGGCAGCAGCAACGACCGGCACGCCCGACTCGCGCGGTACCACGTGACAGGCTGGTGTCTCTAAAGAGGTTGTTAGCGATAGATGCTTGGCAAGGCAGCTGTCTTTAGACTACCTACGCCTAGGTATCTACCTAGGTAGACTTGCACTTACTAGCCAGTCTAATTCTTCTAATGCTGACCTGAGCCTGTTCTCCTGCGATTCTGATCCTTCGATCCTTAAAATAAGTAGCCTTCAAGCATAATCATGGATTCATGTGTGATTTATCAACAGGGTCTAGCATCCATACGGAAAGACAGGGTTTGTACAGTAAGGCAGAGCGCTACACCATAAATATGCCCCCTGCCCCCCTGCTCAACGTAACCGACAGGAGCCTCAACTTATGAACATCTCTGTTCGAGGATAAACATCCATTCTTGAATGTTTCTCGGTCATCTGTAATGAACAGATAGTTTCGGTTGGCATACTTTGCACTAACAAGACTGGATATGTGCGTGCGACTCTTTGAACATTTAAGCTCGCTTCGCAATCATCACACCCAATGGCCAGCTGCGCCAAGTCCTGTATTGCTTGTTGCGTGAGTGAATTCGGAGGCGATATATGCTGCGGTGATTCTTGCTGCCTTGATGGCCAGTTCTGCTGTGGGGATGGGCTATGTTGTTCATCGGAGGACGCGTGCGGTCTTGAGTTCATCGTCTCCAACTTCACTACGCAATCATCATGTCTTGCTACCGCATCAAGTTTAGGTGGAAGCACCCTTACATTCACCGAGTCAACTAGCACCTCATCCTCAACGACATCCATAAGTACTCTAAGCTCAAGTACTGCAAGCTTGTCTTTGTCATCCCCTACAAGTTCCTCACCGGCAAACGGCTCTGGTAATTCGTCGTCATCTAGCGGACTGTCCGGTGGTGCAATCGCCGGAATTGTCGTCGGGATCGTTGGTGTCATGGGCATACTTCTTGTTGCAGCGTTTCTATGGCGTCGCCGCCGTAGACAAGGACCGCCGCCGCCCGCCACACCGGAGACCTACAACCCGGCAGGTGGCCGACACGAGCTTGGCGCCACTGCTGACGAGGAGCTGGACCGTACAAAGAATTTGGCAGAGGCCGATGCTGATCATGGTCTGCATGAAATGAATGTCCTCCCGCCTGAGGCTCCAGCCGAGGTTGTCTTTGAACTACCAGCAGAGTCTCGTCCTGTGGAGATGAGTTCAGTAGGGAACGACAAGGAGAACGTGGTGAGGAGGAGACCAACATCGTGAATTTTTCTCGCATATGCAGCATACCATTAGGGCAATTCTAGGGCACTGCGGCTCTTTTTCCAAAGTTCCATCGTTTGATTAATTATGGGATCAGATAGTGTCGCTCTACGAGGACCATCAAACCATACCGTACGAAATGATCATACCTAGCGGCGTAACCAGCATTCAGCCGCAATTCCTTATACAGGCACATACATGATCCCAAATACCCCTCATGGTACTACCTGATCGGATGTCCCGTTTGCGTGCCCATCATTCGCTTCTCAACAATTCTCAATACATACCAACTTTACGCTAGGTACACCGTAGGTCGGTGAAAGACTTGCCTGCAATCGAGAATCTTGTAGCTCGCTCGGAGTTGCTCTCTGGGCTCCAAACCCTTGCAGATTTTCTAAGGTTGTGTTCCATTTCTCAAAAGCCTAAATACTCTCTACACTCCAGTTCTGGTCGAGAGCCGTCGCGAATATGTTGGCAAGCCTTGCAGCGAATAGCTCTGTCAACTTAGGATCCATAACAAAATCCTTCGATACGGAACGTTACAACTATGATGAACATATCAGAAAACGGGAAGCATTTGGGATGGACGACATAGAAGGCCTTGTTCGAAACGTAGCTGGTAATCCAGATTGCAAGACTCTCCATATACGACTGTTTAATTGTAATCCTCAATTCGGTATAGGTGACCAACTGGAGTTCGATAAGTTGATTTCTGTGACGGGTACACCTCGATGTGCTTACGCAGACACTGTCGGAAGATACGCTATGAAGACTTGGGTATATGGTGACAAGCTTCTGAAGTACTTCCCACCTTCAGTCATATCAGCCAAGGCGGGTAGGTGACAGCGAGTATTCATGCAGTTTACAGACACTTATTCTACTTGTTAGGTCATATCCGCATTCTCGATGAACCATGGGGGCATCTAGATGCCTACTTTGGCTGGTACCCTGATGGAATGAGACTTTCCACACACCTAAGAGATAGCAGCCCTGATCTAACAGAGACACAGCTAAGCCATTTAGTCAATCTTGTTCAGCAAATATGCTGGATGAGTCTTGTTCTAAGTGCATCTAGAATCGGGCCAGAGCCTGCAACAGCCGGTGTAGTTCTAAGCAATCTCTACCCACCTAAACCCTCCACCACAATGGCAACTGTTGATCTAGTAGTCAAATACACCCGGATTGCGGAGGACCAAGAGTCTCTGTGTTGGCTAAAACTGTTCAAGGAGCCTGTCCTTGCACTTGGTTTTCCCGTTCCGTCGCGCACAAATGAGATTGGACTGGAGATGCCATTGAAATTAATGGCTACAATATGTGGCGCTCGTCATTTCGTCGATTTTCAAGGAGGCATCCTTATAAAAGGCCTCTCTTCCATGCTGATCCCCACGGCAAGGCTCAATGGTGGTAATATCGTTCAATGGCACCTAGTGTCCAAAGAGTCTGGGGATGATGAAGACATAAGGCTATCTTACTTGGAGGGATTAAATATATGCGCAAACCGTCTCACAATCAAAGAACTTAATTTCGAATCGTTGAGTAAGACTCGAGCGGTATTAGGATGGTGCAGGTGGACGAAAACGATTTTCGATGACCCGAATTATTCTTTCGATGAAATCACGTACACTGGTCTTGTTCCGCAACACGTCCGACAATTCAACTGTCAGAGTTCAATTTAGGCTTTCAACAGTTTGTCTCTGCTGGGATGAAATTTTCGCTGTCTTCGAAGCCTCGAAAATAGATTTGGAAACGTGACGAGGATTATAGGGCTAACGTCATTTACGCATCACGTACCCCTGTGTTGCTTTTCAACCCTTCCGAGGATGACCGCCGGGCGTGGCTCGTGATGGCTTCTGATATTATTCTATTAGTTGCACGACATTGGATCCATATAGGTGACGCATTATGTCAGCCTCCCAGGCTTGACGGCAAGAGCTCCAAGGATGTACTCCTCAACCTTCTCTTTCAGAGCACAACAGCGCAAAGCGAGCAATTCACTTTGATGGCCTGTGGGATCTGGTCACTCCTGGAACTCTTTAGAGATGATCTCATGAGCAAAAACCAAGCAAGTGGAATAGCTGAGTTCGATTTTAAGACTAGAAAGGGTGGTCTTCCGGGGCTCGAATACATGGATCTCATGCAAAACAACGGCAACGCTCAAGTCAAGCAGACTCATGTGGGGACAACAAATGGTGGCTGGCTCCAACTCATCCGTGACATTGACTGCCTTGTTCTGTTTGGATCAGGCTTCGGAGATGTTATCCATCCATCAGAAAAAAGCCAGAAACAACTATGTGGCCGTTGGGGGAACGGCCTGCCCACTGGGAAAGATTATCTGGCAACCTGTTCCAGTACCCTGCTCCATCTCTATGAAAAGGCAGACTGTAAACAAACTCATGTCTACCTTTCATCAAACTCGAAACTCCAATGGGATCAAGGGGAGTCTTGTCTCTTTGAAGAATGTCCAGATAAAAGTCGAGGGTGCGGATGTAACCGGCTTCAACAAATTGTGAAAGGCAATGGTATCCAACGCCCAATCACTACGCTTCAAGAAGGCAGTGCACTCATATTTGGGCTCAACTCTACGCACTCTGTTCGAACAGTCAGACAGCCCTCTACCAGTCTATACATCCACAGTAACACCAACTTTTCTCATTACGGCGAAACTGCCAAAGACCAGGTGTCCAAAACGGATACTGGGGAACAGCATTTCAAAACACATTCTCAATTGGCAGCGGTGCAAGATGACCACGAGATGAATGGTTTCGGTCCAGTGGATTCTGATTAATTCATTGATGACGCATGTCAGGCATCTCGGTAAGAAATTCAATTACTTCAAAGTGCCCCTTCGTTCTGATACGCCTGGTGTCGTCAGAGAGTTTATGGGACCAGAGCAATAGCGTTGACTCACAGTGGAGCTCCCGTAAAGCTGTCGTATTCACGAAGCTTCACTGTTATGAATTCTAGTCTTGGGCAGCAGCGCTGATAGGTGAAGTAGTCAATCAAGTCAATACCCAGCAGTGAACGGGGGCTAGTCAACTAGGAGGTTGGTCGTCAATAGGAGACGTTGATTGTGGAAGCCAATACTGTAATAACCCTGACAAGAAAGTTGGCTGAGGTGCCCAAATCTGAGGTTGCCATCTTGATAGAGGTGAGCAGGCACGATATTAATAAATATTTGAAGTGTCGAGTCTCCTAAGCTCACCCCAACCCATAAAACACTATATCACAGCGATTGTAGTATACAGCTTCTGTCGCGGCTTCTGCGGCACGTTTTGCTCTCTTCCAGTCATTTTCTGACGTTTGAGAAGTCCAATATCAATCCTTAGTACTCTCCAGCACAGCCTTGATCATGGCATTTCCAACTTCGACTGCACCCTTAAACCTTGGCTCGAAGAACTTCTGTGTGACTTTGAATCTCTCCATCCACGTCTCGAAATGTCCTAGCGAAACACACTCTGCCCAACCCCGCGCAGCGAATGTAAACTCGAGGTCATCAGAGCGGAAAGTGTGATCCTCGATGGCAATACGTATAGCGTCATCCAACTTGTCGTTATGGCGAAAGAGATATTCTGTGACACCGAGCCACAAGCGGAATAGTGGTGTGGAGCAAATCATATGATCATAGGGAACGATGCCCATGGCGCTCCAACAGTCAACCATAGCCAGCAGGGCTAGGTGATTGTTTGGCAGCGGTGGGCTATCCGGCGTTTTGCCCAGGCTGAAGCGGTCCAGGATCTCGTCCTTCAGCAGCGGCCGCTCCTCCCACTTGGGGCTATCCTCAGCTCCAAAGACCTTCTTCTTGGCGGCGTACACTCGCTCACGCAGCTCATCCTGCCGGCCCTCCAACATGAGCTTGTAGAGCTCGGTGGTCGACTTGGCATACTGTGCGATCTGTTTCCGTGCCTCGGGGTTCAGGATCGCAAGTCCGGCATACACATGCCAATTCTGGGAATAAATCCGCAACATCAGGTTGATCTTGACGTTTTCAATGCCGCCGACATAGCGAGCCCCCTCCCAGGGGAACTGCTTCATTTCATGCCATGCTTTGCCCATGCTCAGGAAGGCGGCGTGTGTCACGGCCTGCGTATCTGCGGTAATACGATCATGCTCTTGGGCTGAAAGATAGACGTGCTTGGAGTTCAAGCAGCTGAGAACAGTCTCAACCTTAGCGAAAGACTCGTCGGAGGCGCGGTGCTTGATAAGGACCTAACTCGGATCTGTTATGGCCTAGGCTCATGCGAACACTGATAGGGACATGCTTCACTTACCAATGGCTGACCGCGTGTGTCAACGTTTGGGCCGTGCAAAGAGTGGCAGGGAACAATGTCGACATCGGGTGGGAGGTATTCTTCAAATGCCGCGATCTCGGGAGCCTTGCATGATGTTTGACCGCCTACAACCGCACTCAACTTCGTTGCTGTGTTACATTTCACGTAAGAACGGATTCTATTCAACAAAACGCATATAACACAGGCAAGCAGGTCATACATGGGCCGTATTCTTTCACAACATTGCCCAGCGCGGCAGCTTCGACGCTGTAGATGATATAATCGCTTGATCGAGAAACGAGATGACCGTCTTTGAGAATTTGTACATTATTCTAGACAACGTCTCAGCATGGGTTCCCCGGTTGAGACATAGCGGGTCGAGGAGCACCCATACAATTCCAGAAAATTCTTCCGTTAAGCTCTCGTATTTCTCCTTCCTGTCACAAGCCACAACTCTGATTCGCAAACCTGGTTAGCAAGATCGTCGTGGGGTATAGCAATTGTATGTAAAGCTGCGACTCTTGTTAGCAGATGCCCCAAGTAGCACTGAGCCAAGCAAAGAATAACAAGATAGCTGATTTCAGACAAAATTTGTAAGGTAGCTGAGAATTTTCATCATGGAAAGAACTCGCCTTAGCCCGGACCCAGAATGGGCGATCGAGCCAGGCGAGAACGATACTCTAGCCAAATGCACTCAAGTCATCATGGTAAAGGAAAAAGGTAGGTAGACAAGAAGATCAGGAAAAATTGTGACTCACCAGATAATGCAAGTCGCAGCAGACGCAATAACGCCCTAGAGACGAGAATGAAAACACCAATTACCTCCAGCCAGCTGCGGAGAGCCGGCGGGCGTACATCTTCCCCATGTCGCCCATGCCTATCAGGCCGATTACAAAGTTCTCCATGCCCTTGGGGGCTTTCGACGACGGGCTGACCATTTTCGCCGGACACAAGCAAGCTGAAAGTAAAGAAATAGGCGTCCAGAGGACTGCTCACATCCTCACAGCTTTCTCTTCCACAGTCGCACTCTGAAATCAAGGTTCGGAGCGTGAAGCTGTAGTTGTTCCAGAAATATGTTGTAGAGAGGAAAAGGTTCCAGCGTGACGTGAGAAATTTATTTTGGCGAAAGAATCGGAGCTGTAGAAGCTCCGTGGAATAAAGTGGTCCCGTAACCGACTAGCAAAGTTGATGTCCTACTGCCTAGGTAATACGCAGCTTGTTGGGCTGCTCTTAGTGAGAACTTAGCGTTCACCTGCTCTTAGCTGCAAACCCACTCTGTAAGTTGGCAAGCAACCGCCAACACCAAAGCCTCCCCCAATTCTTTAATGACCTCGATTAAGAAACAACTATCTCACTTTCGATAGCAACTATAAGTATTAAGGCTCAGTGCTACTTCTTGGATGGCTATTTTTCTTTTCGTCTCATCCACTTTCGAGTCACAGTGATGGTACAACATAGCGCTGCATTTCTCTACGCTGAAAGCATCATTACAAGTAGCCGATTACAAGAGTCTCGAACATCCCAGCTGACTCTCACGTAAAGGCTAACGCAACCACGTCTTGTCGAGATGAGCATTGTATTCGCCCTCGGATCCAATGGGTCCGGCCAGCTCGGTATCGGTCATAAAGAGGATGTCTCTGTTCCCAAGCAAGCACTCTTCCACCCTGAAGACCCAACCACTCCAATCACAACGGTTGCCGCAGGCGGGAACCACACCTTACTTTTAACATCATCAGATGAGCTTTACTGGAGTGGCGATGCTTCTACAGGAGCCTGTGGCCCAATTGCAAAGGCCCAGCCTAATGTATCCCTTTTTCAAAAAGTCACTTTTGAAGAGAGCGCACCTCAAGGGGCTGTGAAATTGATTGCGGCCACTTGGGAAGCTTCTATTATTGTCCAGGAAGACAGCGAAGGGAAGAAAAGCGTCGTCTCTACCTTTGGTCTAGGTCAGAAAGGTGAACTAGGCCAGGGGCAGTTCGTTGTTCGCACCCCGAAAATCAGCCCTGTGCCCAACTTCCCACCGCGAGGAAGCGAGGTTGTGGACCTAGCTGCCTGTATGGGTCACGTAGTCGTTGTCCTCAGTAATGGCGATGTGTACGGCTGGGGCAACGGAAGAAAAGGCCAGTTGGGGCTCCCAGAGGCGGTGTTATATGAGCCACGGAAGCTCGAGGGCGTGAACTCCCCCGTTTGCCGGGCAGTTTGCGGTAAAGACTTCACATGTCTTTTTGGACCTTCCCAAAACGGCGACATTATTGTCCTCGGCTCTGACAAGTGGACCATCAAGTCGGCTGCACCATCATCAGCACCGGGCTGGAAAGACGTGGCTGCCAGCTGGGGCAATGTCTTCATGCTCATGGAAGACGGAAGTCTTCTTAGCTGGGGTCGTAATGACCATGGTCAACTGGCCCCAGGAAATGTTCCCAAATTGTCAAGGCTAGCCGTTGGCAGTGAACATGTGGTAGCTCTATCTGAAGAAGGCGAGGTGCTGGCCTGGGGCTGGGGTGAACATGGTAACTGTGGGCCACAGGTTGACAACAACGACGTCAAAGGGCGGTGGAATGTGATCGCATCTTCGAAATATATCCCGCCTGGTACTCGTATTACAGGTATCGGAGCCGGTTGTGCAACTACCTGGATTGGAATTGGAGTGTCAAGCTAATAATGCAACCCGAGAACAACATCCGGCCACAGACATTTGAACGAGGGCCTCGAGCGAACGTCTCAAAGCAAGGGTATCAACAAATCCACCGCTGAACAAGGATGCCTTTCATTTTTCTGAGAAGAGACCGAATTGGCGAACCTATTGCATGATTAGTCGAGGACAGTCTCGCGTTGTAGTCTAGTCCTAGGTCACCCACCTGAGAGAGCCTCTGAGTTGGTTCCAGTCCGGATGGTAGTCGGTCAAGAAACTCATTCTGGACCTCTGCCGATGCTCCATAGTGGTTACTAATACGCATAGTGGAAGGGTTCTGCGGTTCATTATTAGTTCCCCGAGCAGAGAAGTCGAAAAGAGACGGAAATACCGGATCATTGCTCGCATCCCATTCCAGTCTAGCATTCTCCCCTTCATCCTCATCGTCGTCTGCATTGACTGGCTCCCATTGGTGGTCGTCGTCTTGGGGGAGAAACATGGACTCGGATCGCAGAGTCGAGGGTGGTTGATTGGGAAGTGGCCGTATCTCGAATTGTGACGGACGCGGTACACTAGGTCTGGGAATGGATGCCTTCGCCTTCTGACTACGTGCCGGTTCCGGTGGTTGCGGGTTGTCGTTGGCAACAACAGAGGCACTCCGACTAGATGCGGCCTCAAGGGCTGGTCTGACATGTTTAGCTGCAGCAGCCCGACCCTTTCCTTTCTTCTGAGTGATGGTGCCTTTCTCGCCAACGGTCATCAGGATAAATTCGCATATTATCCCGTCACCATCATAGGATACCTTCATCGGCCGCCCTGGCCTCGAGTAGGCAGCACTTAATGAGCCACTAGTCAATCCAGCATGGGTCAGGATCGCTCTGAAGTCCTTTACGCTAACAATTATGTGAAGCTTCTCTGGCACCGAAAGATCATCGAATTCTTCTGCATCCACCGCGATGGATGTGTGTAGTGGCTTCTTCAAAACAGCTTGCGTGACATTAGTATAGTTGCGCTAAGAAGACTATTCACAACACGCTTACCCTCGTTGTTGAGGTTGACCTGCTTCTCTGTGAAACATGTAAAGTTGACAACGCCATCATCTTCAGTGTTCACATCGAGCAGCTCAATTCCAGGCCCAAAATGTTCCATGAGCTGGCGTAAGGTGCGAGAGGAGATGGTCCAGTGATAGATAGCTTCATCTTTGTCGAACTTCGCATGAGTGGGAGCTTTGAGTTCAAACGGCAACCTGTGGGTTGCAGTAATGCCTGTCTGACTGTCAGGATTAGGATCGAGAAAATGGGTTATGGTATGACGGACCATTCCTACACACCACCTTCGCAATCAATCTGCTCTTCTTTCCGGGGCCATCATCAATGGCTACATCGCATCTCTCTATCGTAGTCTCCTTGTCTCTATCTCTTGTCGGATCTCCTCCAGTACGGCTTCTGAAGATAGATAAAAGAGCCTAGAAAGTCCAGTCAGTCCATAACCAAGTACGAAAATTTATCTCTACAAACCCTGATATAGACCATGCAGAAGAACCTCTCGCGATATTGGGTGTTCCCCTCAAAAGAGTACCGTGAGAAGAACCTATTGGCAGCGAATGTGAATGAAACATACGCAGATTTGGTCAAGTTGAGCGCAGTGAGAACCAGCTAGACTTATGATCAACGAGAGCACTAGATGTGACAATGTCAGAGGGAACGAACTTTGTCTTTGCGGACTTCCAATGAGACGTCGTCACTGAATTTTTGTATGCACACCAGGACATCGTGGAATGCACTGACACCTTCCTCACTGAGTGTGAAGTTGACAAGGGCCATGGCGGCGTCGGGCTCTTCAGCTGCAACCACGAGATCGCAGCTTGCTCTTGCCGATACTCTTTCGTCGTGCTATACACACAACTTATGACGGTTCAGACAGAGGCAGTTCTCGTCAGGTCGTCCTTAGCTGTGGAACAAGACATAGAACTAGATCCTGAGATCTCTGCGCTGTTTTCCGGGTCCTTGCAAAGTCTTGCGGGCAAGATGGTGCCTGCCTGTTCAACTGGAAAGGTCGCTCCTGCCCCGGCCTGTGCCTGTGGATGTAAAACGCGACCTGTAATGCTGGCAACGACGCGTGAAATCGCCGCAATCCGGGGAAGCACGCCGAGGCGAACTAGAGCCTTAGCGCCGACATTGGAGCCCAGTGGACAGGCTCGGAGCTCAGCCCACTAAACAAGGCTGTTATAGCTGTTATAGAAGGGCAACCACTGGAATTCAGCGTCCTAATCCGAGTGGCCCAAGCTCCCTGACCTCCAATGACATCAGGGACTTTCTCCATCCACAGCTCAGCTCTGTTATGCATCGTAAGAACCTTTCATTCCGCCATTAGTTGCGCCGCTTCGCAGGTATATTCACAACATCTCCAACGACGGTCACTTTCCTCCTTCGCTGCTTGCCATCATCATTCTCACGTGTATAATACAACATTTATATCGCATGATGCCTTACTAAGCATATTCCCACCAAGCCTCCCGAGGAGCAGGTCCACCCCACCGACCGAGTTCAGCACGCGACGCGTTTCTTTGTCAATCACAGTCTACACACCAAATCAAAAGTCCGAAAGTGATTACGACATCAATGGCATCCTCCTCTCTTATTCTGCCCCAGGAGCTCTGGTGGCTCGTCTGCCAGGAGCTCGTAGCTCGGCGAGACTTCAACAGCCTTTTCAACTGTGCTCTGGTATCTAAGGACTTCGCTGCTCATGCCCTTCCCCTTCTCTACAGGTACGTTCATCGCTACAGCGCACTGCGTCCACGACTCTGTTTGTGTTTAACAGGCTCTAAATCCGTCTCTTAGCATTCACGAGCTTTCAAGTGCGAGCATGGGCGAGTCCACTACTGCAGATAAAGTAAAATGGGCAAAGATGTGGCGGGCCATCATCCTCTCAAGCACCGCTGAGACAGCATACCCGTATTGTTTATGGATCAAAGCCCTAAGACTAGGCGATCTTGACACATTACTGCAAGATGTGGCACCGTACCCGGTTTTCAGGACACCTTTCTTTGCGGGAGCAATGGAATCTTTTGAATTAGTGAGTAAGACTTCTAAGACTCGTCGCGGCCAACCGATCCTTGAGATGCAAAAGATCGTGGAGAAGATCGGAGACACGATCACCGAATTTGTCAAGGATGCAGCAGACAGGGAGAACAAGTCAGTTGCTCTGACTAGTCTGGAGGGGCTATTTATTCCGACGCCTTTACTGTCGCTATGGACCTCCCGCCTGGCAACTTTGTCCTCTTTGACACTTCGTGATGGCTCCGTCTTGACCGGTGAAGTAGCTGAGGCAATTCACGTCAGCTGTCCAGCCTTCAAAGAGCTTGTCTGCTTCAACATACTTGGATCCACAGTCGACGAGGACTTGGCGGCCTTCATCCTGGGCTTGCGACCAAATAGCCTGGAGACTTTCAGTGTCCTCAGCACAAACCAAATCGGCCAAGAGTCACTCGGAGCCCTACAATATCACTCATCTTCTCTCCGGGAATTAGGATTGTCTAATATCCAGAAGGAGGCCTTCCCACATCTTAATGCATTGAGCCCATGCGATTCGCTCGAGTGGCTACATCTTGAATCAAGCAGAGATGGAATGACGAGTAAGTGGGCTACGGAGTCCAAGGATACATTTCTTGAAGTTGCCTCGTGGCTTAAGAGCTGCAGCAAGCTTTGTCGGCTAGAGATGTTCCGTGTGCCTGGAGCAGGTACGCTTCTTGCTGATGTACTGAAATCTCCTGAGCTGCGGCTCAAGTCATTGGAACTCAGCCTGTTGGATGATGATGAAGCATTCTACCCAGCTTTAGGTAATCAGATCGGTCTAGAGCGATTCTCTTTTGTGTCGACGGATGAATTCCTCCAGACAGCAACCCCTAGGCACTTCGCCTTCTTGAATTCTGTCTGCAACTGTCGTAATTTGCGCGAGCTTGACCTCATGCAATTTTCAATGTCACTTGCCGACCTCGTCCAAGTCAAGGATACCCTCTCCAAGCTCGAGGAATTCAGTTTTGACGGGGAGATGCTCTCCGATGAGATCTGGAAAGCTCTTAAGCAACTACCTGCACTGAAAACGCTCAATATCAATGGGCTCTCCGCATTCTCTTTTGAAGGAATACTCTCTTTCATCCAGTTCCTACAGAGCAGTCCAGCGCACAGAGGGTTCCGGCTCTACATCATGAACCAAATCGGCGAGGCAAAACTCTCCGATGATGAGGAAGTGCTTCTCGGCGGTCAGATGGCCGCGGCCGCCGGTCCAGATGGCAGGCTCGATCTGACTTATTTCCGAGATCCAGATGAGGAGATGTCAGAAGAGCTATCTGATTAGGAGTCCAACAGACGAATACGACATTGGCAGGAATGGCATGGGGCAAGGCAGCTGTAAGAGGCTGTCTGCTTGCTTAATGACTTTAATGAAAATAAATGTGCAGACAAGGATAGCTTTCAAAATGGCAAAGTAGATACCTTACTCTTATATCAGAACATCAAAAAGGCAAGCAAATGCATGTGCTTCACGGGATACATGCACAGCCTACGAAAATGATAGAATGACCACATGTGAAGCTCTTCAGATGCTGATCAGCCTGCGACAACCCAGCTGCTACCCACCACAGGCAAATAGCCCTCTAGTGATTGGTGGCAGGGCGCTTATCCCCTTCACCGAGTGTCGCATGACCAGCGGGCAGTGATGTCTTAGTGGCGTAGTGGGATAGCGGCAATATGCAGCCTTACCGGCAGGCAGGGAGGGAGACAAAAGGGTAGCTTAGCTCGTGCACCTACACCTTAAAACGGCTTCGACCAACCTCTCCTTCTAGCTCTCCCGCCCAGTTGACCGGACTTGTAGGTCCATTGAGCATACAATCAGTCACGAAAATGGTATAATGCTCTCATTCTGAGCCTCAAGCTCACTTAAGTGAATAGCTGGCTAACCCTCGCTAGACTTCCGCCAGGACACCGCTCCTGGCATCCTCCCGCCGCTCTCAAGACTCCGAGCGATCGGACCGTCAAGCAGAGGCCGAAGACGATGCTCTGCACGGCGAATCCACACAACACCAGCACCGTTTCCTCCCCGATGGCCCCTGGGCGATCCGACTCCGCGAGATAATCATCTTTATCTGGGCGCTTCTGGCCACGGCCGCTGTGATCATTCTCGCAGTATGGACCCAACATCGCCAGCAGACGTCGCCATACGTCAAGCCTTCAGGGAAGCGCAACCTGGTCTTCATGGTGTCGGATGGCATGGGCCCAGCGTCGCTTTCACTGACACGCTCGTTTCGCCAACTCGTCGACGACCTACCATACAGCGACACCCTCACGCTAGACCAGCACTTCTGGGGCACGAGCCGGACCCGATCGACGAATAGCTTGGTGACGGATTCCGCGGCAGGCGCAACGGCGTTCTCATGCGGCAAGAAGAGCTACAACGGAGCCATTTCTATGCTTCCTGACTACACCCCATGCGGCACCGTGCTTGAGGCAGCGAAAAGAGCTGGATATAAGACAGGACTAGTTGTGACAACAGATATCACAGATGCTACGCCCGCCTGTTTTGCAAGTCACGTACGCATACGAGCAGAGAATGACGCGATTGCACTGCAAGAGATTGGAGACGGCGTACTGGGCCGCATGGTAGACCTGATGCTGGGAGGAGGCAGATGTCGTTTCTTGCCAAACACAACAGAAGGAAGCTGCCGCGCCGACGACATCGATGTGGCCAAAATTGCGCAGGAGAAGCACGGCTGGACCTATCATGACGACCGCGCTGGCTTCGACAGCATGGCACTAGGCAAGAACGTCTCGCTACCCGTGCTCGGCCTTTTTGCAGATCATGACGTTCCTTTCGAGCTGGACCGCCGTAACATGGCAGATGTCTACCCGAGTCTGAGCGAAATGGCCACGACTGCATTGCGGGCGTTGGAGGATGCTACCAAAGACAGCGACCAAGGATTCTTCCTTATGATCGAAGGAAGCAGAATTGACCATGCCGGCCATATCAATGACCCAGCTGCACAGGTCAGAGAAGTCCTGGAGTATGACAAGACTTTCAAGACTGTTGTGGACTTTCTGGATAAGAGTAAGAGTCAGGGCGTCTTGGTCGCCACGAGCGATCATGAGACTGGCGGCCTCGTTACTGCACGGCGTAAGTGCTCGACTCAGTCTCCCCTTGGGATATCCCGCTTTTGAGCTCGCTAACATGGTTCTTCGTCTAGAAAATCCGAACGAACTTCCCGTGTATAACTGGTATCCTGCGGTCCTGGCAAATGCCAACGCATCAGCAGAGCACCTATCTCGTCAGCTTCTTGAGCATATCGATCAGACTAATTCCAACCCTGACTCCACTGAAGACCTTATTGACTGGATCAATACACATCTAGTCATTAACGGACTTGGCATCACTGATGCCCTCGAGGATGAATTGAAGATTGTGGCATCGTATCCCGAAGCATCAGTGACAACTCTCTCCAAGATGATCAGCGTTCGAGCTCGTGTTGGCTGGAGCACTCATGGCCACTCGGCTGTGGATGTCAATGTATACAGCTCCGGAGGCCCAGGAACAGACAAGATCCGTGGCAACATAGAAAACACGGAGATTGGTAAGTTTCTGCGGGAATATTTGAGCGTGGACGTTGATGCCATCACAAAAGAGCTCAACAAGAAGACCGATTCCATTCCACAGTATGCGAGTAGAGCGGAGCAGAACGGATATGAGACTGAGGGGCTTCCCATGGAATGGGTTATGTAGCCTCGTTGCATTGGATCCTCCTACGTTCACCAAGTGTGGAGGATATGGCGTTCATTTGCATATTGAGGATGTTGGGTTGGCTATATAATGATAAGATTCTGCTATTTAGTTTCGTTCATTTAATGCAAATAAGATACCCATATGGATGAGACACCCGAGCTCCGGGCCGAATGTACTCTCGATCTCCTTGCCATCCGTGCCGATGTCATGTCGCCCGCCACCCGACTCCTATCCGCTCGCTCCCGATTCCATAGCGCGCGTCAGGCATGCCCAATCCTGGCTCGCCTAGATAGTTATTGCGACACTCCCAGCCACAGAAGTCGCCCGTGAGCAACACATACGTGTTGCTAGGACTTGGATCGCAATCCTTTGGGAGGTCAAAAGGCATTGTGTCGATGGTTTCTGGCTGCCATGACGACCTGTCGTCTATTCGGGAAAGCTGAGCCAGCAGCGTATGGCAGAAAGCATATGACAACAGCGTGGACGATGTATGTCCACAAATGGAGACTTCCAGAATGTAAAAGCACATATTTTTTTATTTTTTCATAAAGGACGTGGAATCGAAGGGATGTTCCTAGCAGAGCGGGCGGTCGAGTGACGCGATACAGGCTACCGCCTGCAGAATCGACTTATAATAGACCAGATCATACCGATATGTATGAGATCAAAGTAATCAATACAACAAATATGTCTTGTAGACAAACAGGGAAGAACAAGGTATCTCGAACGTGATATGTGCCTGTGAAAACGAGGCAACAGCCGCAAGGACTTGCTTCCAGCCCACTATCTATAACTTCGTTTGTATAAACATTTAAGATGACAGCGCTCGATAAATATAAGTCTTTGAGGCAGTGACATGCTAGCATATTTCCATGATTGAATTCGAACTCCGTTTCTCCTGTGTTCCCGGCTTCCAGACATTTCCACGGAAAGTATTGTGCGCCCTTAGTACTTGTCGTAAGTTGTTAAGTGTTCAAAACGAACTCCAGGGGGACAGTGTATAGTAAGTCCGTTGTTTTCAGGTGAACTGTATCATTTGGAGTTTGAAGCTAAGTATTCAGTAGAATTCGCTGGTGTTCACAAACCACGCTTTCTGTGTGTTCCGAGGTTCAATTTTGATGTCAAGTCTGTCGTCGCTGGAATAAGAAGTTTGTCAATACGTCAGTCAGTAAGTAAAAACGTAGTACCCAAATGTTTGGGGTGTTTCGCTTTGTAAAACTGAGATGAGCCGCAGTGTCACAACCGTCACTGTACAAACCCCCCAAACTGCACGCGTTGAGAAGTTCCGTACCACTACTACATGAATGATCTGTATTATACAACTGTGACTAGACGGGCTGTGAGGTTGCAAGTCTCATCTATACTTGATCGGATGGTATTTCCATCCCGTTGGATCCAATGCCGTTGGATCCAATGTCCTGAGACGCCATCCGTGATATGGATCATACCCTAGTGATACCCCTTACTCAATACACGTTAATGTTACAAGCTGTGCTCAGAACAGTTTCTTCCCTGATGACCGAAACAGATCTAGACCTGTGTCACCACATCAGCCACGCCAAAACCGACAGCCTCTTCGGTAACGGCCACGCCGTGAGGTACTGCAAGCGGCGCAGCAGTGAAGACGCCCTCGTCCTCTTCAAATTCCTCCATCGCAGTTTTGCCCTCTAGGAAGAATAGGTCTTCCTTGTTGTCGCTCTCTGGAAGCGGAATGGCGCAGGCAGTATCGTAGACCTCCTCATTGAAAGGGAGTGTCAAGCCGACATCGTAAGCTTCCTCGGGCTCATAAAGCATGTGATGTCCGTGCTGACGGTAAACATGATAGTCCGAATACGTGTCATGTGTAGCGTCGTCCCAAGTATTCATAGACGGTGGCAGCAAGGAGGAGAACACCTCGAAACGAACCCGAGGATTTGTCTTCAAAGACGCATCGCTAGAAAGACATTAGCCAGAAGCTTTTCTGAACAATTTCTCTTACTGATCGTACCTCCGACCATCGCAAATCATTTTCTCTGAAGCAAGGCCAACCACTGCCTGTTCGGTCTCTCCAGCATTTTGCGCGACCAGACTGGGAGATGGAGGTGGCGTCCAGGGCGGACGAATGAGAAGATCTTGCCTGTTCATGGTTTCGTTCTCTCCTGTATGAAGGCCAACGGTTCCATTCTCAGAAACACGGATCGGACTGGCTGGAAGGTGCCCAGAATAGCGCTTCATAGACAGCTGCTCGCTTTGCTGGGCAAGGGACGAGGCCGCCATCTCATCCTCCTCAGCATCCTTATCGAAATAGTAAGATCTCCTCAAATGCTCCTCGATGATATCCATGACACTCCAGTGGGAAGAAGATGCCAACGACAGTGGCATAGACGAAGCGCGAGGGATACCTGGTCGAGGCTAACATCATTAGCAAGAATTCTCACCAGTTTCCGAAGCAAGACAGCTTACCAAGGGCACCGGCCGATTTCCCCAATTACTAATGACTTTGGGACTGCAGATAGGACGATGCCTGAAAAAGCCAAAGCCCCAACCAACAGCGGCATGAGCCGGAATATCCCCCTTGGCAATCCCGTCGAGGCTAAGGTACGAGCGAGCCTCCATTGTTGGCCGACACGAGTGACAGACTTTCAGTCGGCACTCCTCTGACTCTTTGGGGGACCAAGGCCGTCGATTATCGTCCCTAGCAAGTATCTCTGCGAGCTTGGTTACGGGGATCCTGCAGCTCTTCAGCCTGGTTTCGCGGAGTTGTACTTGAGCGACTTGATTGGCCTAGGCAGAATGCGATTAGCAATAGGCTTGTGTTGGTTTATGGAGAAGGAGGAAATACATATTCTCGCTGCTGAAGTATAGTCGCAATCTGATGAGGAGAGTAGTTCTTCATGCCCTCGGCCGTAAGCTCCTTGTTGAGGAAGCTGTACTTATCTGAGCGCTCCTCAGGGCCACGATAGGCAGGCTTCACCTGCTCCAACAACATGACTCCAATATCATCATAGGCGACCTGAAATAATTTAACGAAGCTCACATCTGATTCCGTCAAAAATCTTCTCACCTGCTTCCCATCTTCGATTTGCTGCCTCAGCAACGCTTCACGATCCTGAACACACCGATACAGCCAACCCTGCTCGGGCCGCTGCTTGCAATTGTCGCAAGTCGCGCCTTTCGCGTAGAATCGGGTCATGATAATGTGGCTGCACGTTGGCTTCCAGGGAATACGTGGCCGGTAAGTCGTGAACTCGCTCGTTGGCAGTGGTAGGCCAGGAGGAGGGCTCAGCGTTGACACCGGAAGCTCAGGCAAGGCATGACTGAGCCTCGGAGCCGGTGGCGGCGATGCCATGGCGTCGACGATGTGTTTGATGGTGGTCGGAGGGTTATTTTCTGTAGCCATCTGTTGGTGCGACCGGTTGCAGAAAACGGAGATCCAGATGCTTTTGGAAGGTGACCATAGAAAGGAGTTCAAGCAAACTGAGGCGTGACCCATCCAGCGTAAACAACCCTTCCAGGCCACCCATGTGAACGGGTGCGCGTTGGCGTCGTGATCGGATGAAATATTCTCATCTGTGATTTTCTTCGCTGCCTATTGTATAGTGCAAATATCTAAGACCTCCCTCACCATGCAAATCGCTGATTATGCTTATTATGGGCGTCTCCTTTGTCAAATGAAACAGTCGAATGTGTTTTTCAGTGAACATTTTCCATATTAAACCGTGTATACATCGTGATTGCCTCAAGACACTGTGTCAGAGTGAAGAGGGCAAGCACAGACGGCAAGCTACGACATCAACCAAACAAGTCTCACTCTGTAATTCCTTCAGGTATTTCAACCAATTGAGAATTACTGAGTTTGCTCTGGAAGGTCTGGCCGAATTCGACCTGCACCTGATATATCCAAAAAGGAAAGCTGTGATGTTGAATCAAGAGAAAGAGAAGAAGGAAAGTGCCATCGAGCACAGAAGTGAAATGAAGCAGTGGTCTTATCAAGAAAACAAGTCCACTAGAGTAAGAAACAGAAGATATTGCTTGTGGGAGCTTGCTGAAGCACTGACTTCAAAGCAACAATGCCAATGGACAGAATTTTGTCTCAACAGGTTTTCGTCCACAGACTTGCAACTTTGTATGAAGAAATGTCACCTTTCTGGAAACCTTTCCACGTTTTCTCATTGTAGCAATACGGCACTGAGAAATGGCGAAGTTCAGGTTCAATCGAGTTGCATGCACTTGCAATGCACCGTTATGATGAATGCTTGAAGAGCAGGCATTGGTGAGGAGTTGCCAGTCGATTGCAGATTCAGATTGATGGAAGATGAGATGAGATGAGCTAAGAGGGACCTCGGGACATTCGGCAGCCTGGCCAATCAGAGCGCACGTCATCTCAGAGCTACTTGAAGGTTCAGCTGTTGTGCTGATGTTGTTTGCTGGATGGGGAAAGCGGCCAACGCCAGAGTCCGTCCGGGCGCGTTGCTGGTTGCTGCGGGCTCTTCCACCACCTGCACGGTGCACCCACCCCCCAGTTTCGCTTCACGGAAAGGTACCTAAGGGTGGCCAACCCCCCAAGTAACCGCACCTTAGGTAGTTCCTCCGACCACTTCTGCCGAACCGTGGAGAACTCATCCTCTTCACCTCCTCACGGGTACCAGATCACCTCCCGAGGCCCTCATTGTTTCAATGTAAGTCGTCCGACCCCACGATCCTCTCACAGCTGGCACAGTTCAATGGTTTTGTGCTCTCGGGCGGGCTTCAGATCGACAGCGCGCCGCTTCCCCTCCGCCGCCCGTCGCTGTCCCGCAACCCAGCCAAACAGACGGTTGTAAACAAACCATTGGGCCAACGCATCTCCCCTTCAATTGCGCCGGATCGATTCCCCCTCATCCATCTGCGCAGAGTGAGCCCAACAGAAGCGCTGACATTGTGTGTGAATCCAGCAGCGAGCTCCGCCCCAGTTTTAAAATAAATATATGTTGATCTGACACACGGCTCCGCAATGTCCGTCAAGATCGAGCGAGACACATTCCAGCAGGGCGGGAAGGCCGCCCTCGCCGGCGCTGGTGGAGCTGCCCCCGGCGGCCCTCTACCCGGTACCAGCGGAAAGCACCCCTTCGCCGAGGCCGTCGGTACAGCAATCACGGGCGGGAAGCAGAATGCGGGCACAAAGGGATATCTTGCTGTACGTTTAATCTGTTGATGGCGCCGATGTCGCGGATGCGCGATGGTGGTGTCCAAAAGGACCAGGAAAATAGCGCTGACCAGTTTCCCCACGTGCAGGCCTATATCAAGCAGCTCGAGGAGAACCCAATGCGCACCAAGATGCTGACGGCCGGAACTCTGGCCGGAGCGCAGGAGTTCCTCGCATCATGGCTAGCTAAGGATCGCAACAAGAACGGCCATTACTTCACATCGCGTGTTCCCAAGATGGCCGCATATGGCGCTCTTGTCAGCGCTCCTCTCGGCTCTTTCTTGATCTGGCTGCTGCAAAAGGTCTTCAAGGGCCGGACAAGTCTGAAGGCCAAGATTCTCCAGATTCTTGTTAGCAATCTTATTGTAGGTGCTCCTTGAAAGAACCGCACATGAAGCCGCCCCTCTGGTATAACCGACTAACACTCTTCTAGATTGCCCCTATCCAGAACAGCGTGTACCTGACGGCAATGGCCCTAATTGCCGGCGCCAGGACATTCCACCAGGTGCGGGCAACTGTCCGTGTTGGTTTCTGGAAGGTCATGAGGGTCAGCTGGGTCACCTCCCCCATCTGCCTGGCCTTCGCCCAGAAGTTCCTGCCCGAGAATACCTGGGTACCCTTCTTCAACCTGGTGTCGTTCATCATCGGCACCTATATCAACACCGTCACCAAGAAGAAGAGACTTGCGGCACTCCGCAAGAAGCACTTCGGTGACGGCCGATCTGGGTCCATTGGCGGCCCTCGCCCCGATGATTATCCCCCCATTGGCCCAAACCCCCCTTACTAAATCATTCTTTATGGTGAACAAGGACTGGAGGCCAAGAGGTCAGAAGAAGATATTGAGAGAGCAGGCTGTTGGGTAGTAAAGTGTCGGGGTTACCAGGGGGGGAAATGTTCTGGTGTGGTCTATGAACACGGCAACTTCGTTATGTTCTCTCACATCAGTGGACAGCGCTTGATAAATAGGACTCGAAATCTATGAAATGTATAATTGATCTTGTTACGTTACTCATGTCGGGCCAATTGTGGGCTAGGTAGACCGGTAAATAAACGTTGTTCCAAAGTTACTGCATCCAATGCCTTCCAACCGTCCCTCAACTGATAAAGTGCTGCAATCAGCCCGTTTTGTGATGCGTTGTAAATACTACGCGATCAATGATCGGGTACTGTGACTGCTCTGGCCTATTGTGGTCTTGAATCTTGGTTCCCAAATGGCTTCGCCATGGGTTACCATTCTTCGCCTCCATTACCTGGAGAAGTTTCTCTATGGCACGAGGTATTTGGAGTCTGCTACTGCACCATCGCCTGCAAAGGTCTGATCCAATGCGGCTACTCATTTTGCTTCTGAAGCCAGAATGCTGTACATCCATAATATGTCGTAAAGCCACTTGGATTGGGTACGCCAGACGATTGGTAGCACAGTTGAATCACCCGATGCTGACAGCAGTCAACGTCGCCCTCATAGATGGGATCTCATCACTCTGCCAGCATAATGGGTTCCTGCCCTTCAAGCATAAAACCAGGGCTCCAATATTCCCATTCCGGAGCCTGCTTGTCGATCCAGAGCATGCCCTCTCCAAGCAGGTCCTCTAATGCAGTCTGTGCACGTGCACGAGGCCAGTTCAGATTCACCATCAGCATGGACACACTGACATAGCCGAGCACCTGAACTGCTTCCAGAACAGCGCTTTGGTCAGTGTTCAGCTCCTTTGGCACGGAGCGAATGTACGGCTTGCTGCCGACTTTGATGACCGAATAGGAGGACCCCAGCGGTTTGAGGGTTCCAACAGCTCGAAGGATATCATCTCTTGTAAATGTTAGCTCTCTGGTTGATGTTTGACACGAGAAAATGCCAGTCTTACTCGGCTATTTCTGAGGCTCCTTCCATGCGACCTCTCATGATGCGCTCTCTGACTTTGCGGACCTCGATGAGTCCACCATTTTCCTCTCGAGTTTCCGAGCATACTTCAACAACCCGCACGGCCAATTCAAAGTAGAAGTCATTGACAGACCGTCCCAGCAGCTGCGACCATATGGAGCCACCACCAGATCCGCTGTTGCTGCTGGCTAGAGGATCAACACCTATGGCAGAGCACATGCGTGCGAACTGAGCCCGAAACGATGGATTCGACCTGATGTCCTTTGCGTGTGTCTGCGCAAACTGCTGTAACAGTGACCGGAATACCGCTAGCTGCGTCTCCAGAGCTTGGGCATTTGTCGACCGGAGAGTAGATCCATGGCTGGCGTACTGAGCCGAAGTGATGCGACTTCGGTCAAAGGCCGCCAAGCCTACACCCTTCCGTGACATTTTTTCAATACTTCGTTATTCCATTTGTCCATGCATGGTGATTGAAGCTGTCCTCCCAGTCCTGTCTCGTGACGTTCACCCACATGCAGCCTACGTGCTTATCGCAGCTGTCCGATAACGAAGTCATCGACGTCCACGTGACCGGATATTTTCAGGCTAGGCCCAGCTTTAGGTAAGCAAGTGGGGAAGCGCTAGCGTCTCGCACAACCCTCATTCGAAAATTTGCTCCCGCAGAATACAAACCTGCAATCATCGAGACGACTGCATTCGCGATACCCTCACGACCACACCCCCAGCCGTGAAGATGTCTAGCCCACAGAGCGTCCAGTGCTTCGGCAAGAAGAAGACCGCCACTGCCGTTGCCACATGCAAGGTCAGCTCTCCTCCGAATCATCGATTGCTACGAGTTGGAAAGGGAATCTAGGTACTGACTGTTTGGAAAATTCTAGGCCGGCAAGGGTCTCGTCAAGGTCAACGGCCGCCCTCTCTCCCTCGTTGAGCCTGCGACTCTGCGATTCAAGGTACGATACACTACAATTCTCCAGGTGGACAGGGAGATGCTCGAGAGCATCTGAGCTCGGATTGTCGAAAGGATATGGATGTGAGAAAACGCGGGACTAACTCGCCTCAACCCAGGTCTACGAGCCCCTCCTAGTCCTCGGCCTCGATAAGTTCGCCAACGTCGACATCCGCGTCCGCGTCAGCGGCGGTGGTCACACCTCCCAGATCTACGCCGTTCGTCAAGCGATCGCCAAGTCCCTGATCGCCTACTACCAGAAGTTCGTCGACGAGCACAGCAAGAACCTGCTCAAGCAGGCCCTCGGCCAGTACGACCGCACACTGCTCGTTGCCGACAACCGCCGCTGCGAGCCCAAGAAGTTCGGTGGTCCGGGCGCCCGTGCCAGATTCCAGAAGTCTTACCGTTAAACGCGGAAGCGGAAGGATGTGGTGGAGGATGGTGCTGGTGCTGCTACTACCGGACGGCGGAGTAACATGCACGCGGGCACGGGGATGAGGGGATGGCCTGCTGCTGGTGGACAACTGGACAGGATTGATTTCGTGGATCGGGAGTCTATCGAGGACCTTACTATACGGAAGGGAAAGCCGTTTTTACTGCTGCATTTGCATGGCAAGCCTCTTAGGCTGGTTTGTAAAGGGTTACGGCACACAAAATCAAAATATTCAACCAAACCCAACCATGTGGCGAGACTTGCATGTTGTTTCGATGAATGGTGAAGAGAGGATCGCTGCTAATGTCTCTTGTGAAATGTGAAGGTGGTTTCGGGATAAAACTACAACCCTCACCACTACATACGGCAATTGAAATTGTACGGTCTCGTTGTCTCCGGACGACGGACTGCAAGAATCTACAAGTTCAAACATCAAACCTCGTCTTCACCAAATCAAGTCGATTAGCCATGATCCATCCTTCGCGAGTAAAAATAACAATAAATCTCGGTGACTAGATATCAAGCTATGTGTACAGGATCCAGGGGTATTTGCCAGTATAACCAAAAATCGCCCAACCTAAACGCTCTCAATCATTATTGCATGTTGATACTGTGAAATCGGTCTTCGAGAAGCGAATTATCATCATCTCGCCCTTGTGCCCTCTTGAGATCCTCGAGGCCTAGTTCCATGACACCAGACCGACCTCCCGTCCGTTCTCATCCAAGTCAACAACAACAGGTTGATACTCGTCATCATCCTCGTCATCTTCACCATCCAGCTTCTCGCGAACATAGTCACTCCTTAGATCCCAGCCGTACTTCCAGAACCAGGCCTCGAGATCGACGAACGCATGTCCGACCGCACCTTGTTCCTGCGAGATCTTGTCTCCCAGATCCAGAAGAGCCTTGTTAAGCCGACGCTTGTACGCAGTCAGCGCTTCACGAAGCTTGCCTCTGTTCTGCGGGATAATCTCGAGAATGCCTATGCTGTGCCCACCATCGCTGTCCTGTTGAAGTCCGGTTCCCTCACCCCGTCCTTTCTTATCTCCCGGTGCTCCAGCGATGTATTTGTCATTGTAAATCATCTGTGCGTGTAGCGTCTGGATAAGAGACCGACATAGAGCCGGCTTGGTGACAGCAAGCCGGGGTGCTCGCAAGAATACCCGCAAGACCAGATGCCACCATTGCTCGATACATGACAGGTTGCTAAGGTGCATCCCGTTTAGGAAGGTAAACTGCAGCTCCCCAACAACGTCCTCCTCTGTGATTGCTGAGGGAGACTTGTCCAACACGGCCAAGATCTCGGCAGATGTGTCTGGACCATCGGCCGGAGCATTGGTGATGGCAGTGGCCGAGGCGGCCGGGTGGTCGCGGCCGACGAGGTTGAGCAATTGCAGATCGACTGCATCCTGCGGAAATAAAAAGCTCAGCTCGCTACCTACAACCGTCTTGAACAGCCTGCTTGTCTGCGGGAAGTGCAGCTCGCCCTTGGCGCTGTCTGATGTATCCACAAGCCACTCGTCCACATCCTTCTTGCCCGTCACCCGCCGCAGCAGACCCTCAGTGATCGAGTCCGTTAGTCGCCGCCATATCAGGGTGTCACTGACAGCGAAGTCCGGCTCCGGCGTTGACCTCGGCGGATCCTTCGGTGGAGGCGTGGGCGGATTGCCATCAGATCCGTCATGAAAGTCGTAGGGCATGAGTTGCGGATAGAGCGCCTCAATATTGTCCTTTTGCTCCCGGACCTCGAACTGACTTGCCGCCTCGCCCAGGACCTCGTTGTACCTGTCCCACTGCTTCACGCGCACCTCCCCAGTCTGTCCCGTCACGAACCAATACCCGCACCGGGACATGGCATTCGGCTCCGATACCCATATGAAATGAGGGCCCGGGGGCAGATCCCTAATGCCGAGAAATTTGGACCCGCCGACGTTCATGGCCACTACATCGCATCCCACGGTGAAGTTCTCTGGCAGGTCGAGAACGACAAAAGCATCTCCGTTCTGCAGACAGCCTGGGGCACCCGGGTACGTAGGCTCCTCCAGCTCCGGCATCTCCTCTATCTGACTTCCCGCACCAGCCTCGTGAGACGGTGTCGAGTCCATGATCTCGTGGATCCGCAAGGAGCCGTATGGTAGAGTGCCTGTGACTGGCACTGAGGCGTGGCTTTGCAAAGAAAAGCGTCCTGCTGAGGCCGTAGAGTTGGACTTTGTCAGCGGCGGCAGCCCGGACAGACTGAAGCTTGTGCTTGGCACAGGTGAGCCACTGTACACACTGCTGCCTCCTGAAGAAGGGCTCGGCTGAGTCTGTGAGGATTGAGAGAGAGCTTTGGCCCGGGTATTGAGAGGGACTGTCTGTTCGCGAGCGCTGGTCGGTGATGTATGGCTGGAGTCTGTAACGGCGGTTATAGCCGTAGCCATTTCCTCTCTTCACCAATGTTCTCCACCTTGTGAAGTGACCGTCTGTCAATATCTACTCTAATCGTAGAGGGGGAAGACTGCAGGCACTAAGGTTTGGTCGCTGACTGTTTCGCACCAGTGGCTGTCCGGGAAACCTTTTGTATAGTGAAAAAAAATACCAGTAAATGGACTGTGCTAGTTCTAAAATAGTCTCTGTTAAACGAAAGACGAGTAAGAGAAAATTCCGAACGAGGGTCTTCCAGCAAACAATTCTTATGTGTCAGATGCTGAATTTTACTTTCTTGCCTTGACGAAAACAAGAGAAGAACAGCATGCGGCCAAAGTATGGGAAGAAATATGAAGCATTTCAGGGCAGATCGTGGTGGGCGAGGTGTAAGCCGGAGGGAAGGCGCTGCGGGCGCTACGTCATTTTCCTCTTTCAGCCTGAAGAAGCTCAAGCGACGAATCCCACTCGATTCCATCCACTCCCACCAACTTTAGACCCTTGAACATCTCGTTATCTCATAATGCACAGGCTGGCTGACGCATCGCACAAGCGCGACAGGCGATAAGAGCAGACGTGAAATTAATATATTGCGTTCCCAAAATACTTGTTGCACTACAGGCGTCGTCATAATCCTCGGCATCGGGCATCGTGGAGTAGGACAAGCGGCGACAGATCGATAATAAGAGGCCGGTTCTAATCCAACGTCATGTCTCACAAATCGCTGCAACTTCTTGGCCCCGACACAATTATCAATTTGACTCCGAGATTCAGCAATTGCAGCGCCGCCCCGACTATCCTCACGAGAGACTAAGACCGCTCAACTCACCCCCGCCCGTCTAGCTCACCTTGGGTATATTTTTCGCTAGTAAGACGACTTGACTCGGTCGGCCCTTGGTCAACTGCCGTGGCGGAACTTGCCAGCCCTAATGAGTATCCATGTTCCTTGGTCAGCACCAACAGGAGAGGGAGCACTCATCAACCAGACCGGGAGGAGAAGTTGCTGCCGGCCAATGCACAGTCGGTGAAGCACCAGGCTACCTACGCCCCGACTCCAAGCGTCGCGCCTAAATAGTGAAGGTGGTGTATTGTACTGAATTGTACACGTACAATACAATACGATACGGTACGGGTACCCGGACCTTGCTAAAGCATGCAACGCATAAACGAACGCACGCACGCACACGTTGCACCTTGAGGTGCTAGCATTAGCTTCGATCTGGATGCCCATCCAGTGCTACCGTGGGGTTCTGGATGGATTCATTCCTCTTAAGGTCAAGGTCAGCGTTAAGGTCAAGGCAAGGTCAAGGATCCCTCTTAACTCTGTCTCTCCCGGTGTCGATCCATCACCCGATCCCCCCGCTCCGGAGCGGCGGGTCTCCCCTATTTTCCTTGCGGCCATGTGCGTGCGTGCGTTCGCGTGCCTGGGTGCAATGCCAGGACACAGGACGGACCCTGCACTTGCGCATAGCGATGTCTTATACTAGAGTAGCTCCCGCTCGCTCGTGCACACAAACGGGAACCGTCGGGAAAGTCAAGTTATGGGTGCAAGACGACACAGCCACAGTCTAGCATCGCATCACACCACCTCCATCGTCCCAAGCGTCGTTCTTAAGGCGTTGTGGGAAGAAGCGCCGGCCGGTCGGGTCCCCTTGTGCAACGGTTCGGGCGGTAGCGCACTGCAAGCGACGGACACTAGGCCCGGCGGAGGGGAACCAGGACAGTAAAAGCGCACGAATTAAGGCTTCGGCCCTGGCGCCGGCGCCTGGGTTGTCTCGGTGTACCTCACTCAGCTCGCTCAGGCACACCGGTCCAGGTCAGGGATGGATAGTATGAGCTGATACTGTGCACACACTCATTACCTCCTCGAGTCCCGACCTTGCCTTGCCTTAGTCTCGAGATAAGGTGCTGATAGTGTCGGTCTTGCTGCGACGCGATGCTACAGCACGAGGCCGAACCATTTTGGCGGCCGCCTGTACCCCCCGTCCTGCCGATCCCGTCAGACCGGCATGTCTGCCAAGGCACGGCAAGGTATGGTATGGTAGAATGCGTGCGACAAGCATGCACTTAACGCGCCCGACCGGGAGATAGACAGCGTCCCTGCATCAGAGTCAGCCTGCATAGTACCTACTTAAGGCTTGGGAACATTTTCAGCTTGGCGCAAGTCGCAATAGCCTGTTTAGCCAGTCGGTAACTGCCTAGAGACACTGTGCTCCTGGTGCGTTTTCAGCTGGGATCGAGTGCGGATAGCCTTTCCTCGTACCAAGGGAAGTCATACCCGTCTGTCCGTTGTCGTCGGGTGATCAGCGGCGCAACCGCCGTCGGACGTCGAAAAGCAACTACCCGCTTCGCCGCACGGAACGGTGCATATCCTTCTGGACGACAACCTTTACCTCAATCCGAAAGCCCCCGCGACTACTCTATTCCAACTCCTAATAAAGATTTCCTTAGTCGAAGGGACGATTGCAAAGGAAATAATGTAGGGAAGCATCCGACTGATATCAAAGTCTAGTTTTCCCAAACGCCTACACGAGTTCGATTCTTCAACAACCACAAGAAAGGCATCTGTCATATCTTGTGCAACGGTCGGGTCGCTCTCCTGGTCAAGCAAGGTAGCATCGATCGTCCTTGGCATGCCTCGCACACGGCGACACTGTGTATGACAAGAGGGATTGAGGGCAGCATCCGTAGTACGAGCCCAGCCCAGAAGGAGGCTAGTCCCAGATATCATCGCCAGTGAGGGAACAGGCAGATATAGGGCAACTAAGGTAACCAACAAGCAGCCTAAGGTAGGTAACACCCAGCTACTGCGCGTCATCACGGGCAGGATTGATGCGCGCGCGCGAGCAGACTCTAAAACCCCCAGCCCCAGGCCAAACAAGGTGACTTGGTGCGCTGGTTGGTACGGGTCCTGCTGCAGAGGGATAACCACCAAGCTAACTAAGGTAGAGCGTTTTCCGAAGGTGTGGTTACACAAAGTTTCCCGGTCGCTAACATAGCTAGACAAACATAGTAAACCTAGCACAAGCACGCACGCACTTCTTCCCGTCGAGCTAGACTGATAAAGCATGAATGGACGGCACTTTGGGCTTGCTGGGATTTTCGTAGGCTAGGTCGTTAACTGCATAGTAGCCATGAAGTAGCTACAGTATGCAAATGTCACAATCTCGCATCTCCCCCTACCGACCTATGTACCTACAACTGTACGTATTTATATATGTATGTCTGTATCAATTAACCCAAACCCATCACCCGGGCCGCTGTACATGTGCAAGGCACATGTCTTGCCTTGCCTTGCCTTGCCTTGCCTTGCCTCTGCCTTACATCACGCACTTACACGCGCCGACACCACGCACCACGCACCTACGCGAGACCCAACTATATCGAGGGCGGAGAAGGCTTCTGTGTAACCCGACCAAGCGGCGGCCCAAGCCCAGGGCCAGGATGTTCTTGGATCTACCTTGGGGACTGTTCCTCCTACCGACTTGGTGCATCTATTTAAGCTTAATACCCACGCCCTGCGAGCCAAATGGCTGGATCGCCGCCGCAAGGTAAATGAATTTTAAACCCGGCTAACTAACTAACCTAGGAGGGGGCTGCTGCTGCACCCTCCCGAACCATGGGATGTCATGGATGGGGGCCTGGCTGAGGCACCGCCCACTCTATGGGCTCGGCTGGTTCATTAGGCATGGATGGAACCAAAGCAATGCGAGACATTCCTGGGCCACGCCTTTGCCGTTCAGCCTCACAACCGTCTAAATCGGTTCCGTCCCGGCGGTTTGGGTCGTGACTGACTAACATAAAGACGTCACCTCCTTACCGGTCTCATCATCGTGATCACTATATCAAAGTTAGGAATGGATTTGTTAAGGTTGCTCAGTCACTTTCACTACCAAGGCAAGAACTCAAGGTAAACGCGATATTCTTTGTTTCCATTCCTAGTTCCTTGTGCTACATTCTCAAACAAAAACAAAAAAAACGCGGTCATCCGACGCCCGATGCGTCTGTGTACGGTGATGATAACATGCCCAGGCGGCAAAAGAAAGCGTCATCGCAATCGTATGTCGTCTCTTTTGACTCTGTGCAAGTTGATTTTCCCCTAATGGAATAACGTCGTCCTGGCCACCTATCCTCAAGCGTTCATTCCCTGTTCATCATATGTTGCCAAGTTTAGGCTGCGAGCCCCATTCTCTGAGTCAGATCTTCTTGAAAGAAACATGCCGCTTCAGAACCGTCCAAGCAGAAGTCATTCAGCCGGAGCGCCGCCTGAGCCGACCCTTCCAGTTACATTTGGGGATGCTCGTCTTACGATCTTCCATGCTTGGCCTTCGCGATGACATGTAATGACAAGGGGAAGAATGCTAAGACAGTGGACGAAAGGAGAGAGAAGCGACCAAATGTAGAACGAGTCGGGTATGCCTGAGAGCCTTCCCCCCCCCCACCATGCAAATGACAAAAAACCGTATCACCAACCAACCAACTTCCTCATAAACCGTAGCACAAGGCGAAAATGCAGACCTCCCCAAACCGATGCCTTTATGCAGTATGCGACGTCAAATGGGGAAGGTGAATCATCAAAGAGGAGAAGGAAAAGGAAAGTCCACGCGGAGGGAAAAGTCCCGCTGGTCAACACGTGTACATCAACATGACGACTGCATCAGCCAGGCCATGCCGAAGAAATATCAACAGGAGAACCGTGAAGCCGTCCACATTGCCGTACCATAACGGGAGGTTTTTGTTCGCCCATTGTCTAGAGATTGCCGAAAGACGAGACGGGATGCCATGATATGGACAAGGACAGCCTAATCCCGTGAACAAGGGAAATCATATATAATACAGCCGAGCGAAAAAAGCATATGTTTTCCTCCTAACAGGCCTCGTTTTCCTGATTGTTCTCCGAGGCTGTCAACACAGGCGACCCGACCATTTGCCCCTAGTGACTGGGCTGACCGCCATTGTCTGTTCGACGCTTGTCAGTCACAGGTGCAAAGGGCAAAGGGCCTCCATGCGTTTACTGACGTTGGCTGTACATCTGCTGGTTAGGCTGACCATAGGGCGACGCAGGTTGGTAGTTCGGATGCATGTAGTTGGCTCCGTACTCGGGAAGAGGCTGTCCGGAGCCGGGCGGCGCAGGGTACTGAGTCTGTTGCTGATACGCAATCGGGGGCAGCTGGACAGGACGAGAGCCAGGGTAGCTTGTCGGAGGCTGGTCAGGGCCGGGCTGGCCGTCAGGGCCGCCATTCTGGGCTGCAGCGGCTGCAGCCTGTCGTTGGCGCTCCTCTTCAGCCTTGCGTTGAGCCTCTTCCTCCTTCTTGCGAGCCTTCCACTCCTTACGGATCTCCTTGAATTCTATAAAGCGCATAATGTTAGCCGAATCCTGATTTGCTGGTTTTGGCCGTCCCAGCGAACTGGTTCGCCCTTGTTGACTAGTTCCGGAATTGCGCCAGACCCAACCAAACTCCCAACACCACCAGGAAGCGGGCGACCGCCGCCGCATTTGGCTAGTAAAAGCTCAGTACTGCGACGATTTACCCGGAAAGCGCAACTGTCAGGATGAAAGGCCCGCGCATTGATAGGAAACTAAGCTAGTAGGTAAATTGGGACTCATGCATACCTTCGGGAGTTCGCTTCTGTCCGTGCGACTGCATTGTGACGTGTGCATTCAAGTGGTTGAGAGTGCCATAAGCCTTCTCACATCCATTCCATCCGCACTTGTACATGCGCTCAATTTCCTCATAACGTCTTCGGGGTCTCTTGTGCTGCTGCGCACCAGGGATTGGGACGAACGAATAAACCTATAATCATGTTAGCCATTGCGAAATCATGTCACTGCGCAAGAAGAAAGCTAGCGCAAAGGCCCAATTGCACGAGGAAGACACCTTTCGTGACGCAGCGCCCACTAGTGTTAACTCGTCGAAGGAGTCGCGGGCTGTGGATTTGAGCGCGCTCCAAGTGCCTTCCCCATTACATTCAGGTCTTTTCGCCGCTTCGCGAGATCAACCTACCTGATTAGGTCGCGCTTGAGGCGCTGCAGAAGTGGGCGTCTGGGGGAAGACGTGATGCCCAGGTGTCAATGGAGGTCCCTGCTGGTGTCCATAGCCTGTCCAATCCGGGCGCGGCTGCGCGTACAGCCCACCGCTGCCAGGGTGCTGATAGCCGTGCGACATGTCTTGAGGAGGCGGCGCGTAAGGAGAGTATTGCCCGTGAGGATAAGTCGGGCTCGGCGCTGCTATTGAAGGATCTATAGGTACATCGCTGTCAGACTTGACCTGGTGGGGATGTTGATGGTTTCGTCCATCGTGCAAAGGCATGGACGGACTTGTGGGTGTTTGCGCCATACCGCCACTGCTACCGTTGTGGTTGCTAGTTGGGTGGTATGATCGCTGAATATGCTCTGGGAAGGAGCTTGACCGCGCAGAAGGCGGATACACGCCGTACTCGGACGTGGGAGTGGCCGAGGTGGAGTAGTTGCTGGATCGCACTTCCTGCTGGTTCGCGTATTGCGCAGCAGACGCGTGATCTACAGACGAGGCCTCAGAACGGGTGTCGCCGAAGTTGCTTGGGTACGGCGATGGCAAACCTGACTGCGAGTACTCGGCAGCACTGCGTTCCATAAGGTAACTGAGAGACGACAGAAGCGTACTTTGTAAGGTCGCTTCTGAGCCGGGGGTTCCAAGCTGGGTTGAGAAGCTGGAACGGTGTAGTGGTGGGAGATTCTGGTCTCAACGAAGGCGCGTGGTGATGCTGCTGCGTTGGGAAACCAAAAGCACACTACAGCTCAGTGACTGAGGAACGTGCGACGATGAAGAAGGCAGGAGATAATAGAGATCTCTCAAGAGCCGACTTCGAGTTCAGCGCAGGTTTGGTTGGCGGCGGTTTTTCTCTCGAGGTACTAAGAGAATAGAGTTGTACCTGGGACGAGAGGGCGGCTGTGATGGTGTATATGTTGGCGGCAGAAGATAGCGCAAGACCGGGTTGGTTGACCGCGGGCTTGGGTCGAGTTAAAAGGTATCGTCCCAAAGCACAAGCCACCTCAGGCTGAAAGAGGGATCGATGGCGTGGCAAGGATCAGCCGAACTTCTTCTTAGATCACAGAAGCCAGAGTAGGCCCAGTGAAGAGTGGTCGATACTGGTGGGGATGGGTTGGAAGCAGGAGAGACTAAAATAGTGCAGGCCCGGACAGTGAGGGCTGGGCTTCTGGGTGGATGCTCTCGCTGCAGTTGTGCCTCTCAGACCAGACCGACAATGACGGCTAGCGCACGACTCAAGCTACCAGGGGGTGGGAATTCTTCAGTAGCGGAACCGCAGTGATGTAAGTTTATTCCCTTCAGGGCCCTAAACTGACTCTGCTCTCTCGCTTTCACCTTCTGGGACCCTAGATTGACTCGCAGTGGGGTACCGTCGAATGGAAGGTTTCTGACGAGCAGAAATCCGGCCTAGTGTGGGAGGGACCTGATTTTATATCGGGACACTAGGATCAAGAAGAAATTGATGGGGTAAAATTGTGTGCCAGGCGCCCAATGTAGTAGAGGAGGGGCTGATTTGCAGTGCTGGGAAGTGGAGCAGGCAATGGAAGGCTGAGCAATCCCAGTAGAAAAGACACACAAATCGTCGCCGCCTGTACGCGAGCGAGCTTGCTTGTACTGTAGGTAGTACCCGTGCCTCTTTCTCTGTCCGTTTCTCTTCCCTTCTCTCTCAAAGGGCCCGGAAACGCTGACACTGGCAATGCGATTTTGACTTTTTGGAATCGCAGGACCACTCGGATGACGCGATCTCGTAAGTCTGTTCTCGGGCAAGCAGGCGACTTGGTCGAGCCTCCGGAAAAGGATATCTAAACTCTCCGCCAGAGAGGTGGGTGGTCTGTCTGCTCGGCTCCTCGAACGACGAACGAGCCTAGGGTGCCCGAGTAATGTCAGGTCTCAAGTGGCCAATGCTCCTGTGGATGCGACCCTGTACAAGAGGCATGCGCAGGTGGGCTATTCAGCTTAATTCCGGAGAACAGCGGTGATTATTCACCCGCCCCGATGGACTGACTACACGAGTACACACGGCCGCAAGATTTGCCTGCCAAGAAGGAAATTGCTTGCCGATGGAATCCCTGTCGAAACCGGGGTTTCCTACTGACTCGTGGCCCGAGGCGAAATAGCGAGCAGGCACGAGTTGGGAGGAATTATGAATGAGGAGGGAGATATGTAAGTGATCGAGGACCCAGGAAATGGGATGGTATGGCACCTGAGAATGGTACGGTACCGTGCTGTACTGTATGCTACTCCAGAGTGACGCGACTGTTGTGGGTGGTGTGCAGAGGAAGAGAAGAGGGTCCCTCTTTTGCGCGCCGGGGTGGACTTGATGCGAGGAGGTTGAAGGAGAAGGGGCAAGGGTGGGTTCGTGCTAAGGGGCTTTGGGGGGGGATTTGCTTGGTGTCGGCAACGGAGCCTGGTCCTTGACGTTCAGTTGCCAACCTTGTCACTTTGCAGGAGAAGGGACCTGGTCCCTGTCGATATTTCTTCAGAGTGGATGTCGCGCTTCTGGCCAGGGTAATGGTGGCCGTGGTGGGTTGTGTCGTGTACTGCGTACAAGTACCTCTCTGGTCCAAGTGGTCTAGCGGCAAGAGAACGCCGGGCCTTGGTAGACTGAGGGCGGCGGCGGCGGCGCGTGGGTTGAGGTGGGCAGCGAATCCAAGTGGGTAGAAGCGCCGGGCACCAAAGCCTACGGTGTGCGCTACAATCTCTGCTGCGCGTGCGGGCAGAGTCGTAGCGTGAGATGGGATGGAGATGGGGGAGGGGAGATTTGGGACACCACGCCGAACAAATCCGGGATACTGAATTCCGCTGCTGGGAAGTTTAAAATCGGAAAGATGACTGATTGCTGTGTGGCGGGCCACGAGTCGAGGTGCCACACACGCACACGCAGACGCACGCGAGGGATGGAGGGAACAAGGTCGAAAACGTCAAGAAATGCTGACGTCGAAGGGTGACACGGGTGACAAAGTACCAGGTTACTGTGTGTGGTGGAATGGGTTTTTTTGGTCAAGCGTTGGTAATAAGGGAAGGTAGGTGTCGAGTAGTGTACCCTTTGGGCGGGTCGAGACTGGCAGTCGAGAGATAGGTAGAGAGAGGAACAGAGGGAGAGAAAAGACTACTGCTGCTGAAAAATCCGGGCAGACTTTGGCAGGCAAGCAAAAATAATGCTGGTGGCGGGGGATTTGCGTGAGTGAATGAACGAGAAAAAAAGTTATGGTGGTCGTGAATACCTCCCTGCTGCAGTTGATAGGTACCGAGTGGAGGCAGGCAAAGCAGGGCAACCAGGCAGGCAGGCAGGCAGTTACTCGGCCTTGGGTACCTGAGGTTGACGAGGTTGACGAGGTGGACGAGGTGGACGAGGTGGGTGGTCAAAGGTCGCGACTTCGCTTGCGGACCTGGTTCACACTGTGTGGGCACTGCATACGATCTGCGGCCTTTTCCACACTAACCCAATCAGCAAATAGATGATGGTGGGCGGATTGACTGACTGAACTGGGAGAATGAGAATGTGGCTGGGCCCACCCTTGGACGACCCAGATGCACTGATGCACTGATGCGCAGATGAGCCAGGGTTGAATGGCGAATGATACTGTCAGTGGCCCTCGCTCGGTGTTGGCTGCCGGGGTAGCTTGCTCTCTTTCTTTTTCGCGTGCTGTTGCTCCTCCTGACAGTGCTACCTTACTCTGGTATTTCCTTGCGACGAGAGCGACTCAAGCAAGGACCAGCTTGACTAGGTTCCTTGTCTCCTTGTCCTTCTTTGGCTTCTCCTCCTCCGACCGGCCGGATGGGCACACGGTGTTTGTTCACGTGTCTGTCCCACAGGGTCAGGTCCGAGAGTGGAGGGCACAATGGATGGAGCCTCTCTTTCTCTCGCAACGAGGGAAATAATAAGAGGTGAGAGGTGGGGAGGGAGGTGGGGAGTTTCGCATCAAGCTGCCGACTTTTCCACCCACAGCCAGTCAGAGGGCGTTCAAAGGTCCAATGTCGCAGTTGATTGGGAATGTCGCGTCGGCCAGATTCCGCACACGCCGCCAAGCTGCTTACCAAATGGGGGGGGCTCTCTGTTCTGTTTGCACACGAGGGTCAAGATAGGCCTCGCCTTTGTTTGTCTGGGTTCCGAGATCCTCTTGGTGCCTTCTGCTCAAATCAAGAGAAGACGCCGAGGATTCCAACTCTAGGTCTTGGAGTCTGGAACACACTCCAGCTCAATCCAGTTGGCTCCAATTCAATTGGCACTTCACCGTGTTGGATCAATACGTTGGGTTATCACTTTACTGAGAGCATCCGACCAGCCAGTCGGTGGCCTACCAGGGGTCTGCCTGGTCTGGTCTGGGTTACCAGTACCAGGTCGCGTGCAGAAGAGGAATTGAGTTGCGGACGGGGCTAGACCGGCGCAGTCGACCTGACTCGAGCGGGCCCAGATGAGTAGGATGGGGCCGGAAATCGGAATGCGCTCTACCCAGGCTCTTCGGCTTCTCGAAGACCAATAATGCGACTCCTCGAGTCACGATCGGTCGATGCTCAGGGTCTCGGGGTCTCCCAATCCTCCTTGCGACGTACGAGAAACCGATGGTGGTTTTCGTGTTCCTTCCCTGGGTCGCTCGAGCGGGACGCAAGGTTGACGG